AGATATCCTTTCAATGAAGAACTTGCATTGAGGGCATTTCACAGCATTAGCATTTGATTTTCCTCTCCCCTTTGCCCAAACCTTTAATGCCTTGTGTCCTTTGCCAATGACATCTTTTTGAAATTCCTTGCAGGTTAAGGCATTATGCCATGGTGCGTGACAAGGTATGCACCATCGTAACCCACAGGATCCACACTTGTGATGGATGGGCACTTCATCTGGCTCCTCAAAATGCTGGACTATATTGCAGCCTGGGCAAGTTTTGACTCTTGGATTATTATCTGCATCTACTCTGTTTTTAACAAAAATGTGCATCCATTCACTGCAGTGCAGATCTATTTCTTCATCTGTTATTGTTCGTGTGCAAGAATCTCCTGGGCATTTGAGAATTATGAAACCCCCAGTGATTCTAGTTCTAAGATGTATATGCATACAGTCTAAACAGAACAATCCTGAGCATGAATCACAATACACTGAAGATTCTTTATTTCTAGATGCCATGCAATAGCAGATACTGCAATACCACCCTTCAACTCCACTTTCAACTGACAGCCTAGAAAACATATCATCATAATCTGATATACCAGACAGTTTGTCTAGGTCGACCATAATGCTGGAATGAACTGGATTTGCTGATAAAGGATTGGGTTGCCATTCCTTGATAGGTGGTGGAGGGGGTGGTGTTGGTGGTGTTGGGAATGATCTCTGATCAGGATGGGTGATATCATGTGAAAGATTTCTCAGCATTTACTCATAACAAGAATCAGAATGTCATTGCTGTTGCAACTTTGTCATTATCTAAGACCGACGTTTCTTAGGTAATGTTTCTCATGTGTAGTTCATTTTCGGGTAAACAAGCAACTAGGGCATTCGGTACACGTGATCCTGATCAAATTCTTCGAACATCGTCTGTCCACATGGCACAGCATCTTTCGCAGACACCGAAGCTTCGTCGTGCTGCTGGCAATAATTATCGATGATTCTGCTTTCATTGATGTTTCTGTTTATGCTGCTTTGCTCTGCCCGTGAAAATCTTTAGGGAGCGCAATTGGTGATTCGGGGGCAAAGTGCTAGAGCCTGCGAAAACTTGTAGGACACGGCCTGTATCTTGGAAGAGAACAAATGACAAACTGAGCGACCTCTTAAAAATTTTCTGTTTTCGTCTTTGGTGTGGTAAAGAAGATGCCCGCTTCATTAATCCATAGTCTGTCATTACGACTCCTTTAAACAGGCTGGTTAGCCTCTGCTCGAACCAATCGAACGAATTAATCTTTGATGTTTTGGTATGATCAATTTTATTTAACAGACCACTGCAGGAGATTTTGCTCACGCATGCAGTCAGAAACCAGCCTCACTGCAAAGCCATATGTTAACTTGTCAAAACTCGACTTGATTTACAAATCTTCAATAAAAGTTCCAAGCATCAAAGTCTAGCAATTCAACATCTTCACATGATATCGTCCATGTTTTCTCCATCCTCCACTTCCCGACGATTACATGCGTAATAATCAATACGGATACTTACGTCAATGCTTGCTACGACCCAGGCCCCTAGCATGAAGTGATTGTGCAGTTTTTGACTGTTGTATAAATTTAAATGAAGCCCAAGGGAAAGCAACACAGATAAAGCTACGGATGTGTTCTTTCTTGCTTATTCATCTGTCATAAAGCAACTAAGAGTATAAGGAATAAGTTGTTTTGTTATCAAAAAATTTACTTAACGAGCTTTATCTTGCTATCAGGCATATTTATGTACATGCCAAGTCGTTTCTTCAACAAAAATTTTACCAAATCTAACTAAAGTATTATTTCAAATTGCTACAAATCAAATATGATTGAAGCAGGAACATTCAGCTAACGATATCTGAAAGGACCTCAAGTTTCTCAGTTGACAAAAATGGTACTTCAGTTGAACATTGGGCAAGAAATAATCCAAAAAAAGTAATGTGAAAACTTGTAATATTGCGTTATATTAATACAAATAAAGTCAGAACCTTCAAATTTCATTTGCACAGTTTTCGAAGACTATCCGATGATATCTCGGATGCAAGAATGAAACTTAAATTGCGGCAATGGAAGAGTTGAGCGGAGGCGCGTATGTTGTCCCCTCCGTCCCCCCGCTTAACTTTCTTCAATTTTTAAGCCTGGATTATTTGGCTCAAGTAGCCATGGTAATCCGAAGAGAACTTGAAGCAAGTTAAAGTGATATTAGAACAGGGTTTGGGGGAATGCTGAGTCGCTGGTCACGTGTTCCAGTCCTACCCTGGTTGTGTTAGTCGATCATATTTTATCTCAGTAAAAACTTTAAATTTGGTTACCAGGTCACAATGATGAAACAGGTATTAGAGGTCTGTATGCGAAGTGTTTACTGCATATAATACTCCACCCAAAGACGTTGATAGGAAAAATTAGTATTTAATAAAAAACTTTATTGCATACGCAGCAATCCTTTTGCATACGCAGCAGCCTTTTGCATACGCAGCAGCCTTTTGCATACGCAGCAATCCTTTTGCATGCGCAGCAATCCTTTTGCATGCGCAGCAATTCTTTTGCATACGCAGCAATCCTTTTGCATACGCAGCAGCCTTTTGCATACGCAGCAATCCTTTTGCATACGCAGCAGCCTTTTGCATACGCAGCAGCCTTTTGCATGCGCAGCAATCCTTTTGCATACGCAGCAGCCTTTTGCATGCGCAGCAATCCTTTTGCATGCGCAGCAATCTTTTTGCATACGCAGCAATCCTTTTGCATGCGCAGCAATCCTTTTGCATGCGCAGCAATCTTTTTGCATACGCAGCAATTTTGCAACGGTCATACATTTAAAATCTCTCTTTGTTTCTGGTTGAGTCAGCACATAACGTCACATTGTGTCATATTTTCCCGTGATTTTCTTCAGGAGCTCCTCGTGCTATTTATAGTTCCCACTTCAACAGCTATAGGTTAGTATTGAATCCTGAGAAACATGCCAAGGACTGTTTTTTGTGTGTGCAGCATAAAGCTTTTTTAATGGATCTGTTGCAACAGTGGTTAAATTTTGAGAAAAAAGCAAAAGTTGGTTTTTTTCAGCTAGAATTGTCTTTTTCAAGATCTTTGATGATCGGGGATTTTGAAAATCAAAGATTTTGCTGCATTTTTAGAGCGATACTTGAATATTTTCCCATTCCTTACAAAGACCTGTCGGATGAACAAATCTGTCCAAAAGAAAACTGTTAGTTAACGCTAAATTACTTTACTTTAGTTAGTAAAAAAACAGTTAAATGGGATAGACCAATGATAACTAGAATGCTATTATTTACATTGTTTATGTAATGATGGGTTTTTTATCAAGGCCGTGTTTAAAGGGCCACTCCAGCCCAAAATTTTTATTTCAGAACACGATGTAATCAGACCTCCTGAAAACGAATCTGTTATTATTTTTTTCATATCTCTAACCGTTTTGTAGTTATTAGCGTTTGTAAAATGGTCATTGAGTTGAATTGTTTTTCAACCGTGTTATCGGAGATCTTCGGATTGACGTCACAGGCATTTTCGGCCTCGGTAAATTCGCGGCAAGTATCATCAGATGTCCAAAGGGTCAACGAGAACTTAGCGAAATGGCAGACAGGGCCTAGCAGCGGCATGTTTGTTAGTAGGCCAGACTTTTATCTGGAATCGATATAAAGAGAGAAGTATCGCTCATCAGTCTTGATATTCTGATCGAATATGGAAGTTTTTTATCGCACGAATCTTTCTGACAGAGAAGTCAAATTGTCAAAGTAGGCCAGCGAGACAGAGACATGAGGATGTTAACAGACTTTCGTGGAATGTTGCTTTTGAAGCAATTTATATTGGCAGGCCAGTTCCCTGATTTTAAAAAGAAGATTCGCGCTTTTTCATCAGCTCTTCCTTTAGTGCAACAGCTAAAAAACCATCGCGCAATTAATTGGAGAGGAAAGACCAAAACAAAACCAGTATACCGGGAATGAAAGCTGTATGAATTGATACAACATATTCATTAGGATGAAGAGCTTCATATCAACATGACTATGACTTATTAGAAATAAACCAGGACAATCGAGGGCATGGACAAGAAAGTATACAAACTTTCAAGACAAGACTAAAAACCTACCATTAGTCATGAGTCAAACAACTTTTTCAAAAATTATAAATTTGTTTTTATACAAACAAAAAAGGGATTTGAGATTATATTAATAATTCAACTTTTTCAATATACTTGTGTAAATATAATTTTTGTATTTAACCTTTAAGCTATTACAGGGGCCTTGTCAGCTCCTTTAAGCTGTCAGAATTTCAACCTGCTATATTTATGAATAATAAATACATGTTTGATGTATTTAAATACTTTGAATTGAATCAAGCTACATTTAATTATATATTCAAATATCTAAACAATCAGGCCAGTGAACTATCTAGAAATTTGTAATTTCTATTGCACATGAGAAATGTTCTTATAAAAGTATCATGAAACAATAATCTATTGCAAAATTTCTAGAAAATACCTATATGTTGTTACTAGTTTTAAATAATAGCAGTGGATTTGCAAACATTATATAGATATGACCAAATTATATATAAAATTTTGATAATTTTAAAAATAGTCTCCTTTGTAAAAATTTTAATACAAAAACAGAATAATGTGTTGAGGTCTTTGTGGTAACTCTTGCATGGAAGAGAGGGGCAAGTTATCACTCCCACAAAGCCAGTAGCCAGATAACAGAATGCATGTAATCTCCAACCTTCATCTAGCATTTTTTTGCAAGATCCTTTCTGCTGATCCATAAAAGAGTTTGTTACCTTTTTTATGCCTAGAATAATAAGGTTGACAGGGATAAATACTAACATACCAGTGAAATTTACTTTTGAGTCATATTAAAACATAAAATGATCAAAGAAACTTGGACACTCAGGGGCATTCAGAGTATAGATATTTAAAAGGATCAAAGAGCAATTTAGGGGTGAAAGGGCAACCACTGTTACTATAGCAAATAGCATCTAAGGATATTAACTTGAAGTAACACAAAGATGAATTTAAATGATATAGGCCATGCTTATATGAATAAATGCTAGAATAGCAAAGGTAATTTTAACAAATATAAACAATTCTGCCTTTAAGACATTAGAATGAGGATATGACACATCTTTTTTCCGAAACCAAGGGTGTAAAATATTGATCTGGCAAAATTTTGAAATTGTGCATCAATTCTATGATGAAATAGGCAGAACTCCAAAATTGAAGGCAGAACATGGTAGAACATGAAGAAAAAGGGTTCAGGGAAACATCAGACAAACCCTGAGAAATTTTACACATCTATACCTCGGGCAAAGGTGTAGTGCACAGATCATTGGCAGGAATGTAGTGCTAGGAGGCTCAGGCCCCCTTATTGGTACAAAAAAGTAGCAAACTTCTACTTTTGGTACTATTTTATGTGACATTTTGCTTGAGAGCCCCTGTTGTACTTTTCATATTACCACATTTCTGACTATTTGGGGGACAGTTCACAAGACTGTTAGAAAACTTGTATTTAGAGTACAAAGTTTTTCTCAAAGCCCGGCAAATTGCGTTGCTTAGGGGGTGCGTGTCACACCATCCCCAAACCCCCTACAAACCTCTACACCCTGCAGTTTCGCCTAACATTCAACATAGTAGAATGATAATAAGGATGAATTGTGACTTACGGGAAAGTTTCCATTTTGTGAATGGGGTTCTTCTTCTAATGCGGTGAGACATCAAATATTATTCAGCTCCCTGGAAATTTCTGAGATGACACGACGATAAGAAATGCCTTCGGTCAGAAATCCATTCACATCTGAAAATTCGTGAAGCATTCCATATTAAAAAGCTTGCTGCGTTGCCAAGATGAGGGTATGCGTTCAGGTTGAAGCTTCCATCTTTGATTTGTCGAATTACTAGTCCATGTTGGCTGGAAGCCTCCGCTGAACATCAATCGCAATGAAGGAAAATAAATAAAACGACAACCGAGATTCCGACATGAATCGCCTCTTCCGAGCCTCTACCGAGTCGTGCGAATTTCAGTGCGAACGTATAACAATAGCGCCGAATGTTGAAACAATGGTCCCTTCATACGTCACAAGTCACAAGGTACTTTTTCCGAAAAAAATTTTGTCGTATTTTTACGGTGATTCTCAACTTTGAGCGTCTATATCTGGAAAACGAGTTAAGCTTTTCGAAAAAAAATTTCACGATAGCTTCTTTTTCTCGACTAACTACCAATTTATGCAAAAATCTCAGAAAAAATTTTTGGGCTGGAGTGGCCCTTTAATTTTTTCCAACAAACACTGGTTGAAGAAAATTTATGCGCCGTGGCTATTGTTCCGGTGTAGTACACTAATCGGCCCCTATGCGTTTCAGTGACTGGATGAAGCGAATGGCGTTTCAGAAACCTTCATGAAACGGCAATAAGAGTAGAAGTGACCAGGCGTTTCAGCATAACAAAAACTTGTACAACGTGACAGGTCAAAGTATCAATCAATTGCCCCATTAACATTTTCAGATCTATTTTAGATCAAAACTACAGTATAGTCTCGTTAGGTGGGTCCCCGGATAAGTAGGACGCCCGCTATGTAGTACAGACTTTTCCTGTCCCTTTAACTTGCTCACCCTTTTCAAGCATTCGAATAAGTAGAACGCCTGCTAAGTAGGACACTTGCTCGGGTCCCTTGAGTGTCCCACTTAACGAGAGAGTACTGTACTTAATTTGGTTTTGACAAGGGGATTTCCTGTTGGTGAGTAGAGTTCAAGGCCACACAATTTTGCAATAACAAATGTACCAAAAACATCGAAGCAAGATGCAAGAAAAAAGTAGGAAGAGACAAAAATTTCATCAACTCAAACTGTCCGACCCTTCACGCTGATCTTTAGAGTATTTAGGACATTTGGCGTTGCGCCTGCCAGAGGAAATAAGTTTGATCAAATCAACGCAAACCCAAGCCAATTGTAAGAAGATTAAAGGTAATGTGTCCATATAAAAGGACTGCGTCTACCCAACTTGTCAAGCCACCCTTCAAAATAACGGTTTGCGATTGGTTAGTATTCTTGCGATGTAAAACTGCTCACATGAAAAGCTGACCTCGCAGCAGAATAGATAAACAGAACGACCGTAATGACTGGGGTGATGACATGAAAAATCACATGTTTCTAAAATCCTCCGCAGAGTCGCTCGCTTTAGCTGGACACATAACCTTTAAGCACTTATCTTTGTCTATATTTGTTTGTTATCAGGCTATAGCTGTCGTAATTTAAACGTCTCTATACCCAATGGAAATTTTGCAATTTTTGCAATCATGCTGCGTAGTAGCTGCATCTTTATGGACGCACCTGTTAGGATTGATTTCTAGGCAATCGCGAGTCGGATTCTCTGAATGCACTTGTCAGGCACCCCTTAGTTGGGTTTTATGAATGCACCTGTTAGGCACCCGCAACTCTGGTACGCCATTCTTGATCAAGGGCGGTCAAAAAAGGCGGCAGATCATCTTGCAACTTGGAAGGAATATCTGCCTGAATTCTCATTTGATATTTTACAACTGCTGGTAATATTGCAAGAAATTCCATGGCGAAAGTATTACTTGCACTATTAAAAGTTTTAATCGTTTCGAATTCTGTAGGCTGCAACCTCGCAACGTTACTCCGAGAGAGTTGTAAGCACTATGGAAATTTTGATGTCATCCTCAAAGACATGACTTGCACAGGAACAGTTTTGACAGTCTTCACAGGGCAGACAAAACGACAATGCATACTCGAGTGCCTTTCAAACACTCAATGCAAGTCACTGAATTTCAAGGAAGAAGAAGGACATTGTCAGCTACTTGCTAGGAATTTAACAACAAGCATTGGAGCTTTAAATCAAAATCCCGGGTGGATGTACATAACAACAGAAGAAAACGCGTTAAATGTAAGTACTGTTGGTTGAAACAAAATTGTGACCATATGTCAACCATAAGACTTTGATGATCAACTCAGAAATCTATTGGGCGCATATTAATCCCTTTATTAGTAATACGGGCAGATATTTTTGTTTATTTTTTTCTTCTACCTGTCAGTTTGGGCTCTGATCATGGGGTGCATGATTGAAACCGTACCCATGGACAACATCTTCCGCAAACAGCCTTGCAAATGCGTCTTGATAAATATGCTTTAAAGGGAGATAAGTCGCGTGAAGAAAATGTCGCTGGAATCAATTGTCGCAAGCGAAACTCGAAACTCTCTTGACTTTAATTGCCGATACAATTTGATTGCTAACTTAGCGCCTCATTTAATTCCCGCAATTTTCAATCTTTATTGAAAACATTTCTATTTGTTTTGCATAGTTGCTGAGTAATCAAAATACCAACAATCTATCTCCTTCAACTGAAAATTTTATATGTTATAACACGCCAGATTGTTGTTGGTTATCTCAAGGATATCAACAATAAAAGAACAAAACAGCTTAGTAACACAACTTATAGTGAAAAAGTATTAGCAACATCAAATGAGCTCCCGTTTTTGCCATCATTACGAATAGATTTCTATCAAAGCTGCCAAACTCCAGGTGTAGAGACAAAGTATATTTTGAGGATTTTAAGAGTTTTTGCCTGCAATAGAACAGAAGCTTTCAAAATTCTCATGCTTTATACAGAAGGCTAGGTTCGCCATGAATAAATTCATTCGCCACATGCACAAGCAGAAGACTAGGTTCAGGCAGTTTTCCAAAGTGTACAGCGAATACCTAGATATCAAATAAAGAAATTGCAATAAAACCATAACAAATGGGCCTAGCTATTTTCTATTATTCACCTCAAGAGATAGTTGCTACTATTCACATCTATTCTGCATCAAGACCATCGCAATCGCGTCAGTCAACTCGAGTCAGCTTTGACCAAAGGAAGTGAAGCCGGGAAAAATATAATTTTTACGGCAAGAACGGAGAGGTGCTGTACAAACAATTTTATGAAATGTGCGAAATTAAGCAAAGAATTCAGGCGAAAATTAAGTTTTAAGTGATTAAACTGTAAAATATGAAACACCTACGAACGTGAATAATTGAATTTCAAGGAAAATGGGAAGGTAATGCATAATTCTTGGCATTAATAGTGATGGTAGCGATCGTTGTTTTTGGAGGATCTACAGTCTTTTTTGCAGTCCCTAAACATTTTTAAGCAAAATGAGTTTATTGATCTGATGGCGAATATTTGGTTTATTCTTATTTATGACTTATTTTTTAATCTTTCTTTGGTGGACCTTCGCAAACATACAGTCAAATATTTGAAGCAGATGTTTTTGACGAGGTGTATCAAGTGATCACCTTGCAAGTCATCGGTCATGAAACTAGAAGGAATCTAGCAAGTACCAAAGGAATAAAATTTAAGGAAAAATTTATAAATTTTACAGAAAAGCGACAAAATTGAAAAACCTAAAATGGTATGGATAGGCCTAATTGTAAACAAACCGATGAAGTAAAATTGATCCATCATCACTTATATCCGTAAAGCGGGAAACCACCTACATTTCGCAGCGAAGTGTATGACACAAGAAAAAAATATAAATCAAAATGCGATGATCACTAAAATCACGGTTGCCATAGGGATCCTGTTCCCAAAAGACAATGGAAATTTTGCTGACGTTGCACTAAAATCTCAAACCTTGTCAAGATTAGAAAGCATGCTGTCGCATGCAATAAATAGAATTGGTGAAAGGTCCTTGAGAATTGCATACAAGGAAAATGTTTCTAGTTTTGAAAAACTATTGAAAACTAATACTTCGGTAACCATTCATCAGAGGAACCTGATGGTACTCATGGTAGAGATCTACAAAAAAATTCAAATCTAAATCCTAGCTTCATAAAAAAAGTTTTCGAAGGAAAGAATTACCTTACAATATAAGGTATTCCGATACATTACAACTACCGATGGTGAAAACAACTTGTTTCGGAAGAGATGCTATCACCAGGCATGAAAATTCTGATTCACTTCAGATTTTCGGAAGACTTTAGAGCTGATAAATGCCAAGCTTGCAACTGCAATTTTTGTAAGGTGTTTTAATAAAAGTAAAAAATTACGATTAAACCATAAATTTTATTTTTTTGATCATATTTTCCTGTTATCAATTTTTAGGTATATTTTATAAATAGTAGGTCTTGATTAGCAATTTAAGCAATAATTTATTTGTCAAGTTTAAATAAAAGAATGAATAATTATAGTCGTAGTAATAATAGAGTCTCTATTACTTTATCATATGTTTAACTGTAGATTCTTGATTTTATGCAACACTGTATAAAATGTTAAAAGAATTTATGTACTTTTATGCATTGAACTTATATCGTGTTACATTTTGCTCTTTTTCTGTAAATATTAAGCTTTAAAATTGGCTTTTTTTCTACTGTTAATAAATTGATAGAATAAAAAGTTAGGAAAAGTTTTTACCAGAAAGACGTGAAAACGAAATCAACTCAGAGGATCATGCTAAACAACGTATTGTAGATGCCTAAAACACAAAGACCCAAGCCAGGCACCGCGCAGCCATTGGGCTAGCAAGGGCTAAAGCCCCATCACTTTTTTGCGATAATTGGTTAGAAATATTTTGGAAAGTTTACTCTAACGCAACTTTGGAAAAGTTTACTTTAACGGATCCTAAGAAGTAGCAGTTCTTCTTGACTGGAAAACCCTTTTTTCATTTTCTAGGTGTTTCATTTTTTTCAATGATATGTTGTATTTTCTAACTTGGTTAGCTTGGTGTTTAATAATCCTCAAAGTAATTACATCTATCTTATCAGTAATTGATATCTTCTCTGAATCAGACTGTTTATCGATAATAAGTGGCAATATGGGGCGTTTTCCAGCAAGATATGTGGCAAAACCAAAACTTCAAGAGTAAAGGTGATTTCGAGCAAGCGGTTCAAAACTCTTTTTCTTTATCATCAGGTCGGTCCAAGATGTGTTGAATTATCTCCATGCCAAAATGGCGGCAAGTGTGTTGATGTGTGCAGTGGAGATGGATTCAAATGCCACTGCAAGGAAATGTTTACTGGGAAATATTGCGAGAAAGAGCGAGGTAAGGGTTGATTTCTGTACATATAAAGCACCTGTAGCATTCTGTTTACTAAACAAAATCTTTCAATAAAGCAATATTTAGAACATACATGAGAGCGACCCAGTCAACTTTAAGAATTAAGATTCCGTGACTGCGTTCTTTGATTTATACTGTCTTCAGCAACGACCATATGATTTGGAGGCAATTTTTTGTTTTACAAAGTAGAGACATAGAGGGCCGTATCCAAATTACACTTTGCTCTCTTTTTACTGAACTGCCATCGTGCAACAAAAGGGAAATGAGCAGTCGTAGTTGTTTTTAACGAAACTCTTTTTTCCTTTTATATAGAGTTTGTGAGACTTCTTTGATTGACAAAGTCAAATTAACAAGTTATTGCATTCTCCTTAGATTTTGTTAGTTGCCATGCAGCATACGAAGCGGGCTACCGCCAGAATGGTATATATTTACTCACAAACATTGGGCACCACTATTGTGTCCTGACCCAGATGACTGGCTGTAATGTTGTAGGGGGCTGGACACTAGTGTTAAAGACGGATGGAAGACTGGTAAGAGCCGCTTTTTGTTTCTGGCCTTTTAGCATGACACGAGACAGAAAATAGATATTTCATACTTTTTTTAAGAATTACTGCACACAAAATATTTGTGTTATCAACAAGGGGAATTCATATACCTCCTGTGATTCCTTCCTGATTTATAAGTTTAAAACAGTGATAAGCAAGGTTGCAGAATAAGTAAAGAAGAGCGAACTTACTTGGAATTCGATTGCTGATTATTCAACAAATGTTTCATAATTCCACAATAGCTTTATCTTATACTCTATTATCCCTTGATTATATTAGCCAATTTCTTCTATGCTTTTGTTTTTGCAGCGTTTTGTGCAAGAGCCCCCTTATTATTTTGAGAGCACTACACCCCTGCCCTTCTCTTCCTCTATACGATTTTGCTTTCTAAATTCCTGTCAAGCAGTTACTATAGTACCTCTTGGGGAAGGGGTTGCCCTGTTGCTCAAAGAACTGTAGCAGGGATTGTACATTGACTACGCACGACGCATGTATACCCATTTTATGTAAGAAAATTGGCAAAATCTTTGTACATGAGAAATTCTTGGCATGAAGACCTGATTTTATCAGATAACCAGAAAGCTAGTTAGTAGTGACATCGACCATATCGTGATATCAGAAATGAAATGACGTGGTACGAAATGAAGTGAGGGTTTTCTTTAGCTTGGAGACTTAGCGTTCACCACTTCATACTGTGAATAACACTGTGAAAATGTTTTCCATTCATGTGCGAAAATTACAAACAATGTCCATTAATAGGTAGAGAAAAGGATTAAAATGCCCGGAAGTTTTAGATTCACAAAGCAAATTGAGCATTTAAAGTTTGATAACGCAACTTCAAAAGTTTCTTAACTCTTTTTGCACAAACAAGATATTGTATCAAAGTTTCTTAAGTTTTGAAAATGCGAGTCAACTGTAGATCGTTTTGATATAAAAATGGGTTTATGGTTGTTTTATTAGGCATTCTTTTCAAGTGTACTTGTTGATAGTTTTATTTCTGCATCTGTTTCAACGCTAGAGCACATTTAGATACGGATCAAGTCACTGGACAACGAACAGTGTCTACAATCACGTCTATGCTTTGAAGGAGGGACTAGATGGGGACCAGGAGGCGAAGTTTCCGGCATTCAATACATTGCCGTTTACTAAAGTTTGCGCTGGAATGCGACTGGGAAGTGAGAAGAACTTTATCACTCTTCACAAACCGTCAAGCTCACTTTTGACATGTTTTAGTGGATCTTATGTCAGTACGTTTGCTTTTATTTGCCTCCTTTTTGCATTTTTGTCAACTCAGTACAATCTTACAAGTATGCAATCACTAATAACTATAGTCCAAGCATTGATGCCCGGAGCACTAACCAACAACGTCTTCTTTGATTGACAAAATAAACTAACAAGATAACAGGTTTTTATGCTATCTATTTGGGTCCCAAATTTCAGCAAAGATAAGGACCAGTGTAAAAATATCCCCTCTCCATAAACATTGCATCTTTATTTACAAGCTTCAAACCTTGCATTATGTATTGTTTCAAGGTACGTTCCATCTACGGCAAAGTTGGTTGAATATCTTGAAAGGGAGCACGCTCCAGGCATATTGCAACGTCCAAGGTATCAATGTCATCCAAGGTACAGTTGACTCTCGAGTAAGGATTGGGATCCTTGGCAACAACGAGAATGACTGTGTCACCCCTGATTCGGGTTTGGGTATTGGTTTAGGCGGTGCTCATCTGCGAGGCACTGGCGTTTCCACTGGAGCCACAATGAATAGCCAGCAAGCCTTTGGATATATTCTCATACACTAAACAGTTTGTACTTGGACAGGAACGGTAAAGTCTACATTGTTGCGATATAAATTCGAAAGATATTGAATCGTCGTATTCGTATTATTCGTCGTATTCTCACAAGTTGATTTTGTATGACCGCGATCATGTTTTTGCAAGTAAAAGCGGGATTATATACTTCTGTTCATAATTAACAGTTTTCATTGCAAAAATACCATTAAAGTTTGCAAAACTGATTGTTTCTATGCGTTATCCCGTCTTCATTGCAAAGACATACAGACATTTTTCAAGGCCGAGAAGGAATTTGTTAAAAATTCTGCAGCTCAATCTTCGCGAAAAATAATTTCGCTAAAGTATTGTTGGAATTGTTGGGACTTTGCAAACTAGGAATTAATCTACAGATAAGGCAACTAGCCACAGCTTAATTATTGAGAACAATAAGGTAGTTGAATCAAATTTGCGAATGGACGATTTCTAATCTTTAGACCAGAAAGCAAAATCAATTTATGTTTATATACTAGTGACTGAATGACTGTCAAAACTGTACCGTGCAGTCTTGGCGTTCTGTACGCCGGATAATTGTTCACGGAATAACATAAGAATTGTCAAAATGACACCTATAGGCAAAGCCGTAAATGTTGTTTGAGAAAAAAGAAAGCATTTCATATACCCGATGCCAAATACTGATGCCTTGGATACTACAAGTGGGACCTGTTGCCGTGTTAAATGCCTTCCAAACTAATGAATTGAAGTACCTAACATGATTCAAATGGATTAACATATAAAAAGACGGCTTTTCGTTTGTCTTTTCACAGAACATCCTCAAAATCTCAAGGCAGCAGGGTGATAAAATTCATCAATCCAAAATAGTATCTCAAACGCATGTATATTATATTCCCTAATTTATCAAACAAAATCCATTCACCTTCTAGTTACAAAATTTGTTTCTTTATCAACTTTTCTAATCGTTTGATTCTACTCGATTCCTGCTCAGGGGTCCCCGAGCCCGACTCCGCAGCTCCGGGGTTTCCTACCGATATTTTGCTTCTAAATAGTTCCAGCATTGAATGTTGTTCATTTCTCTTCAGACCCTGCAAAGAGAGAGCACACTGCTGAAACAAAATTATGCAGATTATGAAGTTAATTTACCTTATTTATTCGCTTAGCAGTCATATTTTCTCTCTAAATCTCCGAAATTTTCTCCGCCTATGCATAAGACGGATTTTAGTGTAACTATTTTCACTGAAAATGTAATATTCTTTGCCTTTAGGAAATAAAACATGGATGTTTTATCAATCGTATGATAAGCCTCGTTTTCAGATACATAACAAAAGATTATCGACAATGCATCAGTGGTGGCTGTTTCCAAAATGGTCGAGCTATCGGCAGTGTCACTGATATGAAGAAAGAAGACAACAGCGTATGATTTTGAAGAGAAATTTGAAAAAAATCTTTTTGTGTGTAATATCTAGCAACAAAAATGAGTTCCCTAACGGTGGTTTCCTATTTATAAGTATGGCAGTATCAACTTTTACAACCTTTTCAAGTCTTTTTTAAACATAATTTTTAAGCAAGGATAACAAACATCGACAAAATAAATGTCTCTTTAATAGTTTGGTAGCTTAACTTCAACGTTCCCCTCAATTAATACACACGAAATTATAGAAGCGAACGAACAAGGCAATACATGATGTCCCCCCCTCCCCCCGTACATACGCATCCCTGGAATACCCTTTATCTTCCTTTCATGTGAAATTCCAAATTTCTGTACTGATGTTCATTTAAGCCTCACTTTAAAAGGCCGAGAATCCATACGATTTCTATGATTAGTCAATTTTTAATTCTATCATCCGATTTGCATGCATTGTCATAACCAGCACAAGAAATAGGTGAATAAGTTGATATGTGAATAGGTGAAAAAACAGAACATACCTTCATCTCCAACAATTTTTGGAAATTTGCAGTGTCTGAATCGTTTAAAAGCTTTATGTAATTCTCAACAAAACCGCCGGGTGGGTCATGTGGTGACATAACAACCTGGGGAAGAGTAAAAGAGCTTGCAATTAAGCGAAAACCCCAAAATAGTATGCTGAAAATTGTAACATTGGCCTTAGAACCAGTTAAGGAAACTAAAAAGATTTTGGGAGCAACAATTCGACAAAATTCAGAATAATAAATAAATAAAATCAGACATTGTTTGTATAAGAGGTAGCGTTGATAGAAAGGTCAGTCAGACGAGAAACTCAAAGAAATCACTTTGCGTGCACCCACACTAAGCATAGTAAATTTCCGCCAGTTCTCAGATCAATCAAAAAGGTTAATTACCATTAACATTACGAAAGATGAATAGAATAAAATGGTTGTCATCTGGAGGGGGATGAAAAATAATCCTACAGAAATCTAAGACTGAAAAAAAAGAATAATAACAATACGAAAGATGAATAGAATAAAATGGTTGTCATCTGGAGGGGGATGAAAAATAATCCTACAGAAAACTAAGACTGAAACAAAAAAAAATAATAAAAAAGCAAAAAATAAGAACATTGAACAGCAAAATAAAATCATACTTTGAGAATCATTTCTGCTTTAGACATTCCTTTTGCAACAATTTTAGTGAAACTGCAAAATAAAAAGATCATCAATCGTTACAAAAAGCAAAACGCGAAATTGTTAATGTTTTGATATTAACTAACAATCCCCTATGTTGTTCAATAATCCCCTTTTCGATAACAAAAAGGGCATAGCCTAAGTTGCCTTTGAAGGTACTAATCATTTTGAAGGCCATAGGTACTGATTACAAGGGCACAGTCAAGGTTTTTCACCGAAAGGCCTGCCAAGGGCCATAGTAATAATCTAAAGAATATAATTCGATCCGTACCTTGCAGGCGGTTTTCTTGGGACATTTGAACCGAGGGATGTCAGATCGAGTATGACCGTTTTCAAAGAGTGAGTGTCTAGTAAAAGCTGCAAGAAACAAAGAAATTTCACTGCATAAAACAGAAAATTGCATTAATAAAAAACCTTGAGATTTAATCTAAAGGAATTCCAGAAAAAGTTAAAAATTTCTCTTCCCATACCAAACCTAAGGTCGTTTCGACACGGATTCGGTTTCAAAAGATAAGGTTTTCATCGAAATTGAAAAGAATCAGAAACTTTTGCGTGTAAACGAAACGATGCTTTTTCGAAGCCAGCGGTTATTTTTTACAAAAATCTCCACTCTGAAAAGCTTTTATAAATATATATGTTTTTAGACAAGGACTTATCGTTGTCATGTAAATGGGAAGTGAAGTAGCAACGAAATGATTGCGTTTTCTGATGACAGCACGGTTAAGCGGAAATATAGCATACTAAAGTACACATTGTCAATTATTATTTAAGTGTAAACATCGAATAATGACTGAAGATAAGAGCAACTTTGAGTCCAGGTGCGGATCGAAAGTAACGTGAGAGGAAGAATGACGTGTTTGATTAGAGCTTAGTTTTTGTCTCCTCGGCGGCTGCTAACCTCTCACCTAATTGAAGAGTCCAAAAGAGAAAACGAACTCTTTCTACCTGCACAATTCGGGATCTTTTGTTTTGATAGAGGCAGGTTCCAAAACACCTAAATGGTAATACGTTTCAGTGCACTTTGGATTCTTGATAAAACTTAAATAAGTTGAATTGAACTGCATGAAGAGGCGTGGTATCATTACTGTAAATTGAGAAATCAAAGGAAAATCCAGGGATTCTCACAACAGCATTTAGATTAGGACAATCACGAAATAAATTAATAAGGATACCTGTTCTGCTCCAATCGTTGAAATAGGTTTGCATTTGTAAATATAGTTGATGAATCGGGGAATGAAAGAGCTATAAAAAACATGTTTTCTTATTACATCAATAGCATGTTATCATTATTCAAATAAGATAATGAGTCCCATGCCGAAAGTGGGCAGCAATATAACTGTATGCCTTACCAGCCAGGCTATTGCAGCTTGGTGTTTGCAGTTTAAACCAACAACGTAAAAATAAATAAATGAGTACACATATGAAGTAAAAGAATGCAGGTATTTTTGTGTTAGTTAACTAAAGATCTCGCAACAGTTTCTCTCTATTGTACAAATAAAAGCCTTATGAAGTCTCGGAAATCACGAGGCATAACGTCGAGAATGGAAAGCTAACGGATTTTGGAATAAAAAGCCGCGTGATGGTCAAATTCAAGCATACACAAGAAAATGACTGGTAACAATACGGCAGCATCTATAACGAAGATTTTCTCTAAAAAAGTATTTTACCTAAAAGAAACAAGTTTTAGTTTAAGAAAATTTGCAAGCTTAGGCTCTATGGACATTTTGTAATCGTCTGCAAAGCCTAGGCCTTATATCTAATATGGCTGATCTTTTATGATTGCCTTTCGTTTCAAGTCGTTGTGACCTTACTGGGAAAAAAAGCAAAGCTATGACACTATTGTAAGAAAAGAAATTGGGTGCTCACTTAACAAACTTAATGCAGAACTGAGTGAAGTATTTTCTTGACGACTGGAGACTGTCCCTGATCACGGGAATGGCTTGCTTCATGTGTGTTGTCATAGCTGTAATGTAGCCACTTTGATCACCAACAGTCTCAATGCTTTGCCAATGTACCTATAGAAGAACATGATTACGATCAAAGAGGGACATGACATCTAGATCGTGGCTACCTGATTGAGCTTAACGGTCAATAAGGATGAGGAAAGAAGAGACGATACAGTTTTCGTCAGCTAAACTTGTCCTAATCTTGGTAAAAGATGAGCCTAGTAAAAGCACATTTACTAAAATGCTAAACAACTACAAAGCTACATGACCTTTGACAAAAATTCTGCATATCATATGGAAGCAGCAACCTCCCTAGCATACAGTTTGAAAATTTGTCGGCTTAGGCCCTTGGCTATGTTGTGCCGCCATTTCGGATTAACGTTTTCAGCCTTAAAGTACTTACCGAACAGCAAAAACAACTATGCTACTATTCTTCCACAATAATTTAAGTCTCTGGGCTCAAAATTACTAATATTTTCCACTTAGCCGAATAAAAAAGGAGATTCCGAATAAGAGTGATTTCTTTTACCTTTATCATTGCAGTAAGTGCCGGCTCGCATGCATTTTCAAGATCCTGTACGAGAAGCTGTGTGCTGTTTGAAATCACCCTGAAAAGAAGAGCTTTTAGTTGTTTAATATCCCCCAGAATTAAAAAAACTAAAACTACATTGTACATAAAGGAATCAGTTTCAATACTCCATTAACCAAAAGAAATAAAAAGAGTGACATTAAAATGAGAGTAGAAGGGAAGAGAGTGAACAAATAGGGTGTAGAATAAAAAATACAAAGTCACTTTATAAGTTCTACTAATATCAATTTTCTGATAACATCTAGGTGCTGAAATCAAAGCGCTGAAAAATATTGTTTAAATAGTAAACAAATTTGAAATAACGATACCAAACAGAAAACTGCCGAAAGAAAATATTTTTCAATTAACACTTTACCCGTGAAAAACATCTGTTTCTGCGCCAAAATTTATTTTTTCAACGAATTCAGCATCTATTTTCTCCTTCAACTTTTCTTGAAGCTGACAGAATAATAAAAAAGATACATTAAAACGTCTAAAAGATGTTTATTACAACGTAACTAATTATTACAGTTTAAAAAAGATTATATCAAACAATAAGAATTTTTTGCTATATATACAATTTAATGATATTTGCATTGAAAAGGATGATGTTTCTTGAAAAGAGACAAATTTAGACGCTATCGATGCGTAGATACATTTTCTGTAAAAATTAATTTTATTTTACTGAAGTAACTGTTAAGGAGGGTGTTTCTAATGCCCGTTGGTGACCGGTTCTAAAGGAAGATGTATACATAAAATCATTACCCAGTGGCGTACCCAGGGCTGTAGTAGTGGGGGGGGGGTCTGGAGAGATTTTTTTGGACCACACCCTTCAAACACTCGCAAATGCGGGAAATGCCCTTTTTTGCAAAATTTTCCCCTATTGTTTGATTCATTTTAGCTACGGTAAATAGCAAAGTATTTTACAATTGCTATTGACACAAGCATACAGTATACTACCCCCCTCCCTTATGAGTTTTACATCGTTTTTGGACAAATCTCGAGAACCATACTTTAGAAAAGTGGGGGGGTCCGGACCCCCTATTCCCCCCCTTGGGTACGCCACTGTCTATACCTACAAACATGCTCATTTCAACAAAAGAAGCAAACGCAATATTAAACAAAAATACTGAATGAAATGATCGACAGATTAATGAAGAACATGTTTTGCTCTCTGGTCTCTGGTCACATTAAGCAGGCATTGCTACCATTGTGGGTTCACGGGATTACTTTTTCAGATCACACAGACCAAACCTAGTCAGTGATTCTATCTGAGCATAGACTATGATCTAAAATACAATTTGCAAAACGCACCTGCTCAGTGGTTTCCAAACAATACTCCGCAGTAGTTAAAATACAACAGGTCAGTCGCTTTTCTTCAGCGTTGAATTTGATTTCAGAATCTTTTAGTATACTTGCCAGACCAGAAGTTACTCTAAAATAGAACAAAACGACCAACGATAGAGAAATACTTGGTACACCTCAATTTCCCATTATCAAATCCGTGATAGCTATGCTCGAAATTCACGTCGTAAATATGAAATTATACACTTCATAGATTAATGTTGTTAAACTCATAAATCGACTCATGTTATTAGGCCCAAAGTTTTGAGAAGGTTTATCAATCACAAATAAATGCCCATCAAGAGAGGATTGGTGACAAAAACGTTTGTCATAAATATAAAAATGCATACTGAAGGTGCAAAATATCTTTTCCTTAAACATAAACATTGGTATATCTATGTTTCTTTAATTCCAAGCTACACCCAAAACCCCATATATCTAATTTAACGAAAGTAATCCGTCAAGATAGAAACATACTTTGGTAGATTGCCGGTCAATATGCGATTTGCGTATTCCTTCAAAAACTTTTGGAATAAGCTCGCTAAGGACAGCAATGGAGTACCGGTGCTCAATACCGCGCATTGCACCATGCACTTCTTGTAGAAAACAAACAATTCACCAGCGCTTGGCAAAACAGTACTGTCTCCATCTGATTCCAGCTTAGAGACTTCCCGCGACTTGAAATCTTGATTGAATTTGTCGATCAAATCAGATAGATTCCTAGAAACAAATTAAAATCACATATATAAAACCAAACATACACAGGGTAGATGTGTAGATCTATAGAGGCAATGGCGTTTAAATATTGGGAGGGTGACAAATCTATTGTTCTGATAAAAAATGTCACATTTGTCTATTGTTTAAGAGCAAAAGACCATTGTCATAAAAAATTGGGTCGTCCCCTTCGCCTCCCAGGTGTCTGCCATTGTATAGGGGTTACGTACCATGGGCAATTGCCATCTTAAGTCTAGTTCATTCAAATTTGCTTTTGGGGGCCTTTTACAGGAGTTTCCCCATATCTAAAAACCTTTATATTGGATTTTTCATTGTTAAACATAAAAATATACAGCCTTACATTGCTTGACGAAATTCAATGCTGACCAAACCTTTAAACTTCAAATTTTCTTTTATAGATTAAAATAAGTGAAATTGCTTTAAATAACCACATACTTGTCCTGTGAGTCTATGTAAATATGAAGGTGAGGCTCGAAGCATCGTGATATCAGTGCTGTGAAACTTGATTCTGTGGATTTTGGGCTTTTCTGTGGAACAAAAAAATATTTTGACAAAATACAAGCAGCATTCAAAAATGGACCTCGTCAGATATATCATAATGAGCCATCATTATAGTAACTGTAGATTATTCACCATCTTTCAACAGCCTTACAATAGAGTATAGTTAATCAAATAGTCCTGTCAGAGCTTAGTGGGCAAAGTTAAAATGAGCGACATTATGTAAGCTTATTACATTTCAATACTACATTTATTAGAACCATAAGTATCTTTCAATGCAAGAAAAAAATTGATAAACATACAGATTTGATGCCTGCGTCCTTTGTGGCAGGAGATTCTTCATTTCCCGGTTGCTTTTCAGGCTTAATCTAGAAAATCAAAAGCAATTACATATTTTTACACCTAGAGCTTAGAAACAAGAGTGTATAAAGAAAATTAGTTTAATTCAAAGATGGGACAATACACACTTTTATAAAGAATTATAGATTAAAATATAAAATTGGTACAATAATTTTATATTGTGATAAAGATATATACAAAGATATACATTTTGATGGTTCTATTACGATGATGATTTCTTGATGAAATGTGTAGAAAAAAATGACTAAAATTGCAATAATAAATTGCCAGACCAAACTCTGAGAAAGTAATTAAAAAATCACTTAAAGATAAAATGTTAATTAAAAAATAATTAATTTATGGATTCACAATTCTTCAGTACCTCTGGCTTTTTAATGACATGGCTGTAAGGGAATCTTTTCGACAAAAAGCCTTCGAATGTTGTCGTCCTCTGAATTGCAAATAACAGCAACTTAACATCGATATCTGTGCTTTTTGCCGCCATTATATTTGATAATTCATTTCTAGAACAGAGAAAGTTTTTGCCATAAAGCAAATCAGTAAGAAAGCGTCAATTTAATGTCAGGTTCTCCATAGAGAATCATTATCTCCAATTTACAGACCTTTCTGTTGAAAGCGTATAGCCTTAAATATCCTTAATTAGCCTTAATTGTTGAGAGACATACAAAAAGCATCTTTTTTTTATACAAAAAAAACTCCATCAAAACACTCGGCAAGCTGCAAGAAAAATTTTTAAACAGTATTCTGTATCGCTAAACTGCTTTAACAAACCATCAAAACTAGCACAAACAAAAAGGAAAACCGTTAAAAAACAAATCACCACCTTGTTATCCTGCAGAATTCTTTGCATATTCTCTCGTCGACACACCAGTCACTAGGGAAAGTCCCAGTGAAGTCCTCTTCGTATTTGATCAGAACTCTCTTCATCCATGCGTATCGTCGGTCGATCTTGTCAATCCATGCCACCTTGAAATACGCAATTACTTGATGTAACTAATTTCAAACAATACAATTATGCTGGTATACAACGGAACACAACCTTTAACCAAGGTAAATGAATTCGTGCAGAAAATTTCGAAAAGGTTACAGCAGTTTATGAAAACATGGTTTCCTGTGCCAGTTTTTGTTAAATATCATTATCTAATGCTACTTTCAAAATTTGGGATACATCGATGTATCTAATTAATGTGGATCTAAATTTTCTTATATCTGAGAGCCAATAGCGATCAAATTTTATAGCTAGAATTTAATGCAGCAGTTTGGATTCAAAAATATTTGGGTAGTACTCACGTCAAAGTTTTCATTGAAAACATTAAGATAATCCGCAAGTTGGAGTTTAATGAACCAAGTTAAAAGATCGTCTCTGAAATAAAAAGAGCAGTGTTTATAATTGTAAATCATAGCTATTTGGACATTGTTTAGCACATTTAGATCAAGACTAAAGCGAGACAGCTGGATTTTAGATGCTGAGTCGAGACTTCTTAAGCGTATTTACAAGCTATCACGTTATTCAGGCTAGGAGTTGTTAATATCAGAATGACATTTTTAGCACTAGAGAGTTAATTCTTGCAACAAGTTTGTAAAAATAAAACTCTAACTTGAAACGAGGATCCAAGATGGCCACTACTTTGCAAGCATCAGCTAGCTGTGAGTTCGGGCCTGCAGGAGGCTGAAAATAAGCAAAAAAGTCGCGAATGCTACTTTAAGTAGTGTCAGAAAATTACTACCAGAAAATAAGATCTTATATCTAACTTAATGTAACCGTGTTTTCGGAATAGAATTTTCGGACAACTCTTCATTTATAAATGAAAGAGTAAGCCTGAAAAAATACCATCACTCATTACTTCCATTAAAAATTTTCTAGGGGAACATTGAAATTTTACATTGGCTAAGAAATATAGCCATAAAAAGTTGCATTTAATGTCTTATTGTATAAAAACTATGACAGTCCTCCGTAACTATTGACTCACTTACTACTCAAATAAGATGCTTGTGTCCGAAACAACACGTAATAGACTTATGACCTACACACGTCAAAAATCATGACAAGTGAAGAGTTAAAGCTAATTAAAAATGCAACGAGACCCCATACATATCTATCAACCTGAATCCCGTAAAAGTAAAAAGACGTAAGAATTTCTTGGAAAACTGTCTAACTTATTTGAGGCAGCGACTTTATACAAACATTGCACCTTTTTATAACATAACATAAAAGGTAACATCTAAATACCATTACCTTTATTCCTGGAATTGACACAGCATCCTTAAAATCTGAGAGGATTTGATTCCCTAATTCATTTTGAATACTTGTCACTCTACAGGGAAAAAATTGAAGTCATTAATAGCAGACTTCGAGAAGTTTAGCGCACATAAATGCTTGCCAGTTACGATAACAATCATTATTCTAATAGAAATACTATACACTCCAAGATTTTGGTATGTTAATGGCTGGTGTTTTCTTGCGTATGCAGGAATATCTTTAAAATATCCTACTCAACTGTGTAATTATCAGAAACTACGGTACAAACTGAGCTGCTATCAACTATGTTTTCCTTCAGTACAATGGCGTTCTGCAGGTCGCTCGTATAAGTTCTCACTAAAGAATATTTGTCTGTAATTCTGTCTGCAGTATCTCTCACAAGATGGTGTCTGGCCAGGGCTTGTTAATAGCTATGAAAGAAAGGCCAAATGATGGAAAAATACCTTCTTGGTAAGCAGAAGGGCATGCTAACAAAATGATAGAACTTTCAATGTTTATCGAAAAGAAACGAATACACATAAATAATGACATACTTATCTGCAAGTTGTCTAATTTGTGGAACACTGAAATACTTTTTAAAATGGTCCAGGACATTTAATACTCCTTGAAGTAAATTGGCTACTTCTCCATACTGTCGATTACGAGTTAAGGATCTAACAAGAAAAAATAAAAATTTCGTTTAACCTCAAAACGGCTTAAAAAACATACGTCGAACAAACCCCCATCTACGAGTATATTTAATCAATTCGCACGCAGTTCTTAATTCAATTGTGAGTGGAACACATATGCATACTGCTAATCCTACGTATAACTACGAAAAATTCCAACAAGGTGTGCACCATCCCTTAGACCTCTTTTTGGCGTTCTTTTTGGTGTAAAAATGAACCTACAAAGCCGATACTATTGCCTTTAAAAGGGCAATTTTATTTTGTTTCAAGACTAACGCAAGACGGGTTTTTAAATTTTCATAGGCTTTTTTTTGCTCATTAATTTTTTAACTTAATGCAAGATAGTGAACTTCATTGGCTACACGTGAAATTTTTAAGCTTATCTTCAGAAAGAAGTAACATAAATTAGGCATTGACGGATATTCATCTGTCCACATATCAATCCTACTGGAGTACAACAGCGTTGTGAGAGGAAGGAACAGAGGCAGAGGGGCACGTGCCACGTGGCATCATCTTATGGAAAACTTTTGCGTTTAATTAGATAAAGTAACGAGTATAATTGTGCAATTTTGAAAGATTTTTCATTTACATATGATCGAAGAATGGATCCCTGTTCAATCATTTGATTCAGACAAACCAATGGTAATTGTAAGCCTATTGGATAAAACAGATTCTTTTTACGCAGGACACACTACAGATTTTTGTCAGAATGGCAGTTTGTCCGGCTTTCTCTTCGGGCCTAAAGCCACGATGCCCCTACTGGAGCAGCATTTTAACACTTTGCGAATATAAATTTATCTTTGACTCTCTTTTCTGTTTCACTCTTCCGTATTTCTCGTTTATCGTGTGTCAAAAATATGATATCCAAGTAAAGATGGCTATTATTGATTGTTATTTTGCACACATGATTCTTTTTCAAATATAAAACCTTTCTATTGCATTTATACTTCAAACCAGTCCTTAACAGGCAGTGAGTCACTTACTCTAAATTCTCAACGCCACCAACTAGAATGTGTAGATGATTAAGCGTGGTAATTGATGTTGTAAGATGTCTTTTTGCGTGGTCAAGCTGCTTGATATCTCTTGTTATTTCTTTTACCTGTACGACGAATAACAATTTGTCTTTCAAAACTGAGCTTCGCTTACAGTGTTTGAATAACAAAACAACGTGAAACGAACAAACTTCCAATCACAAAATGAATGAATTACATGTAAATTTTGGTGGAAGAATTTTTCTACCGGTCAAAGTTACAATCGAACTGTCTAAGCTTGAAACAACATTGTAGCATTGAGTAAATAAATTAAATAACCGGCAACAGAATTGTAGGTTGAAATACTATCTTAAGCAAACGTTAAATTTCACGTCTTTTTTGAACAATCAGTGAACACTGGAATTAACCAGACCCTCATTCTTGCAGCTCTCATTTTTTATCTCAATTTAAGGATTTTAACACAAAGAAATTGTTAGTTATTACCCAACATATCATACCAAATATTTAATCTGCACCTTCAAGCAGTAAAATACTGTCTTTCAACATAGAAACTGTTCAACCTAGGTTGAAAACCTCTACGTTTGTGAAATATCAATGAATTTAATATAAAAAAGCAGGACTACAAAGCAATATAAAGTGCAATATAAAAAAGAATGAAAAATGTGATACCATTTGCTCTGACTTTTCAGCCTTTTCTTTTATATCTTTTATTTTTGAAAATAAATCATGAATGGAGCTTTTTGCCTCTTCCAGTGCCTAAAAGCATAAATTCTTGATATTCAATAAATAAAAATATTTGAGAATCTAAGACTACTAATTACAATATAGAAGTAATTATTGTGCACTGCTTGGAAATCCCAACATTGCGAGATTCTGAAGCATAGAGAGGTACAGCCTAACGTAATATGATTCACTGAAGCAAATAATCATGTTGGAACAATACAAAGCTGGCAAAAAACTTGCAAAAAAGAAATTCTCTAATTCAGAACTTTCTTAGTAGTATGGGTCTTTCTGAGCTAGTGGTAGAAGTTGCCCTTTCTGAGAGAAGCAAGCCTTATCAATCAGTTGTCTATACTTAATATCTTCCCTTTAACTGCTAAAAAAGCTCATTTCTATGTGGTAAAATATGTAAGAAGAGAGAAGTTTCTGCACAATTAGCTGAGTTTAAATGCCAAGTTCCCAACATTATTTAATATCATGAGCCTAATTTCAAGACAAAAACAAACAGAAGAACACTAGAAGAATACATAATGTGTAGGACAACTAAACTGAGAGGCATGATTGAATAATTATTTAGTACGAAAGAAAACATTAAATATACATATATATATATAGATATAGAAATTTGTCTTTTGATACTTCCGTAGCACAGTGCTCAATACGTTAGCACGTAGAGCGTGATAAAACGAATTCAAGACAAGATACAGAAATCACACCGCATTTTTCCGTCACGCAAAACACAGAAATTCCACAGAACTCAGTAAATACATCTGGACCCTAAAAGACAATAACATCGACCACTCCATTTCCTGGCGCATCCTCTCAAAAAAGCCATCCTACAGCAGCTCAAACAAAAGATGCAGCCTTTGTCTTAAAGAAAAGACCCTCATTATCTGCCACCCCGAATTATCAACACTCAACAAACGAAACGAACTCGTATCTTCTTGCCGCCATAGAAACAAAACACTATTATGTAACACCTAAATCCCTTTATGTACCATCCCTAATTTACCTTTTGTATAACCTTACACATTATGTAACACCTTCTGTACCGAATTATCTATTTATTTGAGGAATATTCCAGTATATCAACATCTCCTGTAGAGTGAGTTACTCACGAAACAGGCTTGTAGAGATAAACCATGTAGTTTTACTTTCTTCAATCTACGATATATATAGATATATATGTATTCTCAAGTACCTCAAGATTTATATAGATATAGTTTTATTTTAATTTTAAAAACCATTTTTTAATTTCCTTCTATTCAATTTTCTTTTATTTTAAAAAAAAACGCTGGAAACATTGGATATAACTCATACTTCTAAAATGATCTTAATTTAGATTTTTAAGGATTGTGTTTATCTAAAATCTTTACTTTGTTGCAAAATGCTTTGATGGGAAATATCTATGGCTAGCTCACAATTTTCATATTAAAACACTGAGTTCAAAGAAAGGAAGCTTTTTACCTGTCTGCCATCATGCCCAACTTCAGTTTGTCCCCTAATTGCAGTCCGTATTTCACCATCAAGCCTCCTAAATGAAAATAATTCATGTATACATATGATTAAACAATTCACAGAAGTGTTTAATATGGTATCTTAATTGAATGATAATATCAATGAAGACAAAAATTTTAAAATCAGCAAGAGGTCATAACATTTAACACTCATTAAGGACCAAGATTTATTTGAAAACTGGTGGGCTCAGTTATAGAAAATGTTCATAGTGGGTAGTAACACATAATTGAGAGAATTCTGGAAAGCTGGGAAGTTATCCACCGGTGGAATAGAAAACTGGAACACAGAAAGAAAGTAAAGTACAAAGCACACATTAAGTTGAGTCACTGTAAAAAGATACAGATGGTTGTCATTACTATTTATGGCATATTATACAGTCAAGATTTTCTTAAACTCTCAATCAGATTACAAAATAAACTTTACTAGTTTAATGCCTTGTGCAACGGGAAATCTAAAACCCTTTACATCACAATTAAAATGATTTAACAATGAAAGCATTTAATTCTGACATCTAATTTAATTTACATATTTAATCATGTAAAATTTTAAAAACTTTCCAAACATTGTGTATTCTGAAAATGTATGTTTACCTTATCCTGAGTCGAATTCTTCCCATAACATTGTCAATGTTTGCCAATGACTGAAATCAATAAAAGAAACAATACATTTTGTTAATACCTTGAATGATAGAGTAAAAATTTTATTTTCATATATACAAGAACATGTCTGACAATTCTATGACAAATCACATCATTTATGAGTCACATTATATTTCAAAAACAATTGTAACTATACAATACATTTGTTAATACCTTACATGACAGAGTAAAAGTTTATTTCCATAATAACAAGAACATTTCTGACAATTCTATGACAAATCACATCATTTATCTATGCCAAAGAGAATTAAATTGTATTCAAAGCTCATGAGTAACATTAGATTATCAAAATAATTGTAACTATACCTGTTCTGTGGGGAAGAGTTTATTGATGTAATCAACTGGATTGAAGTCCTTGTTATCCAAAGGGTCATTACCTGAGATCACCTGTAAACAACATAATCTTGTCAGACATTATACACCTGAAATATTCACCTATCATATCATAATCCATCTCAAGAAAATAAATGTTTAAAAAACATAGGAACCAATCAATACCATTTGAACAGGCATTGAAATAAGAATGTGACTGTGTTTAAGAACTTCAACTAAAGAAGATGAAGCTGCAAATTTTTTAGATTTGTCTGCATTGATGTCATTTTTTACTTGTTATTTGTTATTTGTTTCTACCTAGCATCCAAAGGTAGTTTTTAGGACACTGAGACACTGATGTTTATCATGCAGTATCCTCGTCCTTCCTTTTGATGCAACCACACCTTGTGATTCCTACACCTGGAAATACAGAGAGCTGGTGACTCTTCTCACTCTGGGTGAAAGTTTGGTCATGCCAGGGACTCGAACCACAGACCCTTGGGATCCTCGTGCCTGCTTTTATTTGTTAGCTTTTATTTGAAAAACAAAACAAGGAATAGCAATTAACAATTGATAATATGATCTCTTATTGAATTTTTCCACTTAAATATAAAAATTGAACCTTTCCAAAGGTGTTTAACTGGTATTTAATGACCTGACATGAAAATATGAAAATGACCTGACAGGCTTTCATGCTACTCATTCAGACTGATCCTGTGCAAACAATCCAAAAATACACTTAAAGAAAAGAAACTAATTACTTATTTGTGCAATCAATTATCTAATTTTCCCATCATGCCATCAGACAAGAAAGATATCAATGCTGCAAAAGTAGAACAGCTTTTTAATGAACTGAAAACATTTTAGTGAACATTTTATCCGTCTCACATATCTTGCTGGCATGCATCAATCTTGACAAAACAAAATTTAAATCCATCCAGGATCAAACTGTTTACAATGGAAATTATCATCAAACAGATAGCCCTAAATGAAAAATTAGATGTCTCCATCATTGTATGAAGACACAAAAGCTGAATGTTGATTGCTACAGCTTCCTTTGAAACTGTAACAATTTCCCTTTTGCGAGAAACAATAAAAATATTTGCAAAATTGTTGTGATGGTGACATTGAGTCAGTATAATTTTGTAGCTGCAAGCAAAGTTGGTGCCTAATTACAGGAAAGCAGGAATTTTTCACCTTGAAACTGAAATCACTTCAAAAAGCCAGATAATTAGTTTGTTACTTCTGTTAAGTCAGTTGTTATACCGTTTTATTATATTACTGTTTGTTTCTTTTTCTTTTATCACCTGTTTGTTTTTAGAGTTTATGTTTTTTATAATCAATAATACATTCCAGTACACCTTCTTAGTATAATCATTTGTATAATTCATAAATCATACCTGAAAAGTAAGGCGTCACTTCTTAATTTACACAGCAAATTAGCACAGTTCATTTCTCTTACATAAAAACTTGTATTGTAACTAAATTTTCACGTTCACTTCAAGAAAATGAGCAATTAACGCTTCTCCTACCTCTGCGATCGCACTTTCTACATCTTCAGGGAAATCTAAGAAATTGAATAAATCATCGTCACCAATGTCCTCCCCTGTATCATGCTGAAAAACTTTATTTTTCCCATCTTTTTTCACATTTTCTGTCACTGCTTCCGCCCCTTGATGTTCGGCCATCTTGACAATCGTCTAGACTAGCCTCTTTTTCAATTTTGGTCAACAAATTTTTCAAATACCTTCAACCCCCGAATAACCCCCGACCCCAAGGGCTTATTTGTGAAAGTGAATTTTTGGGTTGAGACTTTTCAAGGGCTGAAAAGGGGTGACTCTTTGAGTAGTGACACTCGTTAAACTGTAAAGTTGATGTATTTTAACTGTCAAAATCAGGATCATTCAACAGAAAAACACCTATTCTAGGGGAGTTTTTTTGAAAGGTGGGGACTTAATCGAGGATTTACGATATTTGTATTTCCAGAATTTTTAACTTCCCGGACTTTTAGCGTGTGTGTAAAAAAGAAAAAACTCTAAAAATATCTAGAAGTTTAGTCTTTCCCGTTAAATAATTGTAAAAACAAACAATACTTTCGTCAATACTCATGAGCTATGGAGCTTATGATAGATCACCTTTCGTTCATCATTTTCTCGAGACATGAGTATGTTACAAGACTGCTATGAAGAACATACCTCTTCAGGAGGAAGGAAAAATACAGCTAGCTCCTTTGTCAGGAAGGTGATCCTACATGTGATGGTATACCATATATGCACAAATCAAACCAGTGAAAGAAAATGTGCGAAAAAGTTATGTACGTGATTGAGACTTGTTTTTTTGAAATTTGTTTCGTTGAAATTTTATTGACGTTTTCATATACTAAGTATTTCGTGTTCCTGATTTCAAAATAATCCCACTTGCTCAAGTCTACGTCTCCATCTGCATAACTCTTGCTTAATAAACGTAAAGAAGGTTTTAAAGTTTTAGCTTTGGTTCCAGTTGGCATTATATTTTCTCCTTTGTACAATCAAAAAATGACTACAGAAGACAACTAAAAAGAATCACAACTTCATCACAACTAATAAATTAAAATTCAATGCTAAAATTCTCCTAAAACATAGGTTGACTCTAGGTAGAAAAAAGAAGGAAATTCAAGTATATATCGCATGAGTAAATAGAAATGAACCGTCATTGTTACGTCTAAATTTATCTAAATGCTTGTTAAGTCTTTTTAAACGATTTGCAAGAACCCTACGTATTTCATGTTTACAGAAGATTCAGAGATGATATTTGTCAGTATGAAAGAAAAATTACTTAGTTTTCCACTCAGACTCACGCAAACCAAATTTGCAGTTATTAAAAATTATCTCTCATTCCCCATTAAATTTTATGGGCTAGCAGCACGCGTAGCTTCACCAATGTTCACAACTGGACTAAAAATTGACAGGATAACTTAAACTTGTAAGCTAGTTCATAATTTAATTCTGATATTGAAAAAATTTCACTGTGCCTGAAAGCTTGGTTAGCAGTTGCAAGATACGTTTTTTAAAAAGAATGGAATTTAAAACCCTAAAACAATGTCTGAAAAAGGCTCTTTAAATAAGGAATTGCTAGTAAATAAAAAAACAGTGCCATATCCAACCATCCATAAGCCCTCAATCCCTGCTTTCAAAGTCACATTGTCTATAACGTGAAGATGACAAAATCATAAGATTTATTACATTCAATGTATAGAGAACGAATTTGTTTTGTACTGTGATGATGTATAAGCGAATTATGTATATTACAAATTGACTTAGAGAAATAAAGATTAGCCATCAGAATCAGAAGAATCGTCTTCAAGCTCCTCGAGTTCAAGATCTGGCATCGGAAATCGAAGAATGGCAGCAACGCCGGTAAGCATGCCAAGCTCTGTAAAAGATGGTGTGTTATATGAAGTGTAAGGCCATTGAAATTTTACGAGGGAGCCTTCTAAACATATTACATTCAAGACTGGGGTCAGAACCTTGACAAGTCTCATTTACCAGAAATAATTCGAATGTGGGGGAGTTGTAAAAACAGCTTTCAAAAACTGATTAACAATAAAAACAGATTAATAAATTTCAAGGAAAGGGTTTCTGAATCAAGAAACGAAAGAATCCATAAACAAGAAATGGAGGAAATAGCGACTGAATCTAAACATATGTTTGTCATCAAATACGTCATAAATAATTACAGATAATGATTGGTAACTAGAAGAGGACCACAACACGAGTAAATATTAATGAAGTATGTTCTATAGTGTCATATCGGCGATACGCTTTGGTAATCTAATTATTGCATTTTTCATGGCATTGCAACATTCATGGCAACTTTCCGCTGCTCAAAGATGGCTAGAGCTTCCTTCAATTGAAGCGTTAGCAGTCTATCATTACTTTAACTTACCCTACTTCTTTAACAAAGTTATATTATAAAAAGTGGTACTTACGTTCTCCAGACACGTGAAGACTTGAAAATATTCTGCGAAAAAGAGAAAGGTTAATGGCATGAACCACTTAGCAAAAGAGACTCAACGTTGTGTGAAGAGTAAGGGAAAAAGAAGACCAGGCCATTTTATATGTAACAAGGATTCGACAACAGGCATAGATTCTCAATAACATAAAGCATGAAGGGACTTATACTATTTAGCTAATTATCATAATACTGTCTTAATCTGTCATTGGCAGAGTAATCTGGAAAATGATGAATCGCCAGGCTTGTCAGTCTCCCTTTCACTTTAAGATGGCATTTCTATCTTTCTTCATGTTTTCTGTTGCCAATAAATAAATATTAAGTGTAATATAACACGTGTGTCAGCTTTATGGGCTACCTCGTCACAATTATACAAACGAGCAACAATCCAATGATATTCAAGCCGAGTAATGAAAGTACAAATAATCTGCCAAAACCTATTTTGGCCTTTAGACCCACAGAAAAATTTATTTTCCAGTATTCAACTACTTGATATAAAATCACCGGCATTTAAAGTGACCAAAATCGTAATAAAGATTTTCAGACATTATCTTGAAATAAGCGTCAAAGTTAAATTTCAACTTTGCTAGTTTTTTTTACAAAAATAGTATATAGCAAACAAGTAGATGCTAAAAAACTTTGAACTCTTACTTTACATCCCCTCCGTTTTCTTTTACACTTTCAACCAGATTCACATACTTCCTCCTCGTTGCAACATCGCTTGCCCTTTAGCAACAGGAAAATATATTCACACGATGCCATTACGCAATTAAGTAAAAGAAGACATTTTCAAATTAGAGTAAAATTTATTTATTATGTCACTGGATGTGTATGAACCACAGGATGGGCCAAAAATATGCCAATCTTGAACCAAATACTCGTATTACCAAATACTTTTCAGAAACGATTGGTTTCTTCTTTAAAAGGGTTTGCTGCAGTGTATATATCTTTCACAAAAATCAAAACATGTACTTTTTCTCAACATTATTCGCAGAATAGTAGCCGACCGGCCACACGAGACATAACAATAGCCAAAAGAGTTCTTTTACCAATATTACAAAAATTTTCGTGTGATGACTCAATGAAAAGGAGCAGGTAAACCCTGCAGTCTGCTGACAAGTAAACAGTTAACTCTTCATCGTACAAACATACTTACAGTTAGCATTTCCACATTATCCTCTGATTAACTGTATGTATAACGACAAACTTACAGCATAACAGAGAAAAACAGCAGAATTTGATTTCATTTCTCTAAAATATTGAATGGCCTACATACAATGTATCATTTCACTGCATATTCCGGGCATTAAAATTTTAGAACATGTTATCAATTCAATTAAACACAGTTAGTTAGTTCAAAGTAGGTGCTATATGATTAAACGCCTGAAGGTACCTGAAAAGTTCATCTGTGACTAGCAGAGTTTCTATTGCCATTGCTTCATTCGCTCCGCTCACTTGATTGAAACTGAGAGCAAAAATCTCATCATCAATCAAAAAGCAATCAAAACAAACGGATTTCAAAGATAGGAATAAATGTTACCTTTGAAACATTATAGAAAGTAAGATTTTTCATAAACAAAAAAGCGTGCTTCTCTTATTAGTCTAGGAGCCACAGTCACTGTGAAGAAGGCTAAATAAACAACAGATCTAGAAAGGTATAAAATGGAATATGTTGAATATGTTGCCACTATATACGTCTCAAAAATACCAGGCTTCCATATTTTCATCAACGAATGCAGATCAAGTTCAATTTGAAACAAATAGAATACAGATTATCTTTAGAGCTATGAGATATGGGAATAAAAATAAATAAACATTATCAACAGCTTTATCTTACCCATAAAATGCCTTAGCCGGCTCATCTTGGAGCATTTTGAAGAAAGCATCCAAAGCTTTGACTTCACCAGTAGCCTAAAAAGACAGACACAGCATTAAGAACAGGGTAAAAGCTGTCATAAAATTCTATAAAAGAAAGTCTCAGTCGCTGCCTCAGCTAAATGAGAAACCTAAAGAAAAATTTATTTGAATTATCGATTAACAAAGAAATCTCATTAAAAATAAAATACCAAGAGAAGAAAATAAATTAAAAGCAAAAGATGGCAAAAGATGAAAAATATAAAAATCGGCTCGGAATAGCAAACGTACAAAACATTTTCAAAACCAAAAATCTGCTACTAAAAACAATTTTGTGGATTAAAAAGAACCGGAAAGAAATAACCTGAAAAGCAGAAGTGAAAAGACAAGCAGGCAAGTGTTATAATTAATATTGTTTGCTGTGGGATCAATAACCAAAAAAGTAAGCTATATGCTTCTTGAAATAAAAGTCATTTATTTTGTTTCACCATGTTGTGAAGTTTATCCAACAGCAATATCAACAAACGAGAATGAAATTAAGCCTTGTTGAATCCACTCTACCTTTGTGTCGGATAATTTGTTTGCAATTGAAGGATCAGCTAACACCTCTAAAAGAAGAAAAAGTCTCTTAAAATACAGCAAAAAACTCTCTTTAGACAATAGGATCTATTGATTTCAAGGCTATGATATCTTTAGGATGGAGCCAGATCTGCCCAATACGAGACTTGGTTACCGAATACGAGATTTGGTATTGTGATAGAGAAGCTAAGATGCAATAGGAATAGAATATGGCTGCCCTTATAGAGTAGCTTGAGTAGAACTAGAGTAGAGCGTAGAAACGTGGCATAAATGATCGTGAAAATGTTCTTGTGTAAACATGAAACTTTCAGTTAATATACATATACATCAATGTTTACATAATAAAATAATATACTATGACAAATATTACAGACTTTTATCATATAATATCATATGTCATATTTTCAGTTTTGAAGACCAATCAGTATTTGTCTGGCATGATGTTAAAAATACTACTAGATAATAACAAAAAAATATGTTATACTAAAACGCATCAATATATACTAAAACCTTTTAGTGAATGTTTGAAGCCGGAGGAAGCATGACTCTACAAAAATAATACATAGTCTTTAAGGGATTATAAATGCAACAATTTCTTTCAAAATTCAAAAATAATAGATAAAATGGAATAGCACAAATTGTTGACACAGCTCATTAAAAATCAATTTGAAGTTTCAAGTTATATGGTATTACAACTGAAACAGAAAAAAACATTGCGAACAAAAACCTACCAAGACAAATCTGTGTTTATTTTCAAGAAGGACTTTTTGATCTAATTTGGCAGCTTGGTTGAACATATATTCACAAAATTGGTCCTAAAAGAAATAAATTACCCACTTTTAGAGACAAATATGAATGAGCCAAAATAAAAATGCTCGCCTTCTCTGTTCCCTTTGATGTTGAAACATCTCTGGGTGGATCACTGAAGCACATTATCAATAGTGCACGAGAAGAAACATATCATCATACCAATCAAAACGGTTAATGCATCAAATCAATATTTGAAATAGACGGCAAATAAGTTCTCGCACCTTTACGAATCCCGGACTTGCAACCAGCACGCACTTTACAACTAAGAAAATGAAGGCAAAATCATGAATAACAGTAAATGTCTACGTTAAAAAATTAGTAGTTTTCTAGACGGTATCAGAACTAAGGTTAAGCAAAAACTTTAGCAACATCTAAAGACGGCCAGAAATCTTTACAAAAAGGCATGTATGACGAGATGAATCAGAAATGTTATTTACAATTCAAACTTTAGGGAAAGTTAAACTTTTAGAAATGTAAACTTTTGCTAGGTTTTATCACACCCTGAGATGATAAAAGTAATCTGCATAAAATACATTCGCATTTCTCTGTTTCCATCTATCTGTGTTCATTAGATCGTAGGAGTATCACTTCCTGAGAAACAGTCAACTCAGTAATACACAACAGAAAACTAGTTCAACAAGAATATTGAACGAAGAGAACTATGCGCTGCCATTGATTTCCTATTTCTACAAATGTCACAGTATCGAAATGTATCGAATAGAAGCAAGGCCAGTCCTGCCCTGTTCTTCTACAACTTTCTTCAAAACTTTTTACAAAAATATCCAGGCAGTTTGAAGATCGATTGCTCTTTCAGACAAAACTTTTTTGGCAAGAAAAACAACATTTTCATAAGAACATCAATGATTACAAGAAACCAAAATCTTTTAACCCACAAGATCAGTTAATCATTATTTTTCTTTGAGTGGTGGAAAGAAAATTTGAAAAGATAAAACAACTAAGCGGGTATTCTTACCATCAAAATTAACATGCCTTAGAATCGCCTGTATTACTGTATCATAAAACTTTAGAAGACCCTAAAAATTGAAAATTTTTTAAGATTAAGTAATATGATAAAATTCTCTATCAAAATCTATCCAAGGTTATTGAGTTATTGGTAGGGTTATTGAAATTCTTTTTTTGAAACTATAAATGATTTTCACACCCTAAGGATTTATCACACTACAGGCCAAAGAATTTACCCCGTCTTTCTTGAAAAGACTGCTTCCTGTAAAAACTTTCTAAATAAACAGCAATAATATTTTCCAGTAAACCTTGCGTTTGCTATGCCAAATATACTGTCTTAAGTAAGTCTAACAGAGCACAGCTCGTCCGCTGAATTCCCTGAAAAATGCCGAGAATACCTTGTCATGTTGAGAGCAACTTCCTTTCCTTTTTCTTGGAATTGTCACATCTATTTTGGCCCTTACGATTGTCATACATGAGGTAACTAGGCAGACATGCGCAATACCTGTGATAAGAATTCAATTAGAATAAATGTGTTTCTCTACGTCTCAAGAACAAACGATAGCTCTAGCTTTAATGATGAAAGAAGAGCTCCTTAAAGAAATAAATTCATTATCCTACCATGCTCGATACACCAAAACATTAATAAACTTTCTCGATTAGCAATTGCCATGATATTTCATTCCGTCAGATTGCTTTGATATCAATAGATCCTTAACTTTTGTTAAGCTCGACTATATCAGTTTATCCAGTTCTATACTTGCCACAGGAAAATCGAATAGAAAGTTCTAAAAAAGTACGATTACCTTCTTGCATTACAATTGCTGCAAGGTCTGCATGCTGAGTTGGATCACAGGCGGTATCTGCAAAAAAGACCACAATAAATATGTACCAAATCAAATCAGGAAAATATTAAGAGGAAACAGATGTACTTAGCAGGAAAATGGCTGCTGTGGTCTGGGGCAAAATACCCTGTAATATCATGTGAAGTAAGGGAATAATATATCTGTGTGTTTTGTGAATACCTTAGATAAGAAACCTAGATCAGTTTAGGCATCAAAGACCAGTCTTGGTGTCAAGAGGTGAATCTTCCTATCGTCACTGTGAATAGTTTTGCAAAACCTCTTTACTAACTGTATCAGAATTTGGAAGGAACAATATCAGCCAAGTAGGAGTTGAAATGTATTAAATTGTTGTGAAGTATTGTAGTGCTGTTTTGTAGAGCTAAATGAAGACCATGAAGGCAAACATTATTATATTTTAAATATAGATCTTAAAGATGGATAGTGACTGAGCATGCAATCAACTACCTTTTCATCTAGAAAGCAAAACAAGGGAATTGTTGAAAAGCTAAGTCCATCTAAAGTTTATGTACCAACAATTAAACAGTATATCAGTAGCATAAGCGAATAGAAATTGAATAATGTTTCTAATGGAGAAAGTTTCCTGTTCGTGAAGAAATGGTTGATTTGGAGAAAGTGGCTAGATTGATACGTCCCATGAGATACGTGACAAAGAAGTCTATTTGCTCATGAGACATGTGACAAAGAAGTTATTCCAATCTATTCACTCAACCAGCTTTTTCTATATTTTAGACAATTTGTTTATAAGTCTGGTTTTTACCAAACAGGCAAATAAGTATATTGTTAAGTTCTGTTTTGTCTCGTAAAGGTTGTAAAGGCTGATATGAAGTATCTTAAAAAAGGTATAATAAGGTGAAATTCAAAAGCTAAGGAAAAAGCAGAAATAGGAGAGAATTTAGGATAGAATAACGAAACAAAAAATAGTACAAACCAACTCGTTCGATTGCAATGCAATCCCAATAAGCTTTTGTTACACTGAATTTTCTATTCAACTCCAAGTCTATTGTGTGATATTGTCCCATCTAGCAAAAAAATTAGGTCTAGTACATAGAAATACAACCAATATGGTTTTGATAATAACACATTTAGTTAATCTTTATACGAAACTGACAACAAGTTGTACATAATTCTACTTTGGCAAGTGGATTAAACTGTGATTTTCAAATCAGAAATGACTTAGGAGTGATGACAAATTCTAACTAACAAATATAAGGTAAACGGCAATCCATTACAAATTAGAGATTCCTTCAAATGACACTTTATTTAAAATTGTTATCATAATATACATTTAGATAACAGCTGTCTTCAATAACAGTTTAAGCCTTAAAATACACAAAACTATTCATAATGGCAGATTTCTGTGAACTTTTATTGCAAAAGAGTTTATCCCTCCAAATAGTAGGTTTATGAACACATTTGTTAAAAAACATTCTTAAAGGTTCCATGATTTAGGACTGCTAATACAGAAAGAATACACAGAGTCTTAAAACCAACCTTGACATATTGATTTTCTTCAATATTTCTCCCTTTGACTCTTAGCATTGAAGCTTGGGTGTCAAAATCGATGTTTTCTACTTTGATGGTCAAAGTTGTTCGCACTTTATTGCTGCTGGTGCTTCCAGTTGCAGATTGGGTGGTTACTCTCCTGTATTACCATAAAAAATTATGATATAATATCATGTAATAGTAGAAACTTTTTATGGGTGTCTGACTTATATCATAAAAAGACATTCATCATTTGCAAAATTTAAAAGGAATTTTGGGAAACAAAAGTTGAAAATGTGATCACATTAGATAACCAGGACTCAGCAATAAAAGGATTTAAATGAATCATTGTTTGAAATTTTTAGGAGCAGTTAAATTTAATGTTGAAAAAAACATGCTGCCATAACATGGTCTGACATTTAATGTTTTTCTAAATTTTTGGCCTAAAGCATCAAAATTCAATCTTTGATAAATGCATTGAATAAAAAGAATGTAGGGCAACAGATTCATATAGCCAAAACCCTTGCATGTTATGGTTACTATCAGTCCTGGTAATATTAGGTGTGTGATCAACCGTGCATGCTTCCACTCACATCTAAAACTGCAGATGCCCCGTTTTTTTGGTAATCCCAGTTCCACATTTTGAACTGCTATTCTTTCTCTCTTGTGTTTCTTTTAATTTTTTGTTTATTTTCTCTAAAGTAACTTTTAATTTCTTTTGCGTATGTTATCTTGATGGTATTGCCAGGAAGCATTATAACTCTTTAAGAACCGGTTTCCTTTACTCTGTTTTCAAATATGTCTCATTCTATTTTCATATTTTCTTGAACAAATTTCCCTGAGCCACTCCATTTTGGTCAACACGATAACTTGGGTGTTACCATTACTCTATTTTTATTCATTCTTGTATCCTTTGTTTGAGCTCATTTTGAAACTGAGATTGAGTGACTCTATTTTTGAATGCCTCTGTCTTTGCTGTTCCCAATAAAACACTGTTCCCAATAAAAATTCAAATGATTCTGTTTTGGAATGACTCCATTTTGAACAGTGATTTCGAGTGGCTCTGGTTTTGTATCAAATGACTCCGTTTTGAAGGTATTAATGGAACTCAAAATCTAAAAGAATTCATTTGAATCCATTCTCACACGAAAACAAAGTTGTCAACAGGGCCTAAAGACTTGCATGCTTTCTGTTGAATAATTTTGTTTTCACAAAACTTCTTCCAAATTCTGTAAAAATTGTTTGGTTGTATGAAAAAATTGAGCTCTTTTTCAAACAGTGATAAACCCCTTCAATTAGAATCATTTAAAATGCTATCAGGTCATCATAAAAATCGTAAGGTTTCTATTATAAGGATTGCACACCATCACACATCATTGCATGCCTTGACTTTTGAAGGTGTGCAATTAGCAGCACACCAACAAATTTCATATTACCAGGACTGGTTGCTATAAAACTTGGGTATAACCTTCATAAAACTCGAAAAGCAATTGTTGTTGAATTACTGAATTACCCAATTATTGAATTACCTAATTGTTGTTGATCTTAGTTTATCATTTTCAGCAATTAGATTATAGGCATGCCACATATCTTCTGCTTCTTCTGGAACAAGGGTAACAGACCTGTTAATGGAAAATTTTTAAAATAACAAAGAAAGTATCAAAATATATATCTGAAATGTTTTTGAAAATATAGGACTGACTAAAGTATCATAAAATGTTAAACCTAGCATGATTAAAATTTCTAAATCTTTCAGGAAAAATCTCCCCATTCCACTTATCTTTCTTTAAAAAATGCTTCTATTTTCCACTTTTGCTTTGTTTTTCTATTGAATAGCAAGTGACACTAAATGTTCTACCCATTGTTCCCCGTAGTTAACAGCAAACTTTGTATGGTTACAAAGAAAAACTGAATTCAGGCCAATTGATGTCAAGTCTATACATAACATTCTGTAATGGATATCATATAAAAAATTTCTTTTTTTCAAAACACTTTTTACGAAAGTTTTAGTATGAAGGGTTGGAAATCTCTGGACTGTACTGTCAAAAAGAGATTATAGAGCTTTGCAAAAATTTCCAAAAAAAAGATTTAAGTTTGCCAATCAAACCATTTTTTCAGATTGTTAGTTAACTTCAAGATCGAAGTGAGTTTAATATCTACTCAAGTTTCTCGATCATTTCTCTGAATTTTAGTTACAAGAATTCTATTAGAGGAAAGGATAATAATTAACTCACCCAGATCCGTCCTTTTCGAAACTTTTGTACACAAGCTTCATTTTTTTGGATGGTTATAAACTTATAACCGATTAGGCATTTCCGAGGGTCGATCGGCCCTGCTTTCGTTGAAATATTTAATGATTTACGTCTGTTTTCGCCCCATTTTGAAAAGAACGTTCTTGTTTTCGGCCTCACTTTCGTACATGCCGATTGCTCCACCGCAACGTATCGATGGATGTTGGTGTTACGTTTTGTGTGTGAGAAGGAAGAACCGCAGGATAGGCTGTCTGCCGGATTCGGTGAATCTTGCAATGAGTATAATGTAAATACGAGGATAAAATTCAGAAACAAAGCAAAACGGCTACGAGAATCCAATGCTATAATATAAATTTTCAAAATAAATTAAATTAAGCGAATACGAAATATCTCCTCTTTTTTTGCCGAAATAATTTCTGTCGCATCTCGATGTTTTTATTGTTTGGATCACTTGAAGCTCGAGTGTTCTTCAAGTTTTTTATTTCAAGTTTGGTTCATAAGTTGCTTCTTATACAATTAAATGACAGCAAGATAAAATAATTGAATTACTATATTTTTTTATTCTGTTAGTACTATATTAATTTATCTTGATGACAGTTTTTAGTTTAGCACGACAGTTTTTAGTTTAGCAGCACGGTTGATTAGCTGATAAGATATACTTTATATTAAGATGAGAGCGAATTTTCATGCACACGATGCTTTTTTCTCCAAATTTTTCATCTGTTGCTAGTCACACTAGTACGTTTACTTTTCTCGCATTCTTTTCGAAAAATCGAGCAATAGCTGTTCCTATAAAAAAGTATATTGCGTGCATTAGGTTATTATGATGAAAATTTATGGATGACACCACACACCGCCATTTGTTAGCCTAAAAAGCTAAAATGTATTCATCCACAGGCTTTTCTCCTCTTTAAACCGGGACACTGCAAAAGCTTTCGATTTCCTACACAAACCCTAGCAATACTGGTCGCAAGCTGTTTTCTTCTGTATATAAACATTACATGTGATAGAAGGAAAATGTTAGTAAAACATTTCTTTGACATTAAGCATATGTTTTCATGTGGCTATGTATCAAAAGATGGCGTAATCTATAAATTTATAGTATAAATAACAATAAAATACAGTGAAGGCTTAGCGGGTGCAAATGAGAGAATTTGGTACTTTCACGTATATCCAATCCATGATTTCTCTGACAAAGGGGTATATATTGTGCATAATAAAAAATCTCAAATGGAAGAGAATAAAAGGGGGCACTTTCCACAAACCAGGTTGTTTCGACCTATTTAAAAATGATGCTTTGGGTTAATTGCACCATTCAGGAGTGGAGGCTAGTGTCCACTAAAAAAGGTAAGAACTGTCTTGGTAAAATAAGATGCTGTGTAAGTTACAATGTATGACTTATTTAAAAAAAAGGGACTTCTATGGATAGAAAATTCTCTTGTAGCTCTATACTTGAGAAATCTAGAGGAGCCCCTTAGAAATTGAAACATATTCCCACATTTAAGAAGAAACCTTACCTCGGGTTAAAGATTGCAAAAAATATTCTGTTAATACAAGACAAAGCCAAAAAAGTGTTCAAACCTCTTTTATGCAAGAACCCTTCCCACGATGGTTGGCCATTTGTCCATCTCTTTTCTAGAGTGTGTTGTAGTTATTTTTCAATGGAAGGTGCACCAGATGTACAGATCTAAATGTCTACTGGCTTGTAATGATATCAATGAGGCCTCATGTTACTTCAAATGGTATCCATATTTCCACACATATTACAAAAAACCGATACCGATAATTCCGCACTTTTCAGTAAAAGGGTTACCTCTAAATAATGGCACGTTCCCGTACCTTCAAGCGTATTAAGGTACCTTTCCCCCTTCCCGAGGCCTGCGCACCCAGGGGCGTAACTTGGCCAATAGGTTTGGGGGGGTGAAAAGGGTTTCTGCCCTGCAAAACTGAGTGGTGCCCTGCAGACCTCGTAGCAAAGGTTTGTCTATAGGTCACTAGTGAAAGCTTTACCAGTGTAAATTTGTCTTTACCAAGGACAAACTTCTAAGCAATAAAAACAAACTTGAAACTTCATTGCCTATGAAATATCTATTTCTCTACTTGAGCGTAAATTGTTTCTTTTATATTCACTTTATTTATTGTTGGTTTGCGAAATACTAGCTAATAAACAGCTAATTGGAGGGGGGGAGGGTACATGATGTAGACAGTGCAACGAAATTTAGCCCAGTGGGGCTAAGAATCAAGTTTAGTGAGGTAGGAGGACCCACCATGGTTGGGTCCGACGTGAAGAAAAATTTTTGAAATTATACCTTGTAAAAGGGCTAAAAAGCATCTTTCAGACAAAAATTTAGCAAAATACTATTGTGCTAAAAGAACTGATTGTTTATTGAAAATATTATTGTTTATTGGGAAAAATAGGGAGGGGATAACCAGGGCTGGAAAATGTCCGGCAGCGCCGGCAGCTTGCCAGGAAATTGTTGATGCTTGCCAGGAAATTTTTAGCGTGAAATCTCCATTGCTTGATTTTAATATGAACATTAAATTCATGTTAGAATATTTCTATGGAATGCTGTTTTCTTGCGATATACATACATACTGTATAATTTTTGTTCTGCACTACTAACAAAAAACGAAGATTAGCTTTCAATCATCTGGTATTATAAGCGTCTGTTATGCCAAATTTCCGTGCATGTTTTTCAGCTACTAATTTAATTCCAGCAAGCTAAAACAAAGTTCATTCCTTTTTTTACATCAGCCATTCTATTTATGTAAAAACACTCAAAGACAGCCAATCTTGTTACGTCAATTGTTTTGAAGGTGAGCATGCCCCAAACCTGTGTGGATTGTCCATCATTATTCGTATTTTTCTACTGGCATTCGCATATATTTTTCATCACTTGCTTTATAGAATGTAAGCGTTTTGATCCTAAATCTTTGCCTCTAGCACCACCCCTGATTTTAAAATTTTATTTCAACCATTAAAAATAAAATAGTATTCTTATATGTTGTATGAACTGATGATAAAAATGAGCAGCAAACATGAAACCCAGAGCAAGATGTATCGATATATCATTAGTATGAAATTGATATGATATGAAATTTAATCAAAGTTATTATAGATTTCAGATCTACTTTCTTTAACCTTGAAAACAAACTATGAGTATCGTGCTTGATCACGTTCTTCCTGATCATCTAATACAGTATAAACAAAATGATTCCTGTTCGAATAGCTATGATCAAGATTGCAGGACCAACAATTAGTTCTTTCTAGTGTGACAGTTTGTTTTTAGGACAAATTTTTAAACAAATCAAGCAACTTGAAATATCAATTTCAGTGGCTGGAAACTTTCTCGATGCTTCACAGGAAATCTTGAATTTTTTATTTTGCTGCCAGGAAGAAAAATATCTTTTCAAGGCCTGGGGATGTCATGCTAAAACTCTAATGTTAGACGTTGGGGAAGGAAAGAAACGACAACCTTTTGTTTCAGATTGCACGTAGTTGTGAATGACAGGGGGAGATGTTGTTTTGATTGGGAAAATTTTATTTCCTGAACAGAAATGTGCAGTTTCTTGCATCGAGAAGGCCATGTTTACACATCCAAAATTAAAACATTGCAATGATACAGAAAGTGATGTACTGAATTAATGCAAATAAAAGAAAAATAATAAAAATATACGTGAAAAAGTTAGCAATTATATGAAACAAAATCGGTATCTTAACGATTTATTATGTTTTTTAGTTCATGCACTGTTAAAAAGTAATAGAAAAAATGATAAAAAAATTCTTATCTTGACCAAAGTGAGGGCCTTCAGCCTCTTATTCCCCTCCAGTGACGCCGTGCTTGTCATGAAAATAATTTACAACTTAAATTAACTTGTATGGACTCAACCTTGCCCTCGTAAACATATGCATCAATTTGTGCATCCATTGGCTATGACTTTCGGTAAGAAATGCTTTCGCTTTGCAAATTACGGAGCTTTTCCTTACATATCTGTTCCGTTCTCTAAAATGCAATGTCAGGAAGGGAGGTTCATAACAAATACGATATTTCCATTTCAAAATTCCTAAACGGCTCTTTACGAACTTCAGAGGTGGCATTTCTGCGTGGCAATAAAGCTCTTCTTGGCGCCCTGCGAAATCTTTGATTGCCCTGCGAAATCGACTATTTTTTGGATTGGGGGGGTGTTACACCCCCCCCACACTCCCCCGGTAGTTTCGCCCCTGTGCGCACCTGGATGCCAGGGCTTCCTATTGGTGCAAACAATGTTTTAAAGGTATAATTTTGGGCCAACACATGTGGCACGCAATATCCCAATTCTTAGCCGCTTCATAAACGGAGTTGGAACATTTCAGTAAATTAACAAACGGGCCCCTTGGCTCCATGGGGAACGTCAGTAAAATCTAAGAATTGAACTAGAGGCGCTGACTAGAGACTCAAGGGTCAGTGGTTCGAGTCCCTGGCATGACCGAACTTTCACTCAAAGTGAGGAGAGTCGCCAGCTCTCTGTATTTTCAGGTGTAAGAATGATGAGGTGTGGTCCGGGTCATATCGAAAGACCAGGGGCAGGACAGTGCTCGATAAGCACAGCTTCTCAGTGTCCTAAAAACTACCTTCGTATGCCAGGCCCGTAGATATCTAACCTAGGTACCAGACTCACTATATAAAATAATAGAGAACCTAATGCGCTATTTTATTTTATATTTAGTGAGTCTGGTACCCAGGGTAGTAGACAGCTAAACTGGATTTGGGGGCATGGATAGAAATATAGCTTTTTCTATACCTGCCTTATGAAATACTGTCAGATTAGGCTGCGCTTATAAGATCTTCAAACACAATTTTCGCAAATTATTTGGGGGGCATTGCCCCCTGCCCCTCCCAGTGTCTACGGGCCTGCGTATGCTAGATAGCAAATATAAAAAAGGGATTTTTGCTTGGTTTTGTCTTCCTTGTCGTCTCTGTTTAACTCGGAGGATTGTCTACCATTAGCTCTCTAACCGCAGAGTATTTTTATTAAATTCGCACGCCATTGTAATCATTGGTCAGATGGTGCGGGGGCATACGTCGGCTAAAATTTGAGGCTGCCAACATCATTTCAAGATTTTAACAACAGAAGCTTTTGCAGTGGGAATTCGCTCAAATTTGATGCCGAATTGTTTTTAACATTTGCATTTGATACAGAAGCAACAGAAACAGAGAAAAGTACCTTGCCACTGCAGTGGATAAGGCTGCAAGCACTTGCTTGACTTGGTGTGTAAGTCTCTGAAAATTTATAATTGCTTAAGTCGACAGCATCGTTTCGTTATGCAACATGTTGGTATCGTACGATGAAAACAGATAAAAGGGCAAATCGCCTACTCTGCGGTTGAAGTCAACTGTAAACGATGACTTTTCCATAAGTAAAAAACAGTCTTACTGTTTGCAATAGGCTTGTGTTGAGTAATGGACTTTAAACCATTGATCTCACGGTTGCTTGTGTTTTGCTCCACAGGAGAGGCATTTCCTTACTCTGGAGCTTGTTGGCTGCCATTTCTCGTATGGCATATACCATACAGTAGTGTTGGTTATGAGTATAGTGCTAGGGTTGCTCCGGAAAGCTGAGCCCCCCCCCCCTTATTAATGAGGAAAATTGACATTTTTTTACTTTTGCTTTTGTTTTGAGCAAAATTTTGTGCAAGAGCCCCTTGTTATTTTGACAGCTCTAAGACCACTAGTGTTGGGTAGGACTGGGGGCTGCTAATTCGGGCCACTGGTAAAGCTGCCAGTTAACTCTTTAGGGTAAACTTTAAAAAATTTTATTCAGTTTATTTTTAAGGAATTTTTTCTTGGTCTTTGTGGATTTCTTGTGTTGAACCAAGTTTGCTACATTACTCGTAATCCGTGACGTTTAGCAGCGAATAAAAATGGTTAGGAACAATAATGCTTTCAAAGGATAGAAAAACAATTGAATTTCCAAAGTATTTTAGAGAACAAAGCAAAATGGATTGGTCGTTTTGAAGGAGAAGACACATTCAAAGCGCCACCCTCGACGACGTCCTCTTTGTTTTCAAAAGCCTCAGAAAGTGAACTGCAAGCAGTTGCTTTATCGTAAGAGTTCTAATAAGTACGGGGGTTTAATTAATAAGGCTGCAGAAGCGGGTATATGGGTTTCAGATACAGAGCTCTGGTCTCTGTTCCGATGTCGTTATGTTATGTCAAAATTTATGAAAATAATATTAATGCTTGTTAAATTTTTTGCCGGAAAGTCTAAGTTTCTAATCCCTCCTATGAATTTTTTTTATCTAAGCCATTCTCTGGTATATCTTATCGTTACTTTTGTTTGCTGTTTGATATTTAAACACCATAATGCATGAAAATGAAAATTTTTATAGAAATTTTAAAAGCCTTAGAAAATGGAAAATGATTAATTTGTTAGCTAATTTATCACAACCGACACACTGTTGTCTTGTATTGTATTTGTAGATTATTTAATGTTAGTTTTTACAATAATGAATATACACTAATTAAGACTAACATGAAGTAATTTCAAGGATTGCATAAGACAGTTCATTTACTGCAAAACGAGCATGCGCACTTGTTTCCAAGGAACCAAGTTTTGATCAAATTCTTAAATTGTCTAGTATTTTGTGCTGTCTTTATTGATTCCGGGAGTAAATTCCAGATTTTAGGCCCTTGAAAACTTAATGATCTGATACCATTATTGGTAGTTCTGGCTTTTGGAATGTCAAGGGGGTTTTTGAGTCGAAGGTTATGACCTGTTGTTTTGGGTACAAAATAGCTTTTCAGGAAAACAGGATTAAGGTTGTTAAGTGTTTTATAAACTTCGAGCGCTAAAATTCTAACTGATTGGACATGTATGGTAGTTTCTTTTGAGTTAGCAAGTAAATCTTTGTACGAAGATGAATAGTCCGAATAGGCTAGTCTTAAAGCCCTCTCGTTAATTTTCTCTAGCTTATCCTGACTTCCTTTACCACATAGCATCCATATCAATGGACAATAATTGAAGTGACATAGTATAAATGAATTCATAATTATCTTTTTTTCTCTGTCACCCATAGTGTCACATGCACTAGTGTAAATCTGTATAGCATGCATGTTGCTGTATGTTGCCTGTTGCAATCACATTTTTTGGCAACATTCAGAGGCTTTTCAACTTCTTTAGCGCAAGCTCACAAAGATTAGAAATTCTTAACAAAAATATATTTAACACTTAGGCAGTTGGACTCAAACTGCGTCACCTTAATTCATTCATAGACTTTTGTCATTATTGTCTCTATCAATGACAGTTTGTGGTAAAGGAGAGGCTAGATTATTACTTAGAAATTTTTTGAATTGAGTTATTATTTATGGGCCCCTATAGCCAAGGCCCCCGGGTCAGTGACCCCCTAACCCCCCCTATCCTCAGCACGGAACAGACATGGTCTAGAAGTTTGGAGGTCTAAAAACAGCAAATAAGAAGATTTCTCTGTATAGTTTCCCAATTCAAATTTAATAATCAATATAAATCGAAGAGTCAAATTAAAAAATATACGTATATACAAAACATTTTCAAGAAACAGAATAAGCTGCGATTTATATATGATCTAGTGTCGTTCTATTCAGATACACTTTGGGCATTGGGAGGGGGGGGGGCAGCACCCCACTGTCCTGCATCAATCAGACCAGAGCTTGGTGAGCCAGTTGCAGATGTTTTCTGACAACCAAAAACCAAAGCATGTATGTTTGAACCTCCAAAAACTTGTCAGGGCTTGAATAAATACTGTATTTCGACTTATATAAACTTCATTTTACTTATTTTATTTGCAGAGTCTGTATAAATCTTGAAACTGCTATACAAATGGAAAATATAGAACTAGCTTTGATTGTTTGAAAACCACAGCACTTGTTGACATAAGCAGCTCTATTTCTGCTGTTTGCTATCGTTACTAGCTTCTTCGTTGTTAGGCCCGTCGGTTTCATTCTTTGTCTACTTTACACATAAGCTCAAGATTTCACAAGTTTACATGGACCAAAAAAAAATCGAATTGTTTTGGTGGGGTTTAGGGCCTGATTATGCGAAGTAAGTGACAGACTAGCTAAGAACTTTTAACCGGCCACGAGTAACTGAAGGGGGGCCTGATGGATGTGTTTTGAGAATTAGGGTTTGGTCAAAAGAACATTTCATCATAATCTGTCCATTTCTAAGCACCATAAAATATTTAGCACCAATAGCAATGCTGAGCTGCTGAATTAAACATTCTGTCTTTAGATTTAAGTAATTTTGCGCAAAAGAGCTCCAACCTTCCATTAGATGTTCTGTGGTAACAGACCGGGCCAACTTAAATGTATTGATGATTTCTTCAAATTGATTTTCCTTTATAGCAGTACGAAAAAGATTGGAGAAGCAAAGCGGAGTCACACAGCAGGTGTACGGGGGTCTACCCCCGAGAAACACACCCTTTAGAATTTGGGAAAACGCCCCATTTTGTTCGGACATGCTATGGTTCTTTTAGTGGCAATGGTTGGCTAATCAAACATAATAACCGTCATATGTAGATTTTTGTGGCTGACCCCATTCTACAACTGTCGTTACAGTCGTTTGCTTGCATTCTTTTAAAACGTTTTAATTTTGTTTGAAGCATAAATCGCCCCTGAAGTATCCATTTTATTGCAGATTGCAGATTGCAGACTTTCTGAGCATTAGGGGGGGGGGGGCGGCTTGCCCCCTCACTACGATACTGTCTGCTAAATTGGTTTGTTGTCTGTATTTCAGAATTTATGATAATAATGGAAACTTTTCATTTTCAATTCCAGTTAAAACTACAATTACAAATCTCACTATTACAAGGTAATTTGTAACTGGCTAGCCTGTTTTTACAAAATAAGACTATTACAATCGTAGTAAAGAGAAAAGAAAAAAAAACGTTAAAAGGGGAGTAGCTCTGGGTTAGTCCATGTTTTGTTCCTACAGCAAAAAATGATAATAATAATAATAATAATAATAATAATGAAAATAATAATGATAATAATAACGAATTATTTAACAGGATAAAAACTTCAACAATTACGAAATTGCTGTTATCAATGTTTGTCCTATAAAAGAAAGGTGCTTGAAAAGAAGATATATAAATATGTTACAACTGCAGGTCTCAAAAAATCAATTTTGTAGTACAGTATAACAAATGAAAATCTCATGTGTAAATTGTGTTCATAATTTTCATAAAATCAAATGCATTGTCAGACGTCCTTGCACTCAATATACGTGCTTACGTACGATATTGTTCACAAAACGTTTAGGTTTTTCATTTCGAAACTCAAATGCTATCCGATTTTGCATTTCTTCTTTTCCATTCCAAGAAATTAGTGATCGGTCCTGCCAGGCACACCGGAGCCGGGAGGGGAGCTATAGCCCTCTCATTTTCTTGCTGAAGTATGATAACCGCGTTGTGGCATCAAGGATAATGGTGGAAAAAACTACCATAAAAGTTAGCCATTTTGTCTAGAGCAATTTTTCATAACATGTGACACTCCCTTTACCCTTTCGTGCTTCATACTTAACAGTCAAGCGCAAGCTTGAAACTGGATTATTCGAATCTTCAAGACAATGCAGAAGACGAATTTTCAAGACGTTAAAATATCATTCGCAGTGCATTATCCGAGTTTGCGTTCAAGTTAACTGCTGAATCAGAACTGCTTGCCATGGGCCGATTGGCAAGTCCGCCACTGGTAAACAGGCTGGCTCTGGAAACGGACAAGCTCATTTCCGTATAGCTAACCCGGGGCCTATATGCAGGGGCGTAGCGTGCGGGGGGTGTGGGGGCGTACACCCCTCAACTTTCAGAGAACTCGTCGGTATATTTAAATTTATAACAAAATATTAATGTAACAAAATAATTTCTGTCGGTAAATTAGGGTTTTGCATCTCTTACACCCCCCAGCGAGAATGGTCACGCGACGCCACTGCCTACATGTGAGCTGGCTGACTTTGATTCAAGTTTGAATAGATGGTTTTACATTGAAATACGAATATTGGTAGCTTCAACCTACTACAACACTACTATACTTTCGAAAAGAAAGCAACAGAGTTTTCCATAGAACTTGAATCATGTTTTCAATTAAACGTCAAGAGCCTTGTCTCTTAAAGGCATTGAGTCATGATAAAATGGATTGGGTATACCCTAAGTGCCAAAATCTGCCGAGTCATGATTTTCATGACTTCAATGCTATTGGTTGGCCTGGAACTGGTCACATGAACTCACCTCGTACTGATTGACAAAACAATTTCTATCAAGAGCAAGTTGTCAACAACGGATGCAAATATCACATGAAACAGCAGCGATCACGCCGATATGACCAAATGACCCCATATAGTGAAAGCCTATTTACCATGACTCAATGCCGTTAACAGCATTTTAGCTTTTCAGAAATAATTCTAGGAATTACTTGAAATCTTTAAATAATATTTATTATGGTTATGCAGTAAAGACAAATAAATAAGAATACATTTCTTATGCAGACATAGCGCTGAATAATGGACTTTTGCTCAATAGAAAAACCCTTAACAATGACCCACAATCTTTGTTTATAATGACATTTCCGGAAATGCTCCTTATCGGCCTAACTATAAACGGCACCTAAAAGTATGTTTAAAGAAAAGTACTTTACAAGGAAAAAAATAAAACGAGAAAACTGGAATCCAAGTTTTAATCTGTTGTTGTGAACTCTTCTGTACAAATAGGGATGCCTCCGTGAGAATGAAATAAAGACTTCATATTCGGACCTTTTTTATTTTTGTGTGAACTAAGAATCTGTCTCGAAATATCTTTTTTAAATAATTTACTGGGCTTACTTTAAACCAACTTTAAAGCTCTAGGTAATTTGTGACAATTTAGATTATTATGATGCAGACTACCACGCCCACATTCACCAAAACTATGCCAACTTAGTGGTAGTAACTTAATTTTGGCCAACAGAATCTAAGATTGAATGCAAATCTTCACATGACAATAAGAGTAAAATAGTAAACAAGACTAAAGTGTGCTTCTTTGTCAGGAAATGTTGTCAGAAATTGTCTGATGTGGGCTCTCTAAAAGTTTTTAAATTTCCACCTTTTCACTGAATGTATCTTCTAATGTACTTTGCTGTCCTTCTACATTTAAAGGGGGTAGAAAAATCAAGGTTTTCGCTGTTTATGGTATCGTTCATGCAGTATAGGAAAGTAGTCTGTAAACTTGCAAGAAATGTAACATAACACATTCCTAAGCTTTTGGTGGAAAAAGAAAAACAAAGCAAGCTATTGTCCACAATTACTCTATATTTTCTAGCTAGGGTGTCTTGTTTTTGACACAATAAAAGGGAATACCCTTGATTTTCAAAGTAGGGAGGCCATGAAAAGTTGGAGGAAATCTGCAAAGAAAATCTTTCGAAGAAGTCCACTGTCAAAGAGATTTTCAAGTAGCATGTGTGTACAGCTGCTTAAGATGTGCTTTCTAGTCAGGTAAACTGGCATATGTTGCCGGGCTCAGAGCTGATAGGACCTTTAATTATTTCAATGTAAATTTTAAGGTTCCATCTTAAGTTATGAGGACAATTTTGCTATCTAGAAATTTATGAGACTGAAACCTTCATCATATGGGGCAATTTTTCAATGGTAATGCAGTAGGCAAAAGCTAGATTTCCGTGTTTAAAGTCAATAATGTATTGTACTTTTTAATTTTCAGAAGAATCAAACCAAGTCTTCATTGTTCCCTTCCACTACTAGAACTTCTCTGTTCTCATAAGTAAGGAACCCATTTACATCAATCAGCATGTTTAGAACAGTATCTCCTTGCCCAGAGTTAATCAAATCCTGCAGTGTTATATTGAAGGGATCAGCTGGCTTTATCATATCAAAAATTTCATCTTTGACATCATGAAGGGACACAACTTCATGTCCATGTTTTCTCATTTCTTCTTGTATTGCTCTGAAAAAATAATTCAAAGCAAAGGTGTTCAAGAACCCTGCATTCTTTACATCCAGAATTTTGAAGAGATACTGCAAAGCCTGTGGCTCTTTTTTGTTTTCAAGAGCAAGGACAAAATCAAGATAGGTCTTGTAGTCCATCTCGCCTTCATATGTTAAGCATTCTTGAAATACTCTGTCAAGAAAAACATTAGTGAGTGTGCCTGTACCATAACGCTTTAACTCCTGCTTTGAAAGCATTCCATTATGATCTGTGTCAAGGTTAAGATATTGCCCATAAACTCTAAGGGCTGAAGATGCAGAGAACCAGTTTGAATCTTGCTTGTCCTTGGAAAGAACTTCTTCTCTAAGTTCAAGTAAGTCATCTAAAAAGCTACAAGACAGGATGTCTTGAATTTTCACTTTTCCAGTGTGCATTGGGTCAAGGAAGAAAAAGAATTTCCTGACAGCTGTGCACACATAAAAAGAATAAAAACTCTTTTCCAACCCATCAAGTTGTGGAAGTGTAGGTATTAATTCAAGAATGTAGTTCTCCAAATCAGATTCTCTAAGGTAGCCTTGACCAGCAACATCATACAGGCTAAGACCAATTCTTGTTTGATGCAGCCATACTTTGCGCATTACATAGTTGAAAAATTGCATAATGGAAATTCTACCATATGGATCTTTCTGACAGAGTTTTGCAAATATTATTGGCTTGAAGAAATGCTTTGATTTGCTGCCAGCTTCCTCCCTAACTTTGAGAAAACCATCATAGTTTATCATTTGTTCATCTCCTATAGTTGGTGGTGTTTGGTGCTTCTCCAGAAGGCTCCATAGCTCATGTAATTCATCATTATCTAGAAGCTCACGACTTCTTCTTTGCAGGAAAACAGCTCTAGATTCTTCACGCAACTTCTGTTGCAGGACGTCCTCTTCAGAGGGGAGCTTAAAATAAAATCTTGGGATTTGTGGTTTTACATCGTTTCCATTTTCTATACCATCGTCACCATTGCATGCTGGAGATTTGTACTTCTCGTAAAATTCTTTGAAAAGACGTTCATCTTCAGCTGCTTTCTCTTCGGCAAACTTGGATCTTTGACTTTCGGTCTGCTTGCTTGCGGTCCATTTCTTAAGACTTTCAGCCCAGTTCATGATTGACAGCCTTGAATTCTCTGGTTGTAAGGAAACTTAGTTATCGAATGAAGCTAATCAAAATAGTACATAGCTTTTACACAATGCCAACTTTAACTTTGCCTTGAATATTGGGAAGCAAGTTTTGAAACAACAAAATTCCGTAAATTATGAAATTGCCTCTGTGTCACCATATGTCAATATTATAAAGAGGCTGTGAAACTTCTGGGAGTCAATGTCGAAGCTGCGGAAAGCAGCCCCGAAAAAGACATGAAACGTCTCAGAACCTCGGAAAAATAGAGGTTCCCCAACTCAGCGCAGAAATGGGTAGAGATAAGGCAAAAAATTCTTGAATTTTAATCAAAAGAGCACGATAAACAAACTTCAGTCATATAGTGGCTTCATCGTTAGAGGCATAATTTTGAAAAATACAATGAAACTGCCGAAAATAAACAAATCCAAGCTTTACAGGCTGTGAGAATCTTGCAAGTTATTTATTTATGCTATTTTTAACGTTAACACTAGTACCAAACATTCATTTGGATTAAACGTATAACAATTACGTAAACAAGTTCAATCTTAAAATTATTGCTGTTTCTATTGGTTGTTTTAAAACAATTGTTTGCAGGTTTCTTCAGGGAAATGAATTAATTCGCCTAGTTTTCCCCCCGTTGTAAACAAGATACTTACAGGTTACTGGCTGCTATTATCGAAGCATTTCCCCAAGGGTGCCCGCCGCCATTAAGCACAGACCCCGGACAATTCAGTTTAATTGTTGCGTGTTTATTGTACTCCTCCGCGGGTCGTTGAGGAAAACAACCTGGAATGAATTCAGTTGTTCAAGTATGAATCAGCATTTTAAATGGCAATTCAGACTCGCATCATGTGTATTCAGAAATTCTAGCAAATGTTGCACCTTCTTAAATGTATTTCGTCCAATTTCAGCACAATATTGTGGATTCTTGTTCAGTCGTTCACATATAGCTGGAGGAAAAATGTTGGAGGTTGATGATTCAGGAATGGGCCTAGTAGCTGATATCAGCAAAATTGGGCTTAAATCGCCAAGATTCAGGCCGACTAACTATCGGAAAATTGTACATGATGTAAGTCAGCAAAGTAAAATGTATGCATGCATTGAACAATATAATGAACACAAGGTCATTAAGGACTGGATTTCAAATCTGACGGAATCGAAGTGCCATTATGGCGAGGCCGTTTTCGTGTTGGGGCCGATGGGTGCCGGAAAAACTACCGTACTAATGGAAGAGTTTATGAAGCACAGCATTTACAAGGATTATGCTTATGTAGATACGGATGAACTCATGGAAAAGCTGGATGGTTTTGATAGTGACAAAGTTGAAGAATTCTACCCCGTCGCACGTTCAATTGCAATTAAACTGACGGACTGGCTTTTAAATGAAAAGATTAGTTTTATAGCTGAAGGAACTTGTGTAAAGTATTTTGAACTTGAAGATTATATCCGCCGACTAAAGAATAAAGGCTACCTTATAAGAGTAAAGCACGTAAATGACATACCACTCGAGGAAATTTTAGCGAGAACCAGTAAACGAAAGCGAAAAATCCCAGCGGATGTTGTAAAATCGATATATTATGGTTCCTTGAAAGGTGTCACGGAGTTGAAGAAAATGAACAAAGACAATATTCTTTTTGAGGAGTTGTGAGTTATTTGTTTACAGCGACTGTATAGCTTCAGGGAAGTTTTTCTTAGGGTTTTGTGCATTCTTGATCTGGTAGAACGAATTGAGTAAGTAGAATAGATGTTGAAGCCAATAAATGATATTTTTAAATGTGGAATTATTATGTGATGATTCTTTTTCAATGCCATGTCATTATCACTTAACACAAGTTAACAAAGGTTTAGAAATCCTCAGAAATTCTATACATATGACTTTTGCTATCATTGAATAAACCTACTGCTTCAATAAACTTCAATATTTTTGGATTTGTTCTATTAAAAGGAAAATAATGCTATTTAACCCTTAACTCCTGTCCCTTGCTAACATCTCAAACCTTTGGAGCATAAAATTTGGTTTAACAGACTGATCAAGCCCTGTTTTTTCTAATGCCAAACCAGACAGCTCCCCAGGCTTCATTGCACTGAATATATTTTCTTCTTTGATGTGAGTACCCCTCTCTTCCTGATTTTTAAAAATGATGTTAAGTAAGAAAAATGCCCCATATACTTTTTCCTAAAAATTATCACTTGTAAATATTTGGCAGAATTTTCAAAAATTGTAGATAAAGGTGACAAAATTAAGCAGACTTAATACTCATTTATCAACTGAATGTATGATATACACAAATTGTGCTACCTAGTTTTGAAGTGTGTATTAGTAGTATGTTTTTACTTTCATCACCTAATTAAAGTAAAACTGATGTTATAAATGTGTTATAGTTTTCTGGTGATTCTAAAAGTACTCTGTAAGGTAGTTTTTAGGATACTGAGAAGCCATGCTTTTAGAATAGTGTTCTGACCCTTCCTCTCAATTTGACCATACCTTTTGATTCCTACACCTGGAAATGCAGAGAGCTGGTGATTCCCTTTATTCTGTGTGAAAGTTTGGTAATGTCAGGGACTCCAACCCCAGACCCTTAGATCTGTAGTCTGCATCCCTAACCACTGAGCCATTCTTGCACCTAACCCACAATTACTCTAGTTTGTATTGCAAATCATGAAGCAGGTGCATATCAAAAGTAATTCAAAGACAAGGGTCATAACAAGCAGAGAGACTGTAACATCAAGAAAGATTTAATAAAGGGAAGGGGGCAGTTTGAGAATAAATGCGCAGCTTGATAAATCTAGAATAGTAGCAAAATTAAAGTGCAAAGGAAGGCAATAAAAAAGCTGATTTTAGTAACAAAGCAGAAAAAACTTTCAAACTAGCAAAAATACACTTACAAATACAAATACACTAGTCAAAACTCAAACTCAAACATTTCATTCACAGCAATAATTAACTACTACATTTATTTATGCTTAATACATAAACCACAAATAACAGTTATTTTTTTTACAAAAAAGAAAAACTACATACAGTAGGTAGTTCGAAGTTTAATATGTTTGCTGTCCGGTCAACTTTCATATTCAATGTTCAAATAAACTATTAAACGGTGGGTCGTAATTAGAGCGGGGGGAAGGTCAGACATTTCTTAGCTGGGAAGGGGCGTTTATTTAGCCGCCTAAGAGTACTTGGTCTCCCATTGCTGCAAATGAGACTGGATACGAAGGAGGCGCGTTGGTAAATGGCGCAAAGAATGGCGAATCTTGTGGCAGGCAGGAGATTGTTACAAAGCAGTTGTTTATATCAAAGAAGATGGGCTTCAGGAGGTGTACTTGAAAGATTAAAATCCTTAATTGGTATAGAAAAAGAAAACAATACTGATGTTTTATGGTAAGGACCAGATCACCGAACTTTACATTTTAGGCCTATAGACGGAGGCAGTCATTCTGCATTTGATACCCATCCTATTTGCGCCAGATCTGTGGCGCGTACTGGCCTTTATATAAAACCCAAACTGTATTTTGGCATGGCAATAAGAAAAATCCAGAATACACACTGGCTTATATATAGGACACTTTTGCCCTGGATCTCTGCTGTGCAGTTGTACAATACAATGAGTCGTGCACACTTTTGATAATGGGTTTATCTACACTGACTACTTCAACCACAACTTGCTCTGTCTATGTTCTAATCATAGCGATTTGTATACAAGTGATTTTACTCATCATGATAATAGCCCATGAGACAAAACACACCAAGAGCTATAACGCCAAAAAAAGAGACTAAAAGGTGCATTTTGTGATGGCACTACTCCAACATGCTAAAGTTATTCAGGCCTTGCTCTATATAAAATGAAGGTGCTCCATAAAAAGAGCCCCTTAGAAACTCTAGGCGCTCTATTTGGCACCTCTAAGTAAAATTCCTTGAGAGCATCCTTCGAGAGCTTTAGGAGATCGAGAGCTTCATATCAAAAGCTTCGGTAGAATATTAAATATGAAATTCAACGGTGATACCAGAAAGCACCATAATGTGAAATAACAAAACATGCAACAAACACTATGTTAATATAAATATAGAAATATAATAGAACAAAGTCGCAAAATTGTTCAGATTTTTCTAGATATGTAAGTTGCCATCATGTGATGAGCTTTTATCAGTGTCAGTATCACTACTGTTATGTTAAGTTTCACATATTGCTTCATCAAAACGCATGGCTTTAAATCGAACATTTAATTTTGTTTCCTTTTTTCATGTTATCCATTCTATAAGAAACGCTAGAACATTTACTACTCGCAAAAGCAAATGAAAAATGAAAAGCAATGCGACGGAAACGTGATCGCTGATTTGCACAGGCGATTTCAAGTTATTAAGAACAACAGAAAATAATATATACTTCAGTAGAAGATTAACGCTTGCTCGAAAATCAATTAAATCTGCCGGAGAATACGCTTGATGGCCTGTGTTCTTGATGGTTCTTAGAGGGTTATTAAATTAAAAATGATATCGAAAACCCAACAATGAATTTGCTGAATTTTTTCTCAAGGGGTAATCTTACGCAAATCATAATATTGCGGTCTGTTGGGAAGATTGTTTATGCTTGATCAAGTTGATTTAATAAATTCCAAAAATTTATTTTGCTCCGCGTTAGTATTGTTTTTACGTTTTGAGGGGCTCTATAAATCGCTCTCCAAGGCTTTTTTTGGGTGCGCTCTAGGCGTGCGCGCTTGATTGAGCGCCTTTCCGGGCAAGGCCTGGTTATTATCATTAATCATCATGCAATGTTCGTTAAGTAAACTTATCTGAATTTCTTAATCTATTACAGTGATATCCCAGAAGCTAGAGGACTTTATCTTCATAGTAACGTGCCTTTGCGAATGAAAAAGCTCACTTCACAGATATTCCCATCAGCCCTAACAGAAGATTGGACAGAAATATCTACCACAGACCTAGGCACCAAATTTAAGGTTCTATTTTATATATTTGCTTCCTGTCTTTTTTGGTATAGAAGTACAAAACAGATAAAACCCCAAACATGTGGTTCAGATTACAGAAATTTCATGTCAATTGTAGCATTGCTGATTTGGTCAAAAACGATAATTTGCCATGTGATATCTAATCCCCCACTGTTACAATCCCCTACTCATTCTGTATCTTCATAAGTTTTCATTATTAAAGGTTCATTTGGCATCATTTTAAATTCATTAGATAATTTAGCATGTAATAATATTAGTTTTATAATGTGGTAGTTTGATTTATATTTATTTCTGGTAAAATCATACCATTTATTTTATTAATTGCAGATTCTTAAAGAATGCCGTAAAGAATTTGGCAGTGTCCCACCAAACAATAAATTGAATGAATGCAAATCAGTTAAAGACTTTGTGACATATTATGAAACCCTACAAAGACCAGGAGTCATTCCTGAAATGTGGAAGTTAGAGAATGATGATTTACCTATTAACCTTTCATTTCAATCACCATTACCATATAAAACTGTAAAAACTACACAGAGACGGAAAAAGTATTATTGAATATGTAATAGGTGCTTTTTAATTTAGACTGGTTGTAATGTTAATGAGATTGGTTGTAAATGAGATTGGTTGTAAATGACAAAGAACCAATGACAGAGTTGGAGGTAACTAATTGTAGCAATATCAGAAGTGAACAAATGAGAAATCTTAAGTCCGAATAATATCTTGCTGATTGTTGTTACCACATGCTAAAGCTTTCTTGCCCTTCATGTGAATACCAAAACAAGTTTTTAACAAGTATTGCCAAAAAGAGCATGAAAACCTTTATTCTGTTAGCCTAATATAAGAATAATCACCATGTTATCTTTGCTCTTACTCACAATCTCTAATTTTTTTTCTATAGTTAACAGAAGTTAGCTACTATAAAATGTAAACATATATCAAAGTTGATCAAAAAGATGCCAAATGGTCTGTGTTTTCATAGTTTTATTTCTTGCCTGATTATATTGTATTGTTGGTTGGGCAATCCTTGTTTAATGTGAGGGGAAGGCTGGAGAAGGATGGTGTGAAACTGTTGGAGGGTGTACCAATGTGAGAGGGTAAGACACTCTCTAATTTTTCATTAGTTGGTCAATAAAATCTTCAGCTGGTAATCAAAACTGATAGTTGGAAATTAAAATTGCCTGATGTTGTCAATCAAAATAAGAACAACATAGTTATAATCTATTTTGCTATGTATAATCCATGTTTATGTTAGAAAATCAAACAACTTTTCAAAACCTTCCACACCTTAATCTGGACAGTCAAGGTACACCACTGGTTTATTGAAAGGCAATCAAAAATGAGACCAGCAGTTAATGGAAAAGATCATATATTACTTTTAATCAAATACAAGCAAGGAATGTTAAAGAACTGACACTGTAACTGGATGTGATTTTGGTCAAGCAAAGTTCATTACATTTTATAAATATAAAATCCACATAAAATTATTAAAACAATATAGTTTTTTTAAGAAACATTATCTATTGTAAATTACATATCTTAATTCTACATCTTTGTCCATCAGGATTTGTAGTCCAACATGAAACATTTCGTCACTTCTCTGAGTTTTCGTCCTAAGATTTACGAATAATAATCAAAAGCTTTTATTTATAGAGACAATTTTAGATGTGTTGCATTACAAGCCTTATATGAATTTTTCTGTTGGCACATTAAGTCCCTACCAATAATTACTATTTCAGTGTTGAAATTGAAGCTGGCTATATTGAATATCAAAAAATACAAGAATCAATCTAGAAAAATTCATAATAATTCATGGTATTACCACCTTAAGAAAAAATGTGAATCCAATGGAACATAGTTTCTATAATTTAAGATATCATTAGAGCTTTAAAGAAGTAATTCATCTAGCACTCTGATGAAAATTTTTGTTTTGGGGTAAGAAAAAGTCAAAGTTTCTTGTCCAACATACCTCCTCAATCAATCCTAGTTCCGCAGCAATCTGATAATGGGCTTTTCGTAATCGACCTAGTTTCTGCCTTTCTTTCTCTAGAAGACTTTCTAACTCCAGCATCCGAACCTTAAAAAACAAGTCAATCAAGTAGTGCGCATGCGCTAAATATTTCCCCATAATGTTCGCAGTTGGTTTCTGTCATTATTGACGTGCTCCTTCGATGCGGCAGTTTAACGTCCTTATCGGGGTTTGAGGTCAGTCCAATGAGCGCCATAGCGAGGGCTGTCTTGCTAACACCCTGCATATAACATATTCCGTCACTGGTTCTCCGCAATCAGTGCAATTTTTGGAGCCTTTTGGCTCGCCGTTAAAAATTTAATATAAAAACTACACACTGAAACGTGTCGTGAAAATTGCTACTGAATCAAATATAGACAATTTAAGAGTACAGCAGTGGCGCAGCGTCTATGTACGCTACGCTTCCGGCGCAAGCGTAAACAATTCTAGACAAATTCTAAAATTCTTGCAACACTTCTACCAGTAACAAATACGTTGTAGTGTTAAAGTCAATGCATAACATTTTCCGCAATACGGTTTCTCTTTCTGGTCATGAGCAGCATGCAGTGAACTCCAGCGCCAACATACAGGCACATCACTTTTTTTGCCTGTCTAAGATGAGAAATATGCAGCTCACTGGTGCAGCTCGAGAGAAGCTTCTGAGAGAAGTGAGAATTTTCCGGACTGGAGCTTGCGGTCGGCTCGAGCGCAAGCATTCCCAAATATTTGACAATCCACAATAAGCTGCTTTTTGCGAATATCCTTTGCGCGATACCTTATTTCAAATCTAATTACTTTCCTTTCTTCACTTTGTGACTGTTAAAAAGTGAAAAAAATTTCTTCAAAGACCAAAGTCTATTTGTCATGACCCGCATTCCGTAATTCAAGTCAAAAGGTTTGCCAGTATAGTCAGAATTAACGGACCAGGACATGACAAATAGTTGATGATTTGCAGGGAACAACTTTCTAAAACCATGACACATGAAAGCATCTTAAATTCTAACAACTCTCACAGCTAATTATTGTCATCTTTGTTAACTATGAGAGTTGAAAATGAGCAGAAACGTTTGCTCCTGTTTGCTTAGGCTCTGCAGTGTGTTAACAATTTCGCAATGTGGAGAACTCCTCCTTGAAGGAATCTTCAGATGCAATATAGCATAAAAAAATTCTTACATTAGGTGGGCATTAGGTGATGCCTTTTCTTGACAAACATGAATATGACTAAGATCTTTTGCGAAACGGTTTTAGCACTAAAAGTTATTCTGAAGAATTTTGCAAAACAATTGAGCTTTATTCAAAAACTTTTCGTAAGGGTGATAATTATTCCCTTGGCCCCCCCTTCACTTTCCAACCTGTGTCGGGGCCTCTGATGCAAAGAATAGACACCTTGATTGATTAGAATTAGAGTACAAATAATTTGTTACTTTCAAAATCAAAATTTATTATCACGATTATCATTAATTACCGCTTGTATTTTTAAGAAGCTGAAATTACGATTACATTCATTCAACATGGTCGTATATTTTATGTTACCGCATGCCTAAGTTCTGCGCTCACGCTACGCCACTGCAGTACAGCACACAATGACTACGAAATATTGCCGAGACGAGGGCATGTATAGAAGGTAATTATCTGACAAGTGTACTGACAAATGTTCGTGAAGTATATGTTGGTTACCTGTGCGTCCATTTCTAGCCTCTTCGCCTGAGTAAGTGATAATTTTGAATAATCCGGCACAGTTTCTGAAAGGAATTCAAAGCACCGTGAAAAAGTTAAGATAGAAACGATAAACTGATAGCTAGAATCGAATGTGCCAGGAAAAACTTGGCGTTGAGAGTATATCATAACCACAAAAGAGACCAAATAGGAAAAATTGTCGAAATTCTTCATGATGAAACTCCTATACAAAGGCCTTTATCTGAATTAAATCATAAATATTTTTCGGGCAAATGGAGCATAATGGGGTCAGTTAGGTTTACAACAGATGAAAATGGTTTACAACAGCAATGACAAATGCTTTCACTTGTTTTGTTGTTCTTCAGATATATATAAGAAATAAGTACTTGGTAAAATAAACTAACAAAGTGTGAAATGAATAAGACACATATTCAGACCAACCAAAAGGAGTCCAAGAAAAGCAATCGCCCGTGGCCCCGTAAGCAAAGATGGGCCCTCGGTTAATTGGGCTATCTCTATTTAAAATATTACTTTAAAAACATGATAATTTTGAGAACAGCAAATTAAAGCTGAAAAGGGAAAGTTTAACAATAATTTACGGATATGATTTAAAAGAAAAATTAAGAAAATTGTATCAAATAAAGAAATTAATTGCACTTTGGGTCTCCTACTCTGGGTAGGAACGGGCCCTGAGCCTAGCATGGCTCTCGGTGTTCCTGCCCATATTTCTTGCTGACATGAAAATTTACAGTAGACAGATGCAACTTCTGATTGATAAACTTGATAAAATTCTAGCGACCTCATCTCCTAACCGACATTTCTTTATCAGTGAGTTGTCTCTAACAACAACATAAGCTAAAACAGTTATTCTTACTAGCATCTTCTGTCATTTCCGCTCCTGTCTTCACCATGGTAACAACATTTGCTGTTGCTTCTCCAACTGTTATGAAATGAGTGCACAAATAAATTAGCTTCAAAAACCCCATAATAAGAAAATAACAAAACCTTGGTCAGATGCAATGTATTGTGAGGAATTTTATCTCTCTCGTTATCTTCCAAAAGACAGATAACCGATAAACAAACTCAATGTCTAAACTAACCATTATGCAAAGATCTAATTATTGAAATACCTCATAATTAAATAGCTAATGAACAATGTTTCTCAATGAAAACATTTACAAAATTTCACGATGAACTGAAAGGTGTCAATAAATGTTATTCGTAGCTTAGGGATGGATAAACACGAGAAGGTTACCAATATTTCAGCCTTCTCCGGCGGTAAAAAAAAAAGAAGTATTTGTTAGAGAAAGGGCAAATCTACATGCCAATGTCTCCAAAAAGGAGGTAAACGATGATCGCCAATGTTGCAAATATAACAACGAGGGAGTCTTGCAAATTATAGCATCATGATAAATCATGATAAATTATTGAATTTTAAATACTAGCCTCCTTTTGATGCTCTCATGAGCCTCGCAAGTCTTTCGCTGTCCCTTGATGCTTTCACTCTAGAAGCGGCAACCTGTTTGCAAAAAAGCAAGCTTTGAAAGGCTCTTAAAGCAAACCGAATTGTTTACTTCTCAAATAACGAGGATGTTATTTTCCTGTTTTTATCAGCTACAGGGAAATGTTTACACCAGGAAACGGCTAGAAGGGCAAGGAAATCCAGATTAATAATTACTGCACATTTTGGTATTGATTTTGCAAACTTTTGCCCAAAATAAAAAGAATGAAAAATTTAGCAGAAATCACTATATGTCTCAGAAAAACAACCACCATACTTAAGTAGCGAATCTTCGTGTAGTGAGGTGTTCACAAAACTGGTGACGTGCATGCCTCCTACGCTTTAAGTCCTGAATTCATGCACACATGTTGGACATCCGGAGAGATACTATTACTTCATGCAAAGGGGCGAAATTTGTGCCTACAAATTTAGAAGTTCTAAAGTGGGTTTTAGTTGGGAGAGGGGGTAGATTTGCTTCGAACCTGAAAATATCTTATGTGCTATTATGGATGCACCTTATGGAAAGAAATGTAATTTAGCTACTAATAACCAACACTGATGACCAACTTTATACTATTGCCATACACAGAATATACATCCAGATGTTTCCTTTTTATATCTGTGAGCTATGAAATTTTGATACAAATTTTTTAAGCAATGAAACATTGGAAAAAAGAAAAGACACTAGCCCTATCTGTTCTGACGTTTTTCGGTTTTGTATTTCAAAAAGAATAAGCGATTAGCGACACGTTTCTGGCGTGCGTGCCTTCATGCTAAAAGTTTTACAAAATATAGTATCTTTTGTCACCTCCACAGTGCTCGATCTTTATGACTTAACTTTGCTCAATGAGGGACCTGTGGGTTGGCTCAAAGGGACGGAGCCTCTCCAAAATAGTTCACAACATGATGAGCATAACATTAAATTTGATCTTGAATCAAACGCTACGTGATACAGCAAAAAATATACCAGCTGAGCGGTGCTTGCAGCGATTTCATTCGACGCAACAACAAGTTCTTCAAATTTGCCTTTTCGCTCTACGACTTTGTCAGCAGCGTCCCTGTCAAAAAGCAATTATTCAAACATCGTTATATGGTAATTTAAATAATATTGATAATAGAGGTGCAGTGAGAATTGCTTCGAGGGTGATAATGTAAAAATAGAAATGTGCTTATAGTGTTAATAGTATCATCTTTGTAGCAGGAATCGTGCAAGAATGAACATACTAATCTGGGTATCAAGAGGCAACATGATTCTTATAAAGAAAGTGGATTTGTGTTTGCATGAAAAAATTCATGGGCCAGGCTACAGCGAAATTTGAAATGAATTTTAGCACGCAGAGAAGGTAAAATATTAGAGTGCAAAACAAAGAGCAATCTCAGAAAACAAATTCACCATCATTTTTAACACAAATTTATTCTAAAATTATTCTTAATTTCAACAGCAAGGTTCTATCACCTTATCACAAACTTGTTATGAAACTTCGATTCATTTTTGGATGTCTAAACAGCAACCTGCTAAACAAGCCATTTGTTTTGCCTTGTTAAGATCATTATGCCTTCGAAAAATTCATTTGATGCATTATTATAATACAAATCTATACTTTTATATCTTCTTTATATAACACAATCATTGCTAGCACAGGTGTCTATTTTTCATATTCAGTCCTTGAATTTTCGTTAGCAATGACTGACAAATTATACTCTTTTAAATCAAATAAAATAACAAAGAATTTGTAGGCTCCAAACTGCAATAAATGCAAAGGTATTTTTGCACCAAATCTTGTCTGCTTTTACAATGAAAACAAATTCATGTGAACCATCTACTTACACCAATATAGATGCTCCCCAACCAACGGACTTTGCAGCAGAAAGGAGGCCCTCCGTCCACTTATGATGTCTTTTGTAAAAATCTTTAGCAGAAGCAGTGCCCTGGCAATCAAATTAACTAGGTTCATAAAACTATCTTGGGCGAATGCTTAAAAGTATATTATACTTAGTGCAAACAACAAAAAAGCGTGTAGATATGTTCAAATAGATAGAAAGTGGCATAGAAACTAGGATCACAGGTGAGAGAATTTTACATTTCATAGAACTCAAAGTTCGACCGAATACCGATCAATAGCAGATGTTGTATCTCTTCATGAAAAAATGCTTCTTAAACACAGAAATGCCCGCAAGTTTCTTTAAGTTATAACTTCATTTCCTTTTTTCTAGATCACTAAGCAGGTAAGATAAAACTTTAATCATATCAAATATACAGCAGTGGGAGGAAAAACAATTACCGATAAAACTTAAATAAAAATGAAAACCCAAATTCAAACCTTTCCTTCAGCCACTATCTCTTCTTGCAGATCCTTGGATCTCATGATTAGTTCTCGTATTGCCTGAAAATTAACAGCACTTTCAGAAGGAATCCTTAATCATCATTTTCGCACTATATTCCGGACAACAAATTCAAAACAGAAATATTAACAGGGGTGGGATAAGAGGAACGAAATTCGTTCAATAGTTTGCTAGAACTCAAACCCTCATTTCCCTAATTGTTCTTTTCTTGGATTTCGTACTTTTGTCAAGTATAAAAAAGGACCTTACCTTCATCAAACCATTGCAGGAATCCAAAATCCTGAAACGAATCGATGTAAGGGAATTTAGCTGATGGTTCAGATATATTTGTGGGTTAAAATGGAAAATAAATTTTAGTCAAATTTGTACCAAAAACCATAGGAAAATGAAATGCCAGAAACAAACGAACTGTGCAATCCTTAACGTAAGCAACGCCATTCTCAAAGCAGGTGGGCTATAACGAGAGGGCTCTAGGAAAATACCACAAGAAAATTTCTTTTATTGCCATCATATACTGAAGTCTTGTAAAAATGAACAGTAACTATTGTAAAATGAAGATTGAAGGAATATAAAACAAGTTGCCTAGAAGATCGATAACAAACCGGATATCTATTAAACATAGTTTCTTCTGAACAGCACTGTTTCCAAAAACAAGCAAAATTAGGACAGATAAACAAAAAGGAATGTTTGATCTAAATTCACAAGCTAGCCCAAAAGGGGGTCGTCTAAAAATATGAAAAGTGTACTAACATACTTAAATACATTAAGCAAAATTTACCTCTGATTAACTTCCAGCTGAACACCAGTGTACTTCTGGCGCGAATTTTTCAACATTTCCTACAATACAATTGGCAAAATAAAGTTACCAATTAAACCAAAAGTTACTAAATAAACAGCAAGGCAGTTACGGTAATAAAAAGAGAAAAAAAATACAAATACACTTGACAACATTGGAAATTTACGAAAGACTACCGGAAAAGTTGGGAATGTAAGCGGAGCGCAACTTAAATCGAAACTCGTAGTGTAACTCTAAGTGAAGTAGTTCTGCCTGAAGCTAACTCTGGCAGGAGCACGCAAGGAAGGGTGGATAATTCGGTCTCCCACGTACACAGGTCGACCGGTTCTTTTCTGCGGGAGACCGCTTATCGTTTCATCGGGTAACCGCCGGGCGACCGAATTTGTTACTGCAATTGTCAGCCCCTATCAACAGAGTTATATGCGGGAGACCACTGAAAGGACCACATGCTATATGCGGGAGACCACTGAAAGGGCTGCTGGTCTCCCACCGGGGGATCGCATTTTTACCGGAATGGTCCACTCCTGAGCACGTCGGCTAGGCATATTGGTAAATATATAACATATAACAAAATGAATAACAACATGAAATAAATTTTGAAAGTCTGGGTATGGTTAAGCTTTTACAAGAAGGTTTCCGAGAACACAATTTTTGTTGTCTCCGATGTAAAGAATCAAATTTGATACAAGGTAGTCTATTATATTTCTCAAGAGATTGTAATAATTTTTTGTAATCCTGATACTGAAACATGGAGCATTGTGTCTCTTTTATAAGTCAACCACCATCTTGTAACATCGGCAGGCCTAGGTGGAGGTAATATGCTACCGTTTCAGTTCAATGCTTGGTGTCGTTACATCACTATTTCATGACATGGTTTTGAAACTAGTTCACCGTTCTGACAGCTAAGCAGCCGTCTATTGATAGTCACATGAATCGAGAAAACAAATGACTTTCCTGTGCTGCTTACCTCGATACGAGCTGAGGCATCTGCAACTAGCTGAGCTGTTTCGTTTATCTGTTCATCAACAAGGTCACCAACACCCTCCAAGTTATCCCTTTCTTTTGGTATGAGAAGCTGCAAGCAAAAAGATTTTGACGATTTCGGCATTAATTCTATGATAGCAAGGTAAGCGCGATACTTTGGAAACTGTAGCATAAACCAAAATACAACAAATAAACGCTTTTGAGAAGTACGAAGGCAATAGCTATGCAGAATTCTTGCGGTAGACAACAAGAGCTAGATTTTATTAGATTCCACGATAGATAGCACCATTTTTTATACTTTAAACGCAAAATTAAATACATAAAGAAAATATGAATTTGAATCTCGAAAGAACAACTTCAAGAGACTTAGAATCTAGAGCACCGAAATAATTGGAAAATAAAAAAGGATTCACATATTAATATTGAAGGAACACGTAATTATTGACAGTATATATAATAGCATTTAGTTATGATTAACAAAGTGTGCCATGTAATACGTAAAATGTTGCTCACCTTAGCTGCATTTATAAGATCATTTATTTTGTTGTTCAGAGTCAATGAATCAGACGAAACTTTTGCAGATTCTGAAAACAACGACAGCAGGGATATGAAGCCAAACAAACAAACAAAGCAGATTCAAACAAAGCTATTTGGCAGATGTGCAACATGCATTTGGAGCTGTATGTTATAGTATTTCAACGATAACAAGCTACTTCCCTGCAGTTACTAAATACCATAAGATTAAACGATATCTAGAACAAATGATGTCCAAGGGTACAAAAACGAAATGGTGCTCTGTCTAAGTATGGTATTTAAAATTAACTAGCAGAAAACGAATGAGAGTTGTTCAGATTCATTTTCCAGATTATCAAGACTCTGTATGAAACCTTGTATATATCAAATTGAATGACTTGATTTCAACTAACCACTGTCTCTTTGCTTTACTGTCGACAGAAACTCCATTGCAGCATCGGCAGCTCTTTTGCATTTGCCAGTCAAATCTGCGAAAAAGACCATCAATTCTGAACATCATTCATCAACAAAATAGATTTCCACAGATATGGTCGCATTGCTGGTTGTGATTTCTGTATTTAAGTCTAAAATCAAATTAACAAAAGAGTTTGATAATATTTTATTCTATTTGTTCAGTATACCTTCTGAATCCTCATGTGATGCCATGTGTGAAGTCGCTTTGCCATGAAGTAACCCGTCACTTAGCGAGTGCGTCATAAATGTTAAACTTGATAGCACAGATGAAACATCTTCAAAAGAAAACGCGATATCGTTAAAAAGAATTTGGCTGAATACGCTAGAGATAATGATGATAATGATCAAAACGCTGACAACAACTGTTTTTGGCATCGTTGCTATCACGGTAATGACGTCATAAAATGATAACGATACCATAAGATCCTGAAGAAAAAAATAGGAATACGTAATTCATTCCATTAAGTTAAGCTATAGGTTGAAGAATGATTTGCACTGACTATGATCTGAAATTTTATAACTTTGACAGCAGTGTGAGCATTTGTGGTCAAATTAAGCCTTTATAGGACGTTTGCTGTCATGGCTGATATGTCGAGTAAACATGGCTGCAATGTCGTGTTTCTTATAATACGGTAAATGAAACTTATATGATCTACAAGGACGAATTTTTTCCAAAACTACCAAATTTTTAAAACCTCCAATCTAATGTGGGGCTGTCACCCGTAAAACCCTATTCTCTGTCTATAAGTGAAACCTGAAGGCTTCGAGAATCTTGTATGGATAAATCTCGAGGATTATCACCTTGTTCGTCAAGCCTGAAATGTTGATAGTGTGATGTCACGGCCTGGACTGATTCTGGTAGCGCTTCTAGTCTAGTTTTCAGGTATTCTGCAAGGGTAAAGATCAGATTAGTAGTGGAATTGTATAACAGATCAAACTCAAACTGATGAATATTTGCTAGAAAAACGATTTTATCGGGTGTATTGAATTCGAGGATAATCTAGAGGCACTCGTGTTAAAATTTTTTAAGGATTTGGATAGGTTATAGAAAGTAAATGGCTTAATTCTCTACCTGCAGTGCACGTTGTCCCAGAGAGATGAAGTGGATTATCAAACTGCTCAACTGTCTCTTTGATAATTGCCTTGCATTGCTCGACCGTTGACGCTACAAGGACAAGCAAAAATTAATCACTTAAATCACTTTATCAGTTAATCATTATGAATCAATGCGGCGCCAGTCGCAACGTTACAGGGGTAGCATATTGATCTCTTTGCTCCAACATCTACTGGCCTAGATGTAGAAAATAAAGAAATACGTCCTCCAGATCATGATCATGGTCTGACAGTCACTTATAATAGGTATCCATAAGCATTTAAAATGTACCTAGCAAGGCGTATCTGTTGGCAACTTCGTCATTTCTCTTCAAGGCACTTTGTTCTAAAAGCTAAAGCAATTCAAAATCATTATCAAAATCAAAATGTTGAATCTAGCATGACTCATATATGTTATTCATCGATAAACACAGACATGGGAAAATTTTTAAGTGATTCAAGCAAAACATATGAGGTCAATTCACTAAACCAAATATAATTTTGAAAAAACTTAGAAAACTGGCCAATTCAATGTTTAAATTCAAGGCTGCATTGTTATGAATGTACTGTTATGTATAAGAGAATCTAATGACCAAAACTGAACATTTCCCTGACTAGTATCTGAAAATATTTATTCTCTTTCGATGCATTGTAGGTTCCTACAAACCATTCATAGACTCTTGGCACCTAATTTGACAAGCGAATTGTTACCAAAAAAACTAATATTTCTTGTTATCTTGAAACATCAGTATCAACAGGTGTCAGAATCCTCTGATGAAATCGCTGCTCATCGATGAATTTCAGCTCTGTATTCAAACATATCACGATGATAAATTATTCGAGACGGCCACAATTTAGACTGCCAAGAGGGTTGTTAATAACTTGAAAATACTCTCACAGTACAAACAGTTTGTTTATGATTGTTTTTCTTTGCCGATTTATGGAAAAAATCCTGCGGCAGATAGAGTATTGCGGCAGATGTTGGGGCAATTGAGGCCTTTTTCTTTTGTTACGAAAATTACAAATGTTGATTGAATCAGAAACGGAAAGGCCCGAAGACACGTAAATCTTACTTTAGACTCCTTGTCTTGTTTCTCTTGTTCAAGTTTATTTTCCATGTCCTAAGATAAGAAAATGATGAATAATAGAATGAACGTGAATACGAAATTTTAGAAAAAAATTTTCTCCTCAGCATTTAATTTCAAAATTAATAGTTAATTAATAGTTGCAAAAAAACAATCAACATATTCTTCATATTACTGCACCTTTCTTGCTTTTTCCTCGTCACTTTTGGCTAAATTTGCTGTATTAAGCTGATTTGACAGCTCCTGAACCTGAAATGTAATTGCAATGCCAAAAGATGCAAATAAAGGTCAATAAAACAGAGGAACAAAAAGAGCAATTGATGAATTTTGGAGACCAGAATCATAAACAGTATCCAGAATCATAAACAGAATCTTAAAGGCCTCTTGGTTGTTTGTGAAGACTATTTATTCTAGCTGCCAGCTAAATAAAACATTTTGTACAGGATAAAAAAGCTGAAAAACACTCGAGGGGTTTTATAATTGATATAAACCACTTTCATGGGTGGTCAGCTGCTGCCCAGAGAAACAAAACGTTGACATTATAAATTGGCAAAAAAAACTTTGAGCTCGAAAACGGGGATTACTTCGTTAATCTAAGAAAAACTTTGTTCTAATGATTTTGGGTTTGCAATATTAACAAAATTCCTGCTTATCCAGGCGCCATAAAAATGATGATTTAAATTTCCAATGATGGGTACAAAAGTCGTTCCTCTAAACACCTAAAGTTTGAGCATAGAAAGTAATTCTAGAAACTAAACAAATACCACAATTCAATAAAGATTGGTTATTCTTCTATGTTTTTTTAAGATTAAATTTGGAAGATAAAATGTGATGTTAATGGCATCGAAGAAATCTAACCTTGGTCTGAAATTCTTCACGAAGGGTTGTCATTTCTTTAGAAAGTGCCTGGCAGAAATAGAAACCAAAAATATGATTGCATGAAATAGGTGAAATTTATCCTAGCTACAGGGTACCTTTATGCTATCGGATATGAAAATATAGAGATTAATTGATAATAAGTCAGTTTAAATGTAAAATATATATTAAGATAAACAGTAGAAAATAATTTGAAAATAATTGATCATTTTCAAATGTCAAACTGTATGGTTTAAAAGCACTATGTCCAGTCAGTCAACCATTCAGAGTTAACAATCGGCTTTGTAACGCATTTATGATCAAGAACTAGCCTTACGTTGCTGTTTGGATACCTAACAATAGGTCTATTTTGTAGTCCAACCAATGGGAATTTCAATTGCCATCGAAAAGGACTGGGACATAGTGCCTTTAAGCGTATGCATTTAACACCCGAATACCTCTGCTCAAATTACTGAGTCAAGATCCAGAGAATGTGACATTAACGAACACAAGAACCAAGGCATGTATAAAACATGGCAACAGTAACCTTCACCGCTCATCAAGCATCAATCGATTAAATAAATGAGTAATAAAATTTCGATGAGAGATGAAACCTGATTTCCAGACAATTCTTGCGATATCTGGTCCTGCAAACTCTTTATTTGGGTGTTGAAGTCGTTTTTCTAAAACAAAAAAGCCACCTTATTTGACATTAGAATATCAAAACGGCATCACTGTTTCTTTTGAAAGGAATTATAATTTCCATTAGAAAAATACTACCTAAATATTGGCTTAGATTCTAAAACAGGAATCACACCATACATATACAAATATATATCAAAAGAATACGGTTGGAAATCTTTCAAAATGTATGGAGCATGGAGTAGAGCATATAAAGGGTTATTTATTGTATTGAGTAGGAGGCAGAATCAAAAAGAGGTAGATTATTGGTGCCTATGTAGTCAGGGGCCTATGATGACTAACAGACAGATGTCAGAAACTCCAAAAAACCAATAAGACGGATTCAAGACAGAGAAGGAAAATTTCGACCAATATCGATGTTGAGGGAATAAAGATTATTCAAAATTAGTGAATATAAGGTTAATTTGAAAAAGATAAAACATTACGAATATTGGTCCTAGTGAAATTCTGAAATTTGAAACTAAAGCATTTGAAGTATTGAGATTATTATGATAACCCTACAGACAAGTTTCCCTTCGAAGGTTTTTCCAGCTAACAATGTTGGTTTTTTTTCAAAAGGACAAGTGTTTGATTCCAATTAGTGAACAATATCAAAAAATACCTCAGTAGAGTATTGTGACTTCAATGCGTCCAGCTCTTTTGTAAGTTCCTAAAAAATTGACAAAAAATAACTACGCTTTCAATACATACAATATTTCATTTTTTGTAGTTACGAAACATTGGTAGAGAAGTTGACACAGACGATATCTGGTGTTAAGATAAAAATATTTCAACAAGTAACTGCTTCTGAAAAGACCCGTTCCTTTTTTGACATACAGCGAGCCTCAAGAAATTCAAAGGAACGATTAATGTCATAAGAACAAATTAACTGATACATAAAATGCAAGATTCTATAGAAACTTGAATCAACCGTCATAAAAAAGTCCTATCTTCCATTAAAAGTTTTCAACTTTTTGTTTTACTACAAAACAACAACCAACATACCATACTACTAAATATAATTTATATTTGCTATCGATTAAACCCATCGATTAAACCATGTATTTTTGTACAAAGATAGCAACACACCTATTCAAAAAAGACCCTCAAATCATTTTATATACCTCTTTTCTTTTCAGAAGATCAAATTTCTCCTTTGTCGATTCTTCAAGCGATTGCATTAGCGTAGAGATCTAGGACAAGATAAATAAACGTAACGGTGCATGGAAAACTAAATGATATTTGACAAGATCCACTACCGTATGCGAGTCTATGGCCATAGAGATCATTAAGAAGCAATGGAATTATTAATCATTTTTAAATCAAGAACACCAGAAAATTATAAGCACCACAAGAGCGTCACAAGAGCATCTCTCTACAAAACAGAGCATTGATTGAGCAAAATCTATGTTTTTAAGACAAATACTTAAATATTTCTTATGCATTTAACCAAACGTTTTTTCAGAAAATAGATTATATCAGATCAGATCTCTATTTTAGACTCGTTAAAAGATCTTCAACGCTTCTGACATTCTTTTTTACTGTAAGAAATAACAAGATAATGAAGTATGGAATACCTCGCCTCCTGATGATGATTTCAAATTTTCAAGTGCAGCTTGAGATTGCTGGAATAATTGAACTCACTGATTAGATATGTCAATTGCAATAGGAAGCAAAAACCAACAAAAAAATTGTAGTCTTATGAATAGCAGATGGAATATTCAACAGGAAATTAAGAATATTTTCATCTTCAAATAAGATACTACTTTGCAATGAATTCCTGCTGCAGGATATCTGGACATGTAAAAATGATGTGATAAATACTTATCTATTTCGAAAATTTGTTTATCTATATATGTAAAGAAACATCAAAGACTACCGTATAAGGACCGTACGAAAGGGACCTGCCAGGTAGGAAGGAAGCTTGCCCTGGCCAATATAGTGACGATGTGGGGTGGAAAGTCAGTCTTTAGCATCCCTAGTGTTGCCACGGAGGACCTATTTGCCGCTGAGTGGGCAAGAAATAGACTCATTCACTCAACGAGTCACAAATTACACAATCGTATAAAATTGATACACGCTCAATCTATTGTAGCTACCTTGAAGTGAGGCAGCAGCGAAACAGAGGTTCAAGGAGTTAGTCAAGACAAGAGGCGAGTGCCCGGATCAAAGGCCGAACCGGGACTCTGAAGTTCAACCTTCAGTACTGAAGTAAGGTTTAATGCTGCATAAAGAAAAATATTACCATTCTGTTCTGCTCCTCATCAAGCTTTTCCTTCTGTATCCTTTCCATCTCTTTAGACAGCGATGCGACCTTTAATGAAATAGGTTTGCTGTAATCCGACGAAAACTGAAAAAGTGAAATGCAAAATGCAGGATGAATTTTTCGAGATTACGATATCATTTGGTAAACATTACCTGAGACTCTAGCTGCGTTTTCAAATCTTGGATTTCTTTTTCTGCAGCCTAGAAATTAAGAAATCAAGATAAACAAACAGAGATACAGGAAAACAAAATCTATTTTCCAAATCTTAGTAACTTATGGATACAGTAGAAAACTTAAAATAGCTAATAATTATTCTGAATAATTATTCCAAAGTTAAAAAACCACTGAAAAAAGAAATAACCTAAAAGCATGCTACTATATATGTTGCTCTTTACGTTTTAACATTACTTCTTAATTCAGTTTCTGACAGTGATTTTCAGGGAGTGAAAAATTGTGGCTTTTGTCAAAATTCATACTGACTCCAGCGATTTGCTTGTAACTGGCTAAAAAACTAGTTTTTTATGTACAAGGGGGTTCCCCTGTAGTAAAAGAGCTAGCCCTACCTCTTTAGCCAATTTTTTCTGTTCGGTTTCATCCTTTAGTCGCTTTATTTCTTCCTCTAGCTGGCTTTTCTGGAAAGGGAAATTCCAAATATCTGAACAGACTTTTTAACAGCCTTTAAATCAAAAGGGTGTCAATAAGGAACAGAGCTAAGGCTTTGTACCCTCTACATTATGGTACAAAATTTTTGATGTCATACAAAGCAATCTATATGTGTTCAAAAAACAATAAACCATAAATTCAATGAGCAGGTTTTATAAATGTGATACAAACAATCTTTTTATGGCACAAAATTTAAGAAAGGCTTCGAAAAAAACAAACATTTTGAGTTATACTAAAGCTTTTCATCCCACACTCCTCAGAGTATAAAATGTCAGATCAAAACACTCACGAGGAAATATATATATATATATCAGGGAGGCACTTTTCTTACCATTGGATAGCTGTTTTTTCGTAAAATTGTTTAAAAAAGCCAGCGTTTTTAATGTGAAAAGAAAAATTCAAGAAAATTGTATACACGAACCATTGCTTCGTTGTCACTTTTCATCTTGCTCACAGTATCCTCTGCAGACTAGAAACAGAAGATAGTATTTCCGTTGAAAAACTATGACACAGCAACTTAATTGAAATTGAAATAAAGAGGAAAGGGCGCTTAATAAAGCAAGGTTAAAACAGAGAAATATCAAATAAGTTTAGGTACCGCAATATTTGAAGATAGCACAAACTAGCGAAAACATAACATACTTTGCAAGTACTTTTTGTCCGACACTCTTCCGAGTATATAGTTCGGGGAGTGCAGAAAATTTACATTAAGGTGTGAATCGAAAGTAGCTCGAGAAAAATCTCACTGAAAGAAGATAGATCAAAATAACTTAAATCCCTATAATGGCTTTAGAGAACAGTCTTCAGTGGCATTTTACAGTTTGGAATTGATTTCGCAAAACGTAAGGCACGTAAGTACACGCCAGAAGTAGAATACGTCACTACACATATAAACAAGCAATGACTTCACTTACTTTTCTGGCGTCTTCGTGAGTCAGTTTTGAGCTTGTCAAATGCTCAAGCTGAACTTGCATGACTTTGATCTAAGAAACAAATGACAGAAAAGTCGTAATTATTTTCTAAAAAGTTACACCAATTAATTTCGACTTCCTAGATATGGGCATATCTCTTTGTGAAAACTGAATTGATAAACTAAGTGTTATATATAAATAAAAACATGGTAGTATAATCATTCCGTATGACTAGCAACATATAATCCGATTTTAGAAGGGGGGCTAATGCTTCATTTCCATTATCATATAGTACGGCTATGAATTATATCAAGAATATAGCAAACACAAGAGGTCTGGGGGAACACGGACCAAAGGAAACAAAAATGACATGAGAGTTCTGTTAAAAGAAAACAAATAAAAAACCATGATAAAATATCGCAAAATTTTATCAAATATTCAAGATTTATCATTAGTGAAAACAAAATCACTTTGTGAAAAATATACAACACGGTGAAGTACAAATAACTGTCTTTACCTGACTGTCATACTCATTTTTCAATTTTTCTAATTCTTTCTCAAGTGTCTAAAAAGGAAGAAGAAGATTAAAATGAAGAATGCATGATAAATTGAGCTACCGTCTCATAATGATAATGATTAAAGGCCTCTGATTTACAGATAGAATTTTGAAAATTAGGCCCGAAAATGGCCGATAAAGGGAAATTAACTGTTTCGATTAATAACAAAAATCCCAAATAAACATATTTTGAAAAAGGCAAATTAACGTAGTACGTACTCGGACAAAAATAGAACAATAGAGAATAAGTAATAACTCAGCAAAATTAAACTTATACCAGCAATATTACGATATTGATATTTAATAACCAACAAAAATTCTCAAGTTTATGGGAAAACAGAGTTGATAAAAATCAACAAATAGACATGAAAATACAATGGATAAGATTTAAAGAAACACAAACCAATTTAGCCTCCTCCGAATTGCCTAGCTGTTCGTTCATGGAGTTCATACGAGATACCATCTCATTCATCTGTAAGAACCGCGTAATACATATTCATTAGGCTACAACTGCAATATCCAATATTACATTCAACCAAATTCCCAGCTTCTACATATTTTAGTTTTCACTTTAACAAGACATTTCGGTAAGCTAATTTGACATAGCCAAGTAAAACAAAACTTTCTTAGGCTAAGGTACTTATGTTAAAGATTTGCAGAAATCAATATAGTCTTTCAAAGTAAATTGAATTCAATAAATAACAAAGCTAAATTTAATATATCAGCACAGAAAGAATTTATTTTAAAATTCTATTACACAACATTGGATTCTCGTCGTCATTTTGCTTTGTTCCTGAATATTACCTTATATTATTACTCATTGCTAAATTAAAAAATCCTTCCTTTTTATACAAAGTATAATCGTTTGCTATGAATTTCTACTTAATCAAAAAGATCTCTCTATAATTCAGTGCATTTTTAGAGTCTGCGAATACATATAGATGGAATTCATAAGATTTTACAGACAACTGGAAAACCATAAAAAGTTACCGCTTCATTTTTCTCTTGCTCCACTTGTTCAAGTGATTCATGTGTGTTCTGCAAAATTTGACAGCAAATAATTAGCTGATACTTTATTTCTTTCTCAATAGACTAATGTCAATCATCAGTCAATCAATAAAGCTAAGTTTTTAAAGAACTTTTATTGAAATCTGAAGCTTTGGCACGTTGAAATCTAAAGTTTTTTGTAAATACCTACCATTCCAGTTTTGAAAAATATTTTTGATAGGGTTTAAAATGTTCTACACGATGTTACATTATGATACCATATTTGAAAATAAAGAAAAATCTAAGGATTAAATCAATAAATGCCATTTTCGAGACTCTCACTTGATTAATTTGCTCCAGTTGTCTAAGGTTATCTTGCATCATTCTGATATCTTCTTCCTACAAGCAAATAACCATAATTTGGAATAATGTCTAAATTATTTTGATGTCTCACATACTATCCACAGAACTGACTAATAATGAATCAGAGAAAACTGTTCGTTGTTTCCGGTTTTAATGGTTATTGGGTAAAGCCACAGCCACATCTTTCAAGGCAGCAAAATCTTGTATTCTAACCCTTGAACTGAAACTGAAAGCCAGGGACTTATCTATCTCTTACAACAAAAGATTCTTACAACGAACGAATCATAAATGGGCATGGGGTCTACAAGATATAAGTAAGGCGTCATCTGAAAGCAACTTTTTATCACAATAACATTCACCTTTTCCTTAATAGCCATTTCCCTTTCTTCAAATGTCTTCTGAAGTTCCTAAAATATCGAAAACAGAATAGCACCAACTACTTTCTGGTTAATGCAAGGGAGATTATTTTAAAACTAACAATATTGATCACTTGAATGAAATACAGAAGTGTTATCAGAAAAAGGGCCTATGAATTTAAAGAAGATTAGGAAAATACCAGAAAGGCTAGGTTTTGGTAATGTAATTTGAACTACGCCCATTTTTCTACATCCAGATAAAATATTACAATAGAAAATACATTTTACTGTACTTGCTAATTACTCTACGATATTACAGTTACGATACCATGGGACGCAAAGTACAATGGCAACCCGATGGCCATTACATGCAACTAGACAAACAAATACGAAAGCTACACGTACACATAATGAATGTTAACAAAAAAAGAAAAGAAATATTTATGTAGGAGATTACAGGTACAAGATCATACGTTTTAAAACTGAAAACAACAAATAAGTGGGTGAGGCACAAGATTTAGGGATATTTAATAAAAATGATCATATCATCATTCAAAGCGTTCCGTTCTTGAAATATACAGGAAAGGAGATTCTAGAATGAATTTATTTCCTTCAAATGGCAACTTTTTATCACTGTACAAAAGAATCTGTAAAAGGACAGGATTTGGAACGATGGCAAATTCAAATGAGTGCAGTACTGGAATGACACAGGCGAGGAGGTCACGCCTTTGTTCTTTAAAACCCATCTCTCTGTGCAACTGCAAATCCCGCTAAGTAAACACAGTATAGTGTAGATCCGATTCAGAACAACACACGCAATAGCAAACTTCAGGTAAGGAAAAATCCGATGTACCCCTAGCTTCAAGTTGACGCAAAGGATCAGTCGGTTGCGTTATGAGTCTTCCGTAAGAGCAAACGGCAGCAATTCTTAATACTTTTCCAAGCCAAGAGTTAAGGCCATAAACTTAGTAACATCGTTATATGTTTTATTGACTTCTTTCAAGGCAATCTAGATGCTTTGAATGTTTAGATGATCAGCAAATGTGATTAGTGTTTAAACACTTATGTTTAAACCAGTATGACATTTAATTAATTTTAATACCTGTTGCTTCTGCTCCGCAATTTCTGCTTTTCGTTTGATTTCTGCGTTCTACGAGCAGTAAACATAATTTGAACAACGTTTCAAACTTTCATTTCATTAAATTACAAATAGCTTACTTAATTTCAGAAATTTAAATATTACTAAATTTTCTTTGTAAAAAAACTCACGGATGACATTAGAAGTATAGTGAGGTTACCATTAAGATACATCGAGATGCAGGGGGCTAATATGCTTCAGCTTTGTTAGGAAAACATTTTTTATTCTGAAACATGCCGCAATTATAGTTTTGGACACAATCTGGGTTGTCTAGTAAATGATGTTCTTGCCGATCAAAAACAACAATGAAAAAATATGATTCTGCAATCGGGCAGCATTCTATAGACAACCCAAGTCGTGCCAAAAACTTTTTAGAACAAAATCATCAGCGAGAATGAGAATTATAATGGCCCGTAGTAACCTAACTGATTATAAGTGCGATCTAACTAAATACAGTGAATAAAATGCAAATAATGAATTGCCAGTCAATTTCTTAAAGAATATCTACATATCATGCATTAAAAGTATTTGTGTTTGTATTTGTATTTGTTGCTACCTAGCATCCAAAGTTAGTTTTTAGGACAATGAGAAGCTATGCTTATCGAGCAGTGTCCTGGTCCTTCCTCTCGATGTGACCACACCTCGTGATTCTTATGCCTGTAATTATAGAGAACTGACGACTCTCCCCACTCTGCGTGAAAGCTTGGTCATGCCAGGGACTCGAATTAGCCACTAACAACTAACTATCAACTGAGCCATCCTCGCATTAAAAGTGATAACACACAAGGCAATTTCTTAACCTTATATAAACGAATATATCTACTAAATACGGTTTTTGTATATATGTTTGTAAGATTTGGTCATTAGACGATAACAATGGGAGCAAATACGTTGTCACCCTATAGCCAATCAACAAACTTGACATAGATTCTGAAATGATATTTAAAAGATCCATACAAGAATACATATAAAATATGCCCCACGTTATCTTGAGAAGAAATAAAATATTAGTAGTAGATACAGTATTAGTAGACAAAGTAACCGACATTGCAATTGGTCTAGAGCAGCATAAGTTTGAGAGAATATCTAAACGCAAGCAACACAATAAATAGCCTTACTATTGTTACTACCATGCCTCACCTGTCGAATCATTTTCACATGCTCGTCTCTCAAAATTGTGTACTTCTGCTTCAGTTTATTGAACATTTCATTGACTTTTTCTTTAAGAAAAAATGTTTAATGAGTTCCAAAAATGTAGAAAAATACATACAACGCTGCAGTATAGTTAAACTTTTATCGATGATGATAAAGCAAAAGAATAAGTATGTAAAATCTAGAGAAATCTAGGTAAAAATCATTGCACAACTTCACAGAGCATGTATAATTAAACACCCAAATTCTCTGAGCTTGAATTCTGAATCAATACACAAAATATTATCAATTTTAGAAAAATCTAAAGGGATTATAATACTTCATGTAAAAGATGTACTTTACGTAACTCTTAAGAATTAAATTAACTAAAACAAAATATTTTCCACCTTTTTCCGCATCATCCCCCTTAGCGACTTTTGCTTCCTGCGTTAATCCCTCCAGCTGATTTTTTAAGAAAACATTTTCCTACGAATAAAAGATTCTGGATAAAAATTCGCGAAAAAACATTGATGTAACGGAATTCAAACGTTTCACGAAAATACTTCTTCCTAAATACACAATTCTTTAAGAGACTATGAGAGTGAATGACACGACCAGGGCCAGGTGATGAACCCATGATCAGCAGCCTTGTTGCTCTACCGACTGGGCTACCCTTCCACGTTCTCAAATCCAACCCAAAAGCCGTGCCACTTACAGACACACCCCCTCTCCTCCAAGTGCGCAAGGAAGTCATCGAAGCATCTCAATGTGCAACGATTTGCCATTTCACAACCCCTTGTTCAGCTATAACTAATTTAAAAAATTGGTACATTCCTGTTGAAAGAAAAAAATCAACTTTTTTCTTGCAATATGCATATAAAGATCGATATGTCGGCCTTCCACCCCACCCCTACCTCTTTTGAAGTAGGATTCAATTGCTGATAACATGAGCTTGAAAGTATTGCTAGGCGCGTGTCAAAGCTAAATGATTAAGATTTTATGGGGATTCGAGTTATATGAAGCTGAGAAGAAATAAAATATTAACTTTTATAAGACAAAAGTTCACCTAGACAATGATGTACCACACCATTCAAAATACAGTAATATTCTACAGCAAACTGAAGGCTAGGACTAATAAGCATTCTCTGTCTAGGATTTTAGTTTATCCCAATTCCTTACAAATAAAGGAAAGTTTGCTTACGTCACAGGCTTGCTCGGCTATACGTTTGTACTGGCTTAGTTCTTCCTTCAGCTGAAATGGGAAAGCAATTTATCACGGAAATAGAAAAAGAAATTGCAATTCAAATACAGCTAAAGAAATTCAAGTATTCAAAGATAAAGGCAATGACGGCAGAATCGGTTGCCATGGCGATGTTGGTGGCAGTGATAATGACAGTGATTTTGTCCATGGCGACTACATGGGTGGATGTTGGTTGCAGAAGTTTTGCAATTTATATTCGTGGGGGTACATAATAGTGAACCAACATTTCGAGCACTATTTGACACAGTAAGTTTTGTAGATTCTAGTTTCAAAGGATACATGTCAATATATATATGTTAATGTTAATAAATACGTGTAGAGAAATAAGTCATAGGATTTTCATTGCAAAATAGTTCCAACTCTTGACTTGATATTAATTTCCCGAGTATCAAAGTTAAAAAAGTTACTTGCATTTACCAGCAAAACAATCAAGATAATCAAAACGTGACACATACCTGCATAATTTGTTTTTTTAGGACTGACTGTGTTGCGATGGCCTGGAGAAAGAAAGCAGTTAAACAGAGATCTGGGAACTAAGTAAAACTTGTTGTCATACTGTTACTATGAGAAAAGAAACAGAACAATAAACGTCACAAAAAGCGTACTCACATCTCTTTCGAGGTAATCTAAATGATCCCTCAGTTCGTTTATCTCCCTCATCAGTTGTTCAATGAGCATATCTCTAAAAATAAAATAGGGAAAAATGCAAGTTTTTAAGTGTTAAATAATCCACGCTGAAAGTTTGATGGTGATATCAATAACAAAAAATTGAAACTATCAAACAGAACGGTTGGAAAGAGCAAAAACAGATCATGAAATGGAAAGTGGCAGGTAAAGTGACATTTGAAATAAATCTTGAAATTAAAGGGACTAAATGGTTTTACACAGGAGGATGTATAGCTGTTGGTACACTGCGAAATGTAAAATTAACAAAACAGAAATCCACTAGTTAAATCAAAACAGATTCTGCTAAACGTTCACTCAGAAATCCACTACTTTGTCACCTGAGAGATGTTTCGCCACTACCCTTCGCATAAAGAGTGACAAAAAAGATCGGGAATAAATTGCTTTGTGGCATACCTGTCATCCTTCTGCGGCATTATTGGGGTACTTGGCTTATCCTCGACGACTCTTGGCCTTTGCTTGGGTTGCTCCATCGTATGGATTAAGAAATTTGGCGGAGACTAAAACACAATGAAAGCTCTCACTTGAAATATAATATGGAAACGATAGACTGAGTCATTTGTTCATGCCAATTATATACACAGCAAATGGTGCAATAATATTAAAGTGCTTTAGTGCTTACTACAGATAACATTTATTGTTAACAAGCCACGAATGAAACACAAGACCATAGGAAAGCCAAATAAAATTGAAACTACTTGTGACTTTTCCTGCAATTCAGAGAGTAGCACTTTTGGGACTCTCGCAAATATCTGAGAAAGAGGTGTGAACGTAATCTATTATGCATTTGGGCCTAGTATTTGACTTTCCTAGTATTTGACATATTTTGATTTTCAAGAAATTCTGCCGCGTTTGGCAGTCATAGGACAGCCATGTTTTTTATTCTCATGGTACCCGCCATCTTTAAAGAACGTCCGATTAAATCAATTTAATAATAAGTGCTTACATCAGGTAGCTCTGGAATTGTGGTCAATGCGGTAATAAACTGAAATGATGCGGCATCAATGATAAACTGCTTTAACCTGCAAAAAGGGAAGTAACCGAGTGGTTAGTCTTGGAGCCTTTGTCGGTAAACAGAGAGGGGAACGTGGAAGATAAAGGGAATAACGTATTGCAGATAAAGCAAACTTCACAAAACGTTTTACTCCAACTTCAAGCAAACCTTTACTCACACATTAAAATATTCAAATTCTTAGTGATTACATATTTGATGATATATTAATACTCATTATTGAATATATTTTATTTGGTTTCACGAAAAATGAAATATTTCGGACTTGCAAACCTCGATTCGCTTGTAAACTCGCAAACCTCGATTCGCTGCTAAAAACAGTCTTGATGTAAATAGAACAGTTTACCTTGTACTACAGCAGAAACCCGAAAAATCAGGGGAACGATTAAAAATGTTCGTTTTAAAGAATTGTTGAGGTATCCGGGATTTCAAACACTCAAATTATGGGGAAAAATGAATATAATTTCAAGTCAAAGCAAATTTATAAGTGTTTTTTATTGCTAAGACTTTAAAACAAAGCGTTCATATTGGTCAATGCATAGAAAAAAGCTGAACAACTTTGTTGCTTGAAATAAGGAAGCAAAGCTTGATTTGCTTGTTCGACAAGATGAAATACCGATCTTTTTGCCGCCACAATTACTCTTGAACCCATACCAAAGGATATAAAGCGTATAAAATGTTTTGAAACCAAAGCAAGAAAAACATTTAGATGTTCATTGCGAACCAGGAGATATCCTCGAAAAAATGCAGTGCTATATCTATAAAAAAGCTTGGTCTCCTGAAATCACAAATTCAAAAGAAATTTCCATAAAAATCTAACACCAAAAGCTTATTATAGCTTTGAAAATGTTTTCAAACTGCATGTTACTTTTTGAGAATTCAGTTCTAGTTTCATATAAAAGTTTAGAAACTGAAGTTGAGAAAAAATTATTGGGAGTTGCATTCTTTTTTAAATAACATTTTCATTACTTTGATAAGAAAACTGGTGTCAAAGAGGAGAGAGACAGAACCATTTCTAAATCTTACTCCAAAGAAACTTTGTTCTACATACCGAAACAACCTCTTAATCAGTGTTGTGCAAAAGAGCGAGGCAGTAATTCTTTAGCAGCATATCGAAAAGGGGGAAAGAAAAAAGAAGGACCATGTTGCTGGAAAGCTATAAATTGTTAAAAGTTGTCGAGAAAAGAATAAAATACCTTGAAAACTGCTGGTTAAAGCGAGTCCTATGTCCACTAACGGTATCTGGGGGTAGGCCTAAAAGGAATAGAGATATTCAACGAGTCTTATCTAATCAAACAGATGCTAAGCGATGCAATTAAAGAATCAAACAGGGAATGCGGAAACAGGGCGGCTGGGAGGCTACGTCCCTACATAGTTTCCAAAATATACTTTTAACCACATAAAGAATCATATTGATTTTGGTCTTGATGCAATTAAAGAATCAAACAGGAAATGCGGAAACAGGGAGGCTGGGAGGCTAAGTCCCTACATAGTTTCCAAAGTATATTTTTAACCACATGAAAAATCATATTGATTTTGGCCTGGAGCATGTTGTGCCCATATGTTTTGAGCCCAATTTCAAAAGTGATCCAGGTTCGCAAGACTCTGACTAGCATGCAAAAATATGGCTTTACAATAACCATCATTTGCTATCAGGATTCTGGAATTACATACACGTCACTTGCAGTTCTTTATTTAGAAATCGTAATGAATAGACAAAAGAGGCTTTTCACGATTAATCACTCATTCAATCTGGAAGAAGTTAAAGCCTAATACACAAAATCTTCATAGTTTAACCTCTTGACATGACGATGACCATCTTTAAAATCAGTCTTATTCATTATAAATACTCACATTTGTGTAGCCTGATCATGACGCAAACAATCATATCATACAACCCACTGCATTCCTGTCAAGAAAACAAGCAACAAAAATTTACGCGAAACTCTTATGAGATTATTTATTCAGTGCAACTTTGGCGTATAAGTTTGCAGTAGCAGGTAAAGCAGTCTAAGTTTAAGTTCTTAGAAGGCAGTCTTAAATCATCTTTACTTCAAACAGCAGGTTTTATAATAGACTGTAAGTGGTAAAGGTAGATGAGATGCACAAAAACGTAAGATAATACACAACTTCCACTTGACGGTATTTAACAAGCCTTTTTTATAGATAGCACTTCCAGTTTTTGTCACCATAGAACTTTACAAACCCAAGCACATTATCAAAATGCAAATATTTTCAGAAGCTCGATCTTTGGGTAGAAGCTTTTGGGTCATTCATGTTTGCTCGATCTTTGGGTACAAGACAGGTTCATTCATAACGGTCTAAATCACATACACAGGTTCATTCATAACAGTTTGAATCACATACACGGGTAAACTTCGGATTGTTAATAGGCATAGTAGTAGATTTAAAAAACTACCCAGCTGCACTATTTTTGACTAATTAGCTGTACACTGTGGCCAGCTGAGTTTTTAATAGAAATGGTAACAATATATCCTGAAAGCCACCTTAACTCTTTAATACACACCTTTTTCTTTCTAACACATATGTAAACATAACTGGCAAAATGACGTTAGTAAAATCAAATATTTAAACATCAACCATTCAAATACTAAATCATATCCAGTCTCTTTGCAGGAATAAGGAATGCATCACGCTATGGAAATTTTAATTACCTAGAAATGATTACCGGGTTGTTTAACTAGAGGGCTCTAAAAAATAATACGGTGCTCTAAAATAACCAGATTAAATGCATAGTAGTCCATATTTCAAAAATGTGATGAATTAATAAATCAAGGCCTAATAGATGCAGACTTTGCAACCAGTAGTTCTAATTTAATAATAGTATTTGTTTCGTTGCTCAACATAGATCGCTTTTTTTTCAAGTCTGGTTTAATTTTCATTAGTTCTTAATTAGTTCATAATATCATTAGCAGTAGCTAGATGGCCACATGATATCATTATCATTCTAAGCAATTATATTTTTTAATTTTGGCTAGCTGTTTTAATGACTCATCCTGTAAAATGTAGAGGAATTTTGTTCCTAGAAATGGCCATGGCCTTGATCAGGGGGTTGTGTTTTCGGGAGTCCAAGAATATATGTGCTTAGCAAAACGGTTGGCAAAATTTTCAGTACCACTTTTGTTTATACGGTTGTGCATTAGTGGAGGCAACTTTACTGGATTTTTACTTTTTTGGCTATTTTAACCAAATTGTAATAAACATCAAACTTATAGTATTGATGCAAATGAGTCTGATTATGTTGAACAAACAACATGAACGAACATTAACAACGCAAATAGAAATACCTTCAATAGTGGCACCATGGGGGCTATTCTGCACTGTGCACTGTGCACTTGCGAGTTGTTCTTTGATTTATCAAGAGTTTTCATAACTGAAAAAAAATTTACATAGTTATTATTGCAGGATGTGCTAAGTATTTTACCTGTTCTTGAGAAAAAATATCATGGAACCAAGAGTGTCTAAAAAACATTTGACCCATGGCAACCCGTCAATCAAAGACAGGTCAACAGGGGGCCATGCTTAACTATACAAAAATTGAATTAAAATACTGCTAACTAAGGCAAAAAGTAATTAAAATAGTGAAAATGATATATACGAATGATAACTTAGCGAAAAGTATTAGGCAGAAATATAGATTCTTCATAAACAGATGAATGACGATATGATAGTTTTTATGAAACTCTTTAGATTTAGGTTTTTCAAGCCTCTGTAGACAGATGATTCAAAAGATTTTCACCATGGTAGAGAAACTCTTCCGCCTTGTGGTCGTTCTTAGAAAGGGGAAATTTAGGCCATACCCCGAATTTCTAAGAAATCGTATTCTAGAGGCGTTGTTAAATTCTATTATAATTTTTGCAACATCTTTTCAGAGGTATGTATTTCTGCTTTCGTGAAAATTCATTTCAAAACCCTCACGCTAAACCTTCAAAAGAATACTTTGGAGTTGTACTTGCTAAAAACGGTTTCTTAAAATCAAATAATAACAAATAATAATAATGTTTACACAGGGTAACCTCTTCAACACACAAAGTGCTGTATCAATGAGGTCCCAGTGTCTAAATACTATGATTTATTACAAAACAAATGCTATAACAAAGAAACTATCTATTAGGGCAAACTGTTCCCTTTTTAAAAAATAGATTAATTTTCAATTGTCCAAAAATTTATTTCATTTTATATTCAAAGAGGAGTAAGTCAAACTGGCGAAGGCTGCTCGGGAGTTCGTTATTTTCATTGGGAAATTGAAACCAAAAAGACCATTTTTCTTCCTCTGTTCTAACCTTCGGGATTTCAGCTGCATATTTATTACTATGAGTTTTATGGTTTAAAGGTTCAAGAGACACGTGTTCTTGTATTTATTATTAAATATAACAACGGACTACAGATCCAGGATTCTGGGGTTCGATTCAAAGCCATGACCAAACTCTCACTCAGGGTGAGGAAAATCGCTAGCTCTCTGCAATTCCAGGCGTAGGAATCATGAGGAGTGGTCACATCGAAAGGAAAGACCAGGACACGGCTCGACAAGCAGAGCTTCTCAGTGTCCCAAAAAATTCACATGGAAACTATGTGAATCGCTAGCTTCAATGCTTTTGTAGCGATCAAGCGCGTAAATAATAGGGGGCGTGGGGGTGTGACGTCCCCCAATGGGTAGAAAATCCAATTACTGTTGGAAAACTTAACAGTTCATTTGGATTAAGACCAAATTTGTGAATTTTATATTTTAGGAATTTTGGGATTTTACATGAAAAAATTCAAGCGATATTGAAGATCAACAATTACAATTCCTATCTTTAAAAAAATACTTCTTTACATAATTCATAGAATTCTCATTCCATTATCAAGAAATTTCAAACCCAATTTTGGCATTGTTTTGGTTGGTGATTTTCCTGTCTCTTATCAATCTATACCAATACAATTGTTGCGCGGCTCTTAGCTGATATGGAGTCTTGCTGGATTGTAAGCCTGTTGTTGCTTTTCAATTAATTCAAATGCATCGTAAGTTTGAATAATATAAAAAAATTGAAATGAATGCATTTGCTTGTTTGCAGGACCCACTGGAATGTATGTGTGGAGGAAAGACACTAAGCCAGCGAGCAACTCTCACTTATTCTATTAATGGTTCAAGGATTTGCTGAACAAGAGGGTTACAATCACAGAGGAGTGGGAAAATATAACCTCACCAGTGCACCTGGATTGTCCTTTAAAAATTTGGCTGCAATGTTCAAACACACAATCAGAAAAAAATGCAATACTCAAGTCACAATGATGTCTTCAAATGAACAACATAGGCATTCAATATAGCTGCATTTATGGGTTAATATAAAAAAAGTAAGACTAACTGACAGTTTACAATCCTGTTGTAGCTGTAAAAGAGTTACTGTTATCCTAGAAATAATGTGCCCATATAATTACAGTGCATACCCCCTAAACTAAAATACCATTGAACAAAACAGAAAATGAATAAAATATGTGATCAGGTCACATATAAAAAGTAACACTCCAATTCATGATTGTACATCCACACTTCACCTTAAACACAAGTAAGCATAGTAATTCAGGTACAGTTTGTCTCACAGAAATCTGCTGTTACCAATGGCCAGGGACGGATTTATTCTTTGGGATGTGACACCCCCTTCCCCAATATGTTTGCGTCATTTGGTGAAGTTTGCTTCAATTTTGTGAAAAACACATTTTGGTTATCAGTAGTAACAAAATGATACAAAAAAATTTCCTTCACTTATCTTTTTATTTTTTTATTTTAAAGTTAAAAACAGAATTTTAGAAATGAGTGTTTCCATCGCTTTCCAGTCAACTGAAGGGTGTAGTACCAACATCTAATCATTACCTAACATCCCCCCAGTCATTGCTGCTTAAATCCATCCCTGCTAATGGCAATAATAGAAATCCACTGATGCTAAAGAGGTGTCATGGTTTTTACCATAAAAGCTGAACATTGTTGGGGGATAGCTCAAAATTTGAAAAAAATTACCAGTGGGTGACTGAGCCCCACCTAAAAATCTTAAAAGGGCTTGGGCTTCCAAGCCCTAACATAGCCAGCACACTTAGTTGGGGACTTTTGCTGTAGCATAGTTAAAGTTAAATTGTTAAATTCTGTATCAGTACATTATAATATGATACAAATCCACCAGAATGAATGATTTCTCTTTGTTTTTTTCCAAATGATTTTTGTCGGTTGTCCTCTATACATCTGAATAAAATTTCATTAAAAATTCAATTTATTGCTACAATTAAAAATACATAATTGTTGTTAGATCTTAGGTGGATATAGATGAAAAAACTCTCTGGGGTCTTTTGCACCACTGACACTTGAATAGTAGCCAATATGGTAGAATAAATTTGGAACAACCAGCAACCTGTTCTTTCCATTGCTTTCAAAGTAATTAGCAAGTGCAATGTCAATTGGATTGTTTCGGCTGCAAACAAGTCCAGTTCTTAGAAAACTGATCAATTCATCCAAAACTCTTGTTGGGTAGAGCATGGCACTGGTGCAACAGCCAGGACCATTGACAATAAAATGTGTAAATTTTGAAAACTTCAAAGTTTCTAAAATATGCTGTCTTGAAAATGTATAAACAAATATCAGAACATATGCACTGATCAACAATAGAAGAACAAGCCCTTGAAATATTTGTCTCAAGCTCCAATTTGCTCTCCCGGCAATTGACAATAATATTGTTGTTACCAAAGTAACTGTCACAACCACTACGCAACTGAGTTCTAGCTTGGTGTCATATCCAAATCCTTGCCATTTTTCTGGGTGATATAGTTTGACATAACCAAGTGAAACATCTTTATAGAAGCTTTGAAACAAATAGTCAAATACCAAACCAAAATTCTCTCCTGCAAAGGCATCATCTTCAAGTACAAGTGCAAAGTGGTATGCCCGGCTATTGCAAACACTCAGTGCTTCAATGAGATCAACTCTGTGCTTATCATATGGATCCAGTTCTTCCAAGTAGGCCCTTTGATTATCTTTATGAGCGATATAATAATTTCCAATATCGAAGCTTTGCAGTTTAACCGCATCTTTGTTTAATTCTGGTGGGAATTCAGCATTGATAACATTCAAATTAAAATATGATGTCAAATTATATGTTTCTTTGACAAGCTTTGAGAATGTTTGTATTAGATATCCAGGTGAATTCGAACGGCTCTTTGACAATATAGCCACACATATCTTCAGCCCAGCTTTCCTTTTTCTCAAACCTCCGACAACCCCATTGGATTTTGCGTACTTTCCCAGAAAGTTCAATGAAGCTTCTAACCTTTCCTTGTTACGCAAATCGACTTTCTCTTGCAATCTATCCGACGCAAAAAAAGATGAGTAGCCAAGCTCTCTGCAAATTAACGGCATAATGATTGAAAATGTGCTGATATACAAACAGCCAATTAACACCACTATGCTCTTGAATGTCCACCATTTTCTGGCTTTCCGCAAGAAGGCACCAAACGGACCTGTTTTCATGATAAATAACGGGGCCTGGCTAAAATTTAGACCACAGGCCGACGACCAAAACACAACATGTAAAAAACAGCAAGTGGAACGCCCACTGCGAAAAAGCATCTAACAAAACTCCATGCTTTTGTCGGAGCTTATTTCCAACATACCAGGCCGGCCATCTTGTTCCAACAAGCTTCTTTTCAAAACGAGGCTTCAAAGGCGAGTGGGCGAGTCTCGAAAAAGAATGGGAACCTATAGAAAATTTCCCTTTGTATACGTCAAGTGCATATAAATTGTAATAGTTTAGATTTTATATTTGATTAATTTAGCAATGTACTCGTTGCTTGTTAAAATTCTGTTACGTCTTGTTGCGTTAGTGAACGCCTTGTGTCTGTCTTCGTAAAAAGTTAATTTTTCTGTCGAATCATTAGAGATAACATCAAAGAAGAAGTATCTTCTGTGCGTTATTTCGGGGCCTAGCCCATCACTCAACCAGCGAGATGGGTAGTATTCACTGGTTCTTTACCGTCATAACAAGAAACCCTAATCGTTACAAAATGATAGATAATGAAGACATTAATGGCAGAATGATGCCAAAAATACCAAAATGTTATCGAAGCCATGCACCAATTGAATATAAACAAATACACGTTTGAACATTTAAGCATCTGCTATATTTCTACCAAGAGGCAGAATATTACTGTCCATGTTCCCATAATTTCCACCACTGTTTCTAGCATGGTTCTGAATCTCGCATGCCAAGTTACCAAGTAAAGGACAATGGGAAAATCAGCACAGGGGTGGGGCCTTAATAGGTGTTTCATTTCAATAGGGGTGTTCTCTGCCGTACCAGTGAAATAGGCCATAAAATTCAGTCTACAACAAGCCGTTTATAGAACAGGACGTTGCAACTCAGACGCAATACTCATGCACCTTATCATAGCTATGCCTTTAAATAGGCCGTTCACCTAATTCCTTGCCTGAGTTCTAGGATGCAAATATAATGACAACCAACCAGTTGACAGGAATTGCGCAAAATAAATGTAAAGGAAAATGATTTGTGACCAAGAAGTAACAATGGGTCAGTGAGGTATATTTCTAGTATGTACGCTGCGCGTGGTGCTTCATCAAAAATAACTATAAAATAGTTAGCAAATAAATTGAGTACCAGAATGAAATGAATTAGTTTGATAGTTAAAAATACGAAGTTTTGAGCACGCACTCGTTATCAAGTCAAATACATGCTCCAAACGTCGTGGTTTTAACTATCAAACTAATTTATTTCATTCTGGTACTATACTTTTAGTAATTGGTAACCACATGTTTTGAATGTACGCCCCCCACCTCCAAAGGTTACTACAGGGCTAATTTACGCTGTTGAGACACTTTCAAAAGTAAAGTCAAAACATCTTTTCCAATCTCTATTCCTATCTGTTATTATTTTTTCTTTTTGCTTCAAAGGTATTGTTCAGCGTCATCCAATCAAAATTATGCGGTGCCCATTCATCTGCAACTGGCTTCAATGGTCACTTATAGCGTTTGAACAAGCGACTCAAATAACACTCAAGTCTCCACACATGAAGAGATGAAGAATGCCAAACTACTTGGAATAACACAGCACAACAAACTTAACTTATAAAAACATATAAAAACCTATGCAAAGAAGCGGGTAAAAAGATAAATTTCCTGGCGAGAATATGAGTGAATATAAATAAAAACTATTAATGAAAACATTTATATACTTAGTTACTTTAATTATTGCCATTATTTATGGATGCACTGTAGCAGAAAATGGGACAAACTTGTGATAATATTCATAAACGAGCCCTTTGCGAATATAATTCAAAAGACCTTCCTAATATCGGACAGCATGAAAATACAGAACACTGCCAATTTCTCAAGAAAACTTAGGCTAAACCTGCCGGTTGCGCAACAGCCTTTAAATCAAGCTTTGAAAATACTATTTCAAAAACAATGGATGTTATCGTTCCATCAAAGGAATACAGTAAACAACTCAAATCCAGGATTTATGAAAAATATATTTCAGTTAAATGAAGTTGCATATAGTCTACGTGGGTACCAACATGGGTTAGATACTATATCCTATAGAAGTAATGAATTGTGGACATTCTTTGCCATTAGACATTCGATTGATAGAAAATTACAAAGAATTCAAAATTAAAATTTTAACAAGCCGATCTTACTTGCTCGTGTAGACTATACACACCATATACTTCCAATGGATACTTGTAAAAATCACGTTTATCGTTAGCAATATTGTTGCCATTATAAGTTGGCATTTATTAGTTGGGTAGTTGCTATTATGTTGTGTACCAACATTAAATACATGTGAAGTGAACAAAAAAAACTGGAAAGAAAAAGAACCAAGAATTCCAGGCACCAAAACAATAACAGACGGCCAAATTAAAAAAGCCAAAAAAATTAGCAGGGGTCGATAAAAAAGTGTGGTCTATTTGAGAGCTCTAGATTGTGAAAACCTGAAAGCAATTACTTCTGGAACGCAATGACTAAAGGAAAAGTCAGTATTTGTGAAAGCAAGGACAATTTGCTATATTTATAAAAGAAGCATCCTGTTACAGATATATGAGAAAATACCAAGGCAAGAGTGGTAGTTTGAAATTACTATTTTAATTGCACTTTATTCACAAAAAATACAGCTAATTTCATGAATTATGCTTTTAGTGTATAAAACACGACAGTCCCATGTTCCTACATGTTTCACGCAAGCAGCAAGACCAACGTAAAACTTATGGCCAACAATGAGATTTGACTTTCAGTTCGATAGTTTGATCTTGGGAAGCTTAACCTCAATATGTATATTTCTTCAAGAGAGGTATTCATACTTTTGCTATTGCCTATGAAATTTCTAGGTTTCCAGAAATCGTTTATTATAAGCCATATGTCAAGGTCTTGGCGTGTATAATGTCGTACCTTACAATTCTAAGTTGGCAAGTTCGCGATAGGAATACTATGATAATCTCGAAAAAAGCTATTGCAGTTTCTTCAAAACAAATCTGTTTAGTTTAAAATTTATGAACAACGTTGAAGCAGAATGTGGATATGACAGTTATCAGACAGTAGAGGAGTTAACGAGTGTCAGTTATTAGACAGGAGTGGCAGTTATTAGACAGGAGTGGCAGTTATTAGACAGGAGAGGACCTGAGACTTGAGTTAAACCACACAAACACATAATGATGCGGGCAATGGACTTGATAAGCATTTTGACCTTCTACAATAGGTTTCTTTCTTACTCTATTCTTATACTCCTCCTTTTCCCCATTCTTGTTTTGTTTACGATGCAACTCACATTCTTTCATTCTTTTGCACCTTGTTTCCCATGTACACCTTGTTTGACTCTATTCTTAGCGAGTCATTTGAAAACGAGTAAATGCTCGAAACCTCGTGTTTCTAACAATCCATTTAATTTTGTTACTTAACTTATAGACTCGTTATATTGTCGTGCGTTGAGACTGGAAGTTGTAATTTAACCATTATTGAACACTTTAAAGAAAACACGAGTGTTGCTTTTGTTAAGATAACGAAGTCCCAGTTACATAACGTATAATATTATGTTTAAAATAGGTTAGTTGGTCCCTTTAGGGACAGAAGTATGGAAGCATTGCTAAACACACCTTGATTTTTTTCTTTTCAAATTTTAGAAAACTATATTGATTGTGACCACATCAGAAAGTGATATAAGACATCCTTCTTGAAAAAGATTCTTTTAAAATAATCAAACTTCAAAAATACCAAAGCTACAAAAATTTGAGTGGGAAATATCGAGGTCTGGTGTTAATTCAAGAAAATATTATATATTTATCACATTTTATGGTTATCTCAAAGAAAAAATTCGATCAATACTGAAAGAATAAGCTAAAAGACCAAAGAAGACCTCATAAACTTACTTTCTTCGTATAGTGTCAGGAGCAAATCTTGGAAGTCAAAAATCTCAACAGCAAAGTGGAATCTGAAAAAAGGAAAATCAAAAGCAAAGTCAAGTTAGCGTTTTTGCAAATCAATGGCAATGAAAACTGTAAGAAGAATGTTTCAGCCAAAGGCTGAAATTGCAATGAACACTTTGCACAAAATAACTGGCAAAACATCACAAATCAATCAAAAGTGCATTCAAAGTCTTATGCATTAAACATATGATTTAAAAAGGAAAAACTTAACAGAACAAAAAGTCACTTACACATCATTTATGTCTCGATATGGAATTTTAAAAGGATTCTCTTCATTAAAAACCAATGATCCAGGTATTTTGTGATACTTAAACGATAAAAAAACACATAATTAAGAAAGCTAATGTATCCATGTATGATTTTTAGCAAACAGGCAGCATGTAAATATTTGATTAACTTCCTCCCATTAAAGAGCATTGACTAGATTAAATGACAGTCCTTTATGATTGTAGATATCCAAATCAACCATTGTTGCCACAAAATTTGAAGATACCATGGGAATGTGGAAACACAGCAAACTAGATTGTACATATGTTCTATTTCCATCTTTCCAAAAGTATGCAGTTCTTTTTTAAAATGGCAGAAAGAGATCTTCTGTGAAGCTTTGACTTTTCTCGGTTGACATTGAAAAGGGATGTTATGACTTTCATGTGTTGTTTAAAGAGATCTTCTGTGAAGCTTTGACTTTTCTCGGTTGACATTGAAAAGGAATGTTATGACTTTCATGTGTTGTTTCTAAAAAGCTTGCCATAAATCATCACCACATGACAGCCTTTTTATGACTTGCTGTCAAGAAAAACTAAAAAAATTAAGCTGCAAATAAGATTTCTGAACATCCTTCAAGCAAGAAGATTTACTGATTACCACATGAAAGTAGTGGCCTTCTATCTAACAGATTTTCAAATTAGGCCTCTAAAACTGTGGGAACCCGGTGAGAATCTAAATAAAACATGACAAATGGCTCAATTACATAAGAAAAATTCCTCATGATTTATTTCAGAAGTAAAAAAAGCAAAATATGAATTTATATCAGTGGCCAATTGTCATGTGTATTACTTTCTTGAACTTTTCAAAATTTGCTGAAAACAAATTATGAAAAATGTGACAAAAGAGACATCTTTCATGGGGTGCATGATATGAAGCCAACTCTGTGTATTTCTAAAAGAAGGTAAACAAAGCTTGTCTGTTTTTGTCTCTAGAGGGCTAAATGGATGAGAGTCTTTGAGAAAAGAAGGACTGGATACTGGATGTGAACCCCTCTTTAGCCTATAAAGCATGACTAATAAAAGTTGCTAATAACTTACTTTGTGATGAAATTCAACTTTACACTGCAAAGCTCTCAAATAATGAGAAACTAGCTGCCCATATAAGTTGGAGGCAAATTTCTGCGAATAAAAAAATGTTAAAAAATTATCATTGCAGGAATGTTTTTACTGACAACAAAATCAGTTTATTGATTAAAGATGGCAAAATAAAAATTCACTTTTATTTCAAGGGGGCAATACTTTGTAATATTTAGTTAGCTGATACCCAAAAACTGAATAAATCCAAAACACAAATACAAACACTTACATATACACTGTACAGATCTTTCAATGTCCTTCTAAAAACATATGAATCTTTCAGGCACTAAAAGAAACAAAAAATTTCAATAATTCAAATTTATTAGTAAAATAACATTTTGGAGGGAATACATTTTTATTACAATAGACAATTAGAAAGCACAATGAATAAGCTGTTGTAATGAATTAAACTATTTTGCATGCAAGAAACTTACATTTGGATGGCCTTCTCGCAACACTTTATGAAACACCATCAATGCCTTCCAACACATGACATTTTGAGATGGTAGTGGCATCCTCCCAAGAATATTCCAAAAGGTTGAACAACCTCTTTCCTGCCATGTTCCGATTATGGTTCCTGTGCTTTGTCAAGCAAATAACTTTGGAAATGTATTTTTGAAATGCAAAAACTTGATATAGATCAGAATGAACTTTTTATCATGTTCAAGAGACATTGAATCTGAGTCTGATAAGATAATAATGATTATACAGCAATATGGTGACCTGAGAGAGTAAAGCTCTAATACAAGTCAAGGTCTGCTGTAATATGAACCCTACTTATCTGCATACACCAGTGACTGTTTGAGCCTGACTTGAAAAACAAGTTTTGTTTATAACCTTGACAAATGCCTCATTTAGATTTCATTTTGGGCACTTTTAAAAAAAGAGCCAGATGTAAAAAAACATTTCTCCTTTATCTTATGATTGCAAGAGACAGAAGTCTGTCTTAACTATTTTAAGTGCAATTAATTTGCATTTATTGAACTTTAGAAAAGATACTTCTCACATGTTTTTCTTTTGCTGATGACTCCTCTGCCTTTATAGCTTTGGTAAGACATTCAGTCTAAAAATAATATAACATGAAACATTACAAATGTATACAAAAACATTATGTTTGTTACTTAATTGTATGTTCATTTAGTTTTGTAAACCGGCAGCCTATCGGTATATAAACAGTGCTGAATTCATATTTATTGTATATAATAGGAAACTAACAAAATCGTCTGATGACACATTCATCTGACTAACTAAAATTGCAGAGATTGAGTTTCAACAACTACAAAATGGTCTATTAAGAGATTAAGAGAATTGTCAAACTAAAGAAAAATATGGTTAAAAATTTCTTACTTTAAAGATTACAATGGCCTGATAGCTGAAATGATGTCTGGATACCATTCAAAGAAACATTCACTGGTTGACTAACTGACATTATAGAGATTTTTTTCAAAGATACTTGAATTTTCATTGAAACAATCATTACAAAACTTCGCAAAATGATATTCTTCTTCAAATAGTAATTACAATTTGTGATTGTAATCTAGGGAAGCACAGCTTTTTAATGAAACTGATCACTAAAGATACAAGAATTATGTCTTAATAGAATTAAAACAAGAGATGTCTCTCTTTGTTGCAATGCTGGTGATCAGTTTAATTATGATTGCATTCAAATGAGGGCAAGAAAGCCACAACTCATTATTTCTGAATTAGAGTATTTCTTTTTTTCAAACTATCAAGTGGACCATAAGAAAAAAGTAAAATGTGTGGAGAAAGCAGCATATTTTCAACAACCTTATCGTAAAATAGATTTTAATTTTCTAGCTACCAATGAATCCATGTTCTTCAAAAGAAGCCTTCAAAAAAATACTCTCCAGGAAAATTTTGAACTAATTTTGGGAAAGGATTTGAATATGACAGAAACCCAGGCCTTACCCGGAAAGGGCACTCGATTGAGTGCGCGCAACTAGAGCGCACACAAAAAAAGCCTTGGAGAGCAATTTACAGAACCCCTTAAAATGTATAAACAATATTACCACGATGCAAAATAAATTTTTGGAATTTGTTGAATCAACTTGATCACGTATAAAAAATCTTCCCAACAGACTGCAATATCACGATTTGCGTAGGATTACCCCTTGAGAAAAATTCAGCAAATTCAACGGTGGGTTTTTGATACCATTTTTAATCTAATAACCCTCTGATAGCCACTAAGGACATAGGCCATCAAGCATATTCTCCGGCAAATTTATTTGATTTTCAAGCAAGCGTTAATCTTCTGTTGAAGTAATATTTTCTGTTTTTTCTTAATAGCTTAAAATAACCTGTGCGAATCAGCGATCAGATTTCCGCCCAAATTATCGCATTGCTTTTCAGTTTTCTTAGTAGATGTTCTAGCCTGTCTTATAGAATGGATAGCATAAAAAAGGAAACAAAGTTAAATATTTGACTCAAATCCATGGGTTTTGATGAAGCAATATTTGAAGCTGAACATAACAGTAGTGATACTGACAGTGATAACAGCTCATCAAATGATGGCAACTTACATATCTAGAAAAATCTTAACAGTTTTGAGATTTTGTTTAATTATATTTCTATATTAATATTAACATAGTGTTTATGGCATCTTCTGTTATTTCATATTATGGCGCTTTTCGGTATCAATGTTGAATTTCTTATTTAACACTCTTCCGGAGCTTTCGATATGAAGCTCTTGATCTTCCAAAGCTCTCGAAGGATGCTCTCAAGGATACTTTATTTAGAGGTGCGAAATGGAGCACCTAGAGTTTCTAAGTGGCTCGTTTTATGGAACACCTTCATTTTGCTTAGAGCAAGGCCTGCAGAAACCAATAGCTGAATGATAGTACACCTGTTTCAACCCTGTCAACTCATACTCTTGAATTTTTTTGAAAACCCGACATAAACACATCATGTAAAATCGAGCAATTCATTGGGCTGATTTTTAAATGCTTCAATAGTTGTTCAATTATCATTTAACAATATTTACTTTAATTGCTTTCATATTTACCTTTCTATTTGAAGCTCTCATAAATTATGACAAAAGGTTTTTTTTGTTTAGATTAAAGACAAATGTTGGAATATTATGCATTCCATTTGAAGTTACACTTCTGTTTATAGTCACATGAAATTCAGACACAAATCTGTAAAGTTGTGCAGTCAAACCCAATTTGTAGTTGAACACCAATAATTTCTTTAGACTTACGGGCTAGCATGCTTCTTAAAGGACTTCTCCATCCCCTTATCTTATATACTTTTATTGTTCCATGATGTTTTGGTCCTGACATAACTGCTGATTGTACAGGGTTTTTTACTATGTACTCATGCAAAACTTTTCCAAATGAATCTAATTAAAAAGTGTATATATCTATGATTGTGACAACTATAATGTTACAGGAAGACAAATTTTTCAGGGTGCTTTAAATCCCAAACATGTTGAAGTCTTTAGGTATTAAGTCATGACATGGAACATTGTGGTTACCACAGAGACATGCTACAAAATATCACAATTTTCTTAGGTTTTTTGTCATTCAAATATGTCTGCAGGATCTTAATAAGTCAATAGGCCAAATAGTTGATTTAATATACAAACTAGTTGTTGATTTACTAAATATGGACAGTTAGTGACAGATGACCACATTCATAAGCAAATTTTTGACAAAGAAATTCGTGTTTGTATTCTGTTAACATATCAGCAAATAAAACTGATGATTTGTTTTCCAGCGTTCTTTTGACATCAAAAAAGACTGAGATGCTGTTCCAGATTTGAAGCCAGATTTATATAGCATCTTATTTTGAACAAATTTAAGATGAAAAATATTTTATCGTTAAACAAGTTAATGTTATAACATATACAACTGCTATATTGTTGAAGCCTGAACAGGAACAATAGAATAATGCTTATATATAAACAAAGCCTACTTTTCTAAACTTAAATATATCAACAACAAAAGACGCTGAAATAGCATTTTATCAAAACCATTTCTGAAATAGCAGTTCTTTGATTCTTAAAGGTTTTTTTTCTCGATCGCATGTATGGTCGATTAAATAGTTTATGCAAACAACAATAAGGGAAACTTGACAGGCCTAGACGGAAAGCGGTAAAGAGGCGGGTCTACTCATATTGTGATTACCTGTTCTTTCTCAAATTTTTCTCTCTCAGGGCCAAACCCAGTCGTCACCTGCATGCTTGATGGTCTTCTCTCCAATGAAGTCTGTTCCATACGTTTGTTGATCTCCATTTTATGCTGATATTGTGTTTGTTTTAGTAATTGCCCTCTCCTTATGCCCACTGGTTTCCTAAAGATGTTGATTTTAGTAATGGTATTCAAAACGAGTTTATTTCCGTAATGAGGTTAGATTTGTGATTCACGCCGGATTAATGATACACGAAACTGAACTTCATTAAAAAGTTTTTACAGAACAGCCCGTTTAAATTATAATGTTATTCTCTTCAACTTGCAATTACAATAAACTAGAAATAGCTCTTGCTAGTACTGCCCGCAAACAATTAGTTCCTTGATAATGATTGTTTTGAAAATTTAGGTCAGGATATTCGAAGAAGATTCCATCTTGGGTTTTCACAATTTTATAAAAACAGCTGCTCTAGTTGATGCTAAACTATTCTTTTTATCAAGAATTTTTGGTGTTCAGTTTGCCTTTGATTTAAGTCCAACGCCCTTTTGAAAATCATGAAGTTTTTCTAGGGTTTGACATTTATTTTTCGTTTTCGTGAAGCAAAGACGTATGAAAATGGACACGTGATAGAACGGGTACAGCTAAAATAGATTGCGATAAAGGATTCGTACAGCGATGTACAGGCGATAATCACGACAATCATAACTTTTGCTCGTACGGTGTCGAGTTTTTGGGAGAAAGGTGTGGCATTCGACTGGTTTTGATTCCCAAAACTTCGAATCAAAACTTCCATCCATTGCGGAGAACCGAGCTGTGATGCAGCACCGTTTCGTGCCAAAAAACCGAAGGCCTTTAACAGAGTCTTGGCAGAGCAACGCTCCGAAGATAAATTCCCTTCCGCACAAAGAGGTGGCGGTTAACGACCTCCTCGACAAAGCCGATTGATTGACAATGAAATTGATTGACAGTTGTCATGGCAGCAGAAAAGTGACAAAATCTGCTGACAAAGTGCTGACATTATGAACTGAAGCTTCCATATGCTACTTATACGCGGGGCAGACTATAAGCCCTTCACTCGCGCGCTATCGCGCGCGAGTTGCGGGCAATGATATTATCAGTGGCGTCGCCACGGGGTGGGCTGGGCCGTTACGAAAAATGCTGCTTGAGAATTTGCTTGTCCAAAAATTTCAAAATTGATAAAAATTTTAAAATTGATAAAAAATACTAAATAAGGATTTTTCGAGAGTCTGAAGGGCGTGGCCGAGAAAATTTGTTTTTGTCCACCCCAGTTTTTTCGAGCTGGCGACCAGTGGCTGGCGACGCCACTGGATATCATCTAACTTTAAAGGCAAGGGTGGCGTGGAGGGGTGTTTCGGGGCTTAGGCCAAATCGTTAAAATACAGAGAGATTTCAGGGGAACTCAGCCCCCTTTACCAAGCATGTTGGCAACCCTTTGATTCTGTGTTGGCAACCCTTTTGGCATGCTATAGCTTTTCTGCTAATGAGCAATTGCCAATTGCCTATCATTCTTTTTGAGTCGGTGAGTAGTTCGAAGGTATGCAACACAGAATCTTTAACATGAATGCAAGCATATCGGTTGGGTTCTTGGGTGTGGAATTGGGTGCGGCTTCTAGAAGTTGCCATCTCTTAGCTTATTTGGATGGTAGCCCTATTTAAAAGTCTATAACAGCATAGTTTTTGCTAGCATTTAATGTAATAGAAACGATAATCCAGTTCTTTGATATATGGAATCAGGACCTTGGATACATAAATGACATGGTGTAAAATGCAGTATAGCGAGAGGCAACTCAATTATGTAACATACATACATACATACGTACATACATACATACATACATACATTATTTATTTAACAATTCAGGTCATCTAAATGGCAGCTTTCGCTGATGTGGACCTGCTATTTAGCTCATAAGTAAAGGTTAAAAGTTTTGAATAGCTTAGATAAATAAATATTTCTAATTTACATGAATGGTTTTTTGAATTTAAAAGTAGATAAAATTTGAGTCAGTATACGATATGGTTGATGCTTGTCCAAAGGAGATGCTATCTAATATTTTGCTATGGTCAGATAGCTTTTCTGAATCGTTATTGATGGCGGCAGTCTATTCCAATTAACGGTTTCAAGCAATTATGCTTGACAAAATTTCTGCCAACATCTGTTTTTGATCGGGTGATATCCACTTTGCAACTGTTCTTAGATGATCTCTGAGATTTTGTTTTTATTACTAAATCTTTCAGGGCATTAGGGCACTTGTTGTTGTATATTTTGTGAGTCAGGCATGCTACGCGTCTTTTATAGTTATAGTCAACAATTTTCCAACTTGCTTTTTCGAGAACGTTATCCGCAGGTGTTGATTTAGGTAAGTTGTGTATTATCTTTGTTGCTCTCTTGTGAACTGTCTCAATTGGTTCAAAGGATGGTCCTGTTCCCCAAATAGCCATTCCCTAGGTGCAACTTGGTAGGATACCCTGGAAATATACCTTTTCAAGGACTTCAGGTTGTAGTGAACGGAACCTTTCAAGTTGCTTAACTTTCTTGTTCATTTTTGATGCTACATTTTAGTGGCAGTTAACGAGACATTTCAGTGGCAGTTCATCGCATTGAATTGCGTTTTAGGTATGATTTTGAATGAATTTGGTAAAAATGCGTCGGCGATTTTGTTGAACGTAATGTGTGAATTACTCAAATGTTTGTGACTAATATGTAAAAATTTCTCGAAGTTTTATTTTCTTATTTTCAACCTTTTTTCTGAGTTAAACATTTCTTTTGAAGGAATAAGGACTATAAAACCACGAGCAAACTCTAAAAACTGAGAAATAAGAGATTATAACGGGTAAAGCTAGATAAAAATTTATTGTATAGTCTCAAACGACTGGTAAAATATTTTTTGGCTTTCTTATCTTTGAAGGTTCGTTCAGGCAAATACTTTTTTGGCATGTTGCATTTCTTCGTATGGTAGATAGCAATAGGGAAATGTTTTAGGTAAAAAGTAAATACTCTTTCTAAAATCATCGGAAAAGGTCGTGGTAAAGGAACATGGATCCTTGAATAATTCAACATAACAATGCAAAATTGTAGCGTTCGAAGCTAAACTCCAAAGGAAAAGCTTTTTATTAGGAACATCTCATAAAAACGAAATAAGCATTAAAAGTCTATCGAAGGATAAAGGCTTTTCATTCAGCCTAAAGAAAATTTTTTCCCGACTCCCCATAAGTGGCTGCGCTACGCCTGAATCTCATCTCTATATATTCTTATAACCATACGACAAGTATCAGCATATTGAATAAATCGGTGAATATTTTCTAGACAAGCTTGATCTTCCACTTTCTTTCATCGTTGAATCAAGTAAAAGGAGGGTAACAATGAAGAAAACGTGCAATTCTTAAAACGCAGCCCAGATCTTATTTTGAAATAAATATACTCTACTATGAGCTGGAACAATATTCCTCTAAATTAAAAATATAGATAGCTTGATTCAATAATAGTTAATTTAAACGCAAAACATTAGATATATGCTTTGACAGAGTACCTTGTCACGCTATTAACAATTAATTCTGTTTTTGAAACACATATACACAACAACATAAAATAGCCCAATAGGAATTTTCATAATAATTAATAGAAGCTTTCGTAATGGTATTATTAATGTATCATGACAATGTCTATTAATAAGACTTTTTTGGGAAACTGCGTCACCAGGATTAATCGGAGGAGAGAAAAGGACCATGGGAAAAAGTATTGAAATGGGACGGATGGGTACGGAAATGAACGATGTCAATTTTTAACTCATCAAAAGAGTTGAATACTGGACCAGTTGTCAGATTAACTCATCAGGCGTGTGAATTTTGGGGTTTTAGCTTGACATAGTACTGCGCTGCAAGTCTGCTTAAAGATTTTATGCTTACATGGCACCTTGTTCTTCAAATATCATCGAGTTTGGGGTTACACATGCATAAGATATTTAAGCACAGTAGACTGGTTAAACTGTTTTCGTGTAGGATATTGAAAAGCTCTTGATGTTTAGCTAGTCTCTGATTTTGCAGTTCTAAACTGAGTTTCTGTTTTGGAGATAAAACCGAAAAAATAGAAAAGGCTGTTTTCAATACCTGACACGCATTCTAAGGTATAAAAACAAAGGATTTTTCAGATATGAGGAATGGTCAAAAAAGGCTAAGGAATTTTAAAATTTCAAATAAAACTGGGTTAACCTAACAGTATTTCGAACAATCAAAAGGTTTAACGTCAATGCAGAGCTGACTCAAAATCTAACGATAAATTAACTTATTTCGGAGTAGAGCAACATTTTTCTTACCGAACATACTCATTTTCTTTGGAATCTTAACGGGTTACTTTGGCTGTATTCATTTCAAAGACAATGCTATTCAATCATCTTTCAAATACTGTTTATAAACATTCATTGGATCAATTAAATAATGTTTATGAAAAGAAACCAAATATTGATGCTGCAGCAATTCTGGGACATATTCGGACGGCCGGGCCTGGAAAAAAGATCATACAAATAGAGCGAAAAAAGAAGCTTTCACACAATTTCTCGATCAAGAAAAAACCTCATGAGAACATCAAGTATCGAAGTTGGTAAAATTTTAAATATTGCTTCAAAATAAGAAGCATTTCAATTCAATTTCAAAGATAACCCTTTTGAATTTCATCGACAATTTAACTGCTTATCTATATGGGTTCTTTGCCTCAACAAGAAAAGAATGAATTTCATGCAAAAAGTTTACAAAACGTACATTCATCAAGTTTGTATTGTGCTTGCATATTTCAATACCTAAAATTTTATCACGAGGAAGAAAGACAGTAGTGTAGATTTGAAATCAATGAGATTGATGTAATTCTCTATTGAAAATACGTAAGATGATTTGTTCATAAAAACAATTAAGTATGTGCTACAAAGCTGAAAACCCCACAAATGAAAAAGGTGAGACGACTTTTTTACCTAGACAAAAAAATCAACATGCACAAAAAAAGGTTAAAAAATTTGGCCTCAAAAGTTTATTTCAAAAGTTACCTGATGGAAGGAAGGATTATGTACTGAGGGAATGCCCATATTCCTGAAACACATGCCTAGCCACATATCATCCGGGGAATCATCGGACGAACAGCGGCAACCACTTTTTACCAGTAATTCTATGCCACGACGACTAAGAATCATTCTTTAAAGAGACAAACAGAGATGAAAATAATGCAACTTGAAGAAAACGATGCCTTGTGTTTAACACAGTCAGTTAAGCTAGATTTTCTCGGTGAATTAACAGTCTTCACAAACGCACACAATAGAACTGATCTTAAAAGTTAAAAGTTAATAGAAATGCTGATGTCAAAATAAAAGCATCTGAATAACTAAGTGTAAACATTTCAGTCGTTTTTTCGTCGGGTTAGAGAATCGACTTCTCCTTTGAATTACAATATGTGCAAGTAAATTGAAAAATTAGTGGAAAAAATTTAAGGAATCTCAGCTTTAAACAGGGATTTCTTGAGATCATCACAAATGATGAATAAATGCTGTATTAGAATGACATGTTTAATGAGTTAAGAATTTCGTAAATTCTTACTTAAACATAAGACTTTCGTTATAGTGTAACAGTACTAGTCTTTGTGAATATCCAAATGAAATTATCGTATAACAAATGACATGACTGGATAATTTGTGTAAAGCTTGTAATGGGTTCACGCACTGCTCGCCATTTACGCTTATTGATTCCATCATGTTACACGACGCATTGACTTCCTATTAGGTCTTCCAGCAAACTCGATCGATTTTATCAGTACAGCTGGCTTGTTTCCAGAGCTGGCTTATTTCGAGAGCTGGCTTATTTCGAGAGCTGGCTTATTTCGAGAGTTGGCTTGTTTCGAAAGCTGGCTTATTTCGAGAGCTGGCTTGTTTCGAAAGCTGGCTTATTTCGAGAGCTGGCTTATTTCGAGAGCTGGCTTGTTTCGAAAGCTGGCTTATTTCGAAAGCTGGCTTGTTTCGAGAGTTGGCTTGTTTCGAAAGCTGGCTTATTTCGAGAGTTGGCTTGTTTCGAAAGCTGGCTTATTTCGAGAGCTGGCTTTCTCAAAAGATGGCTTATTTCGAGAGCTGGCTTATTTCGAGAGTTGGCTTGTTTCGAAAGCTGGCTTATTTCGAGAGTTGGCTTATTTCGAGAGCTGGCTTATTTCGAGAGTTGGCTTGTTTCGAAAGCTGGCTTATTTCGAGAGTTGGCTTGTTTCGAAAGCTGGCTTATTTCGAGAGTTGGCTTATTTCGAAAGTTGGATTGTTTCGAGAATCAATAATTACTCACCCTCCTCCTCCGGTAATGTACTCATAACCAAACGAGTTATAATTGATCCCATATCCATACCTTTCTCCTAACAGAATTGGATCCTTTGGGTCGTAGCACGCTAGTGCTCGTTGTAGCCGAGAAAAGCTGAATAATAAGGGAATAGGCATTAAGTAACATCGAGATACAATGGGTAATGATACTGCGTCGCTTAGGTATCAAATTGTATAGTTATATACTGAGAATACCAGCCTGTCGTTTCTTCAATAAAGGTTTTTTATAGTAATGATGATGGATCTTTGCAAAGAGTTTTAATTGTACGCGAATTTCGTTAACCTACTGGAACATGGTTGGTTTTGATGTTGCTTCAGTAAAAGAATACCAAATGATAGATATTATAAGGTTAAAAAATCCTATGGTAGAAAAAACTGAAGCGGTAATTGTGCAATGACGACCAAATAGAGGATAGTTAGCAATCGCTCTCTAATATTCCTTACAAAATCACATCTTTGCGCTCACTTAGCTTGCCGCCTTCCCAAAACAAAAAGCTATTTTGGGTGCTTGGATGGTTTAGTCATTGGGTTTTTAAAAGTAATTTTAGAGAAAAATGGATATCATAAAATTTCGAAGGTTCGTCAGTTGGTAATTATCCCTAAACTGCCTGTGATAAACAACGGCCGCGGAGCATATTATAGATTGAGGGGCTAAAACGCTTTTCTTGGGGGTAGGGGGGCTAAACATGCTTAAAACCAGAACAAGGGCGGTTTTTTGCATGGTTTTAAGTACATTTTGGAAATTATTGGGGGGAGGGGGAGGCTAAAGCCTCCGTAGGTCCTGGTGATACAGACATAATAATAATTGCTGTTTACTTGATAATTGCCTGATGATCACTTCAAGCCTGAAACTAGAAGTTGAGGTAAAAACCGTCTTGTTCTTCACACCAAAGCGTGGACAGCTCTGCCTATATAAGACAGAAAAACTTGGACAGAGTTTGCACAGCTCTTTCTTAACAGCATCGAGCATTATTCAGCAGATCGATAACAGTCAGCTTCATAAAGCGTTTACTGTTGCAACTTTGAGTTTCACCTTCAATACGATCGTCAGGCAACTGTCCCACTAAATAAGCTGTTTATTTATTTCACAAACATCACACTGTTTACCTTATGATCGTGTCATCGTCTATAATCACAAGCCAAGGCTTTGTCTTTAAACCTTCTTCCGTGTGTGCCTTCATAATAATGTTATAAAGCTTTGTACAGTGTCCACTCTCGGTGTTTTTCACCCCAATGAATTCAGTAGGTATCTTAGTATCTGCTTTATCGCTGTAGTATTTAATGTGCTTTGCTTTTCTGCCAATAGTCTTAAGAATAATCGGCAGTCTTTCTTCATGAAACTTTTCACATGTTTTTACACTGACCAGTATGTCATCACTGGAAACCTGGCCACAGTTAGGAGTTTGTTTGTTTACAGTTGTAGCACAGGAGGAGTCCTGAAGAGGTTTGTTGATACAGAATTCTTTGACATTTGTCAAGTTAAATCCTTTGCCTTTTTTATAAATATACATTGCGATCTCATGCTGAACATCGATAGAGAAGTCCATTGTGGGTTTATCCTCTTCCAACCGTTTTTGCAACCTTTGAATGCAAGCAAACATCAAATATTATCTAAAAGCACATGTTAGCAGTTTCAAAATTGATCATGTTTAAAGATGAGAAACTAAAAACGTATGTAGCGATACAATGATGAGCGATAAATAAATGTTTGCTAATATTTCTGCAAAATTTTTAGTTAAAATATCATTAATTGCTACGTTAGATTTCAATCTCGTAAAGATTTCTATACCTGTCTCATATTGCTGAAACTCATTTTTTCGAGATTAAGGGACATGACTTGAGAGAATCAGTAGTCAACTATGGCTAATGAAACAGTCCATGCATTTTTACTTCAACAACCTAATTTGGAATATTTAATAATGTTTTCTTCAGAAAGTATTCTAGGAATTCAGCAATAAATATTGCAGATTTTGCTATATATTTTAAATATATGCAAATACGTCATACCAATTTAGCAATGGAGTTGATATTGCCCATCCTGCCCAAAAATTGGGGAACGAAAACTTTGAAGGGTCTTCAAAGAAAGCAAAGTGGTGAATAATGGCTGGTTCTGTGTCTCTTAATGCATGGCCAAGAAACCATTCCTGTGAAAGTAAGTGCAATTGATAAAACATGAGTTTTCAAGAGCAAATTAGTGAAAGGAAACATCCAGGAAGACAAACATTGACTTAAAATCATCCTGCATTTTAAAAAACTCAATCATATAAAATTTAAGGATAAAAGTACGCTAGATCATGAATAACTGCTCCCACTGCTTATCAATTTTTGAAAAACTAGGCAAAGACATATTTTCTATGTTTATCACATCAATTATAAAGCTTCACACTCTACTTCTTATATGAAAAACTAAAGACCAAATTTTCCAATTTTATCACTTGAAGATTGATCATTGTATAAAATCCCTAACAAAATAAGTTTACAAATCTTTGATAAATTAGAATGACTTCTCAATTTACAAAATTCTGAAACAGCTTGTAGTAGCGTGTGAAAACAAATGTGCTATGAAGAATGAAAAAAATATTCAAAATTAGAGGAATAAAATTTGTTAGAAGATCACAAAGCATCGTTTGCTCCATTATCAACAAAAAACAAATGTTTTCTTTTTTCCATCCTCTCGGTTTATACCAAACCTGATTATTAATCTTAAAAAAGACTTCAAACCTCCTGATTAATCTATTCCTTGTTGTTTATTATGTACTCTAGAGTAACTGCAATTATGAAAATGTAATCAGATACTAGCCTTATTATCTTGGTATGACTCCAAAACCTGCAGCAGTTTTTCAAGATTCACTTCTGTTGTATCTTCACAGAAAAACACCCACTTCTTTCCTTTTGAGTAATCCCTAGAAATACTGTGTCGAAAAAGATTGTTCATTACTCTCAAAAAGGAATATACTTGAATAGAAGCCCCATTTATTCATTTTCACATTTTCACTCTTAAAACTTGAAACCTATAGGTAAGAGATGTTGAAAAAAAAATCACAATAAACATTTTATGTGATTATTGACCTTACAAAAGTAATAAATTGTTTTATGTTTACGAAGATTCTATATGTAATAACATCTAGCATTGCTTGTTCTGTGTAGAATGTTTCAGTTAAAAAGTAAATAGAAGTCCTAATTCAAAAAGAGGCTCAGATTCAAGCTGAAAAAGGAGCAAAGTATAAGTCAAAATAGCATACAAAGAGCAATGAGAAATTGGCACAACATACATTTTGATGATTGGTAATATTGTCCAAGAGCCATATGGACACCAATTTTCATGTGTCATTAGGACATCTAATTTATTCTAGAAGATAAACCAATAATCATTGCGATGCGAGTAGTCAAAAATTGAAAAATGAAGAAAAGAGTATTTTCTAAAATCTTAATAATCCATAAACACCTTTTCTTTAGACAAAAAGCCTTTACTGCATTTCAAAATTTCACATCAAATTTTACATTCAAAAGATCACTGACAAACTTATAAAAGAGATAACATTTTGGAATCACAAAACCTGCAAAACAGAAAGGAGAAAGGATCAAGAAAAAAACAGATAAAGCATTAGTCATAACAGCCACAACTGGTCAACAAAAGTTGGAAAAAAACATTCAAAGTTGTGGATAATTCTTGATATGTTATGAATTTATTGCTGAACATTATTGAAGCCCCGTTGGAAAGAAGAGAGCGAGCCATTGGTTCCTTCCTTTGGAATACCCTGTTATTATAATAAACATTGGTGATTATTGGTAGGACTTTAACCCCCTCTAGCCCCATCAAACTAACTGCCCTGCAAAACACAGTGGCTATTCATAAAAGAAGAATATGTTTAGCTTTTACATTTACTAGACAGTTAAAAGAAATATACCAACTTTCTCTCCATTTAGTTGCTCTGCCTGGTACAGAAGATTCTTTTTCAGTTCTATAGCTTTTCGTTTGTGATACTTGTAATGCTGACTTCTAATAATGATAAGGATGCTTCTTAAATCTAGAAATTAGTGAAACATGTTTAGAGTAGCATAAAAAAGATATCACATATTTGTTAACAAATGATTTATATTGACACACACTGACCTATTCAATAAAAAGTGATACCAAAAGACGGTATGTTGTCCATGTAATACTTAAAATTTCATAGAATCTGATATTCTTAATTTGACTTACGCAAAAGCGTGTTACAGCAACATTATTAAGGGATCTTCCCAAACCAACATGCTTTGCAACAATTTTTCAAATCTGGCCTAATATTGTGCTGCATGAAAATCAAAATCAGCCCATTTCTTCTCGTGTAAGAAAACAGCTACCGCAAAGCATGCCGGTTGCACAAAAGCCTTTAAAATGAAGTAGGCTAGATAGTACTTATTGTAAGTAAAATGACTGTTCTATAATCCATAAACACAAGATGAAGATTTCAATCAAAATTATAGACGGCATAAACTTACAAAAAAATCAAGTCCATATATTGCTATCAAGATTTATATAATTATTTATTTTTGAATCAATGGTTGAATAATATAAATAAAAGAATCATCAAATTACCTAATTTTGACAGACTTCTCTGAGTTGTTTTATTTGCCTATGAAAAATCAAAGTCACTGGTAATGGTAGTCAAACTAAGGAGAACATCAAGACTAAGCTTTCTCTGAGAAACAGTAAGCTCACCTTTGTACCTTTCTATGCTCAGTACATTGATGAGATGTACAAGCTATAGAACTTTCTAAGATATTTGAGACAATGGTCTATGAAAATATAAAAATTTTGGCATTGCCTATAATTCTTGGAAATAATTATGAATCTGCAAGCAAGGCAAATTTTGCTAATATACACGTACAACAAAAGCTGGGTTGCTAACAAGCAGACTTTTACAAGACTCCATATTTGCAAGTAATGTGGTTTAATGATTTATCTGTTGTGATTAATTACCTCAGAGGCAATTCCAAACTCAAAAGCATCAGGACCTTCAATTATATTTTCTTTATCAGCCTTGGCAAGCCCTAGAATACAAGAGACACAAATAATATTTCATATTCAAAAAAAACCTCGAGATGATATAAAAAAACAAAAATATTCAGCTTTGATACTTAGGAGCTTAGAACTATGAAACAACATTCATTGAGCCACGGCAAGAGTGAATGTTGGTAAAAGAATGGAAAGAAATTAGACATAGATGCAGAACAAAAAGCAAGCAGGCAAAAAAGCCAATTTTTCATCTTGTTATAAAAAACTAAATTGACTAAGTGTAGAAATCTAATGGGCATTTTCTTTAAAAATGATTTTTTTGGGTGTTGACCCAGACCTTCCCATTCTGTCCTGTTTCACTAAAATTTTTCTCAGGACCTACATATAAACATACCAGATTTGACTTCATAATGGATTTCCCTGCTCCAAAATCAAGAAATTTAAACTGGTGATGGGTTGGAGTATGCAGTGTATAGGAAACGCACACCAATGTTACTGTAGATCTGTTTGCAGAGTATGACATTGTTTGATGAGATCTTTGCAAGCAAAGTCAATTATGGTATGTGCATTTCCTTATAAAGATAAGATCACACACAAATGCAAACAAGAGTATCCAACAATAGGGCCTTAAGTGAATTTGGTGGGCAAGCAATGTCAAACTTGGGCATGAAGCATTACACTGATTTTCTACTTGCATCTGCCACACTCTGCAGACTGGATGTAGAGCTGCATTCCGGATTTGAAATGTCATCCTTATTAATGCACTTTAAATGCTACTATTGCTCTTTTAATGATAAGAACTTGTACTTACAGGCTATATGGAATACACACCATATTTACAGCAAATATTCTATCCTTATACAGGCAGATTTCAAAATAATTGAAATCAACATTAAATCCAGCCTACGATTTTGTTCCAATTCTTTGATTGGGTTTGTTTTCGATGTCTTGGAATTACTGCTTTATATAATTCTATAAATTTATTGGTAAGAATTGTAAATTGCACTTTTTCATTTAAAAGTCGGTAATAAGCATAGCACTATGTTTAGCTGAATTCTCTTAAACAGATACCAAATTCGAAAATCTTTTGTAAGCCTATGATTTATGAATGGGCAACTCAAGAAAAAGCATGGTGGTTGGCGGGTAGTCGTCGTTCTAAAAGAACGTGTTGGATTGCAGATAAACTTCGAAATAAAGATAGCCTCACCGTATAAAACCACCAGTATAAGTAATATGAAACAAATCTTGGTTAGAAACATCAGTTCTCCACTCATTTTTGGCAGTGGAAACATTCTTTCCGAGCCAACAAGTACAATGTTTACAACCGAATCCCCACTTTATCACTTTATGGACATGCATCAAACAGAGGCAGCCGCATAAGACACGTTTGCATCTGTTATCATGGTGAACGAATAAAATTTGAAATATTCTTATAAATTCATTTGCAAATAAATAACCACTAGCATATTTAATTGACTATCAGCCATTATTTACTCGCAATATTTGCCGAAAACTGGTAGTCAATTTTGAGTAACGACCATACAATGACAAATTACCTCGATGCGAGGCTGACTCAGTCTCTTTGGATACAGTAGTGAACGAAGCGGGAAGAGTGAAGCACTTTCACAACTTTCTTGTTATTTGCTAATTTTGTGTCATATACCATGTAGAATGCGGATATCGAATATCTGCAAGCTATAAGTTTTTGATAAAGAGTAGTGTTCTGTTACAAAATGGAGTTACATGGAAGGAATTAATTGAAATGAAGTTTTCAAGTTTCGCGAGAGCCATGGACATTGATGCAATCTGATGTTTCGACCTGGAGTCTAGTCTTCAGAATATTTTTCAATGGAGCTTGGAAACGCACCGATTGGACAGTACAGGTCCCATGACCCACCGAAGAACTTCTTGTTAAAGTGAGTATATAAACATGTATTCCATTTTTATACCTTTGAAATCAGGTCAAAAGTAAATAGATATATTTGTCAGCTTTCTTAAGATCTTAAACCGTTTTTTTCAAGCTCTTTTCTCCAGCATTGAGAAATATGTAGGCTAAGTCTTTATTACTGAACGAGAAAGTAGATTTCCGTTTGAATACCCGTGACGACACTTCTCAGATTACACTTTAAAGGGACCAATATCAGGGCTGTCAAGTTTTGGAAAATGAGATGAGGAACAAACACGCGTACACTTACAAATGATAAATGAAAAAGGCTGAATGTGGCAAAACATGAATTATTGACTTCTGTAGCATGGACTGCTTGTCTACCATCTAAGTGCAAAATTAAAACGTTATCTAAGATTAAAACCACAACAAAACAAATTTGAACTGTTTCATAATAAATCTTGAGTATATATTGAATTTATCTTTTACAAAACAATGAAAGTTTCTCAGTTTATTAATGTTTTTTTAAATGTTCTTTGTTGTACTCCCAGGTGACTTCTTTACTTCGCTTAAGAACTTGATCTGAGGGATTGTATTTATAGCATGGTTCTCCTTGTGCCCTGTTAAGCTGAAAGGCAATGATGCTAGACAAGGTGCCATCTAGAGACAAGCTTGCTCTCTGAGGAGTCACATTTTTTCTCACTCTGAAAAATAATGACTCTTCTGCATTGCTATGCACTAAAGTCAGGACAACTTTTGCCAACTTGAATAATTGACCAAACTTAGGCTTTTTTGTCCCAGGAACTTTTAATTCATTTAAATAGTACCAGAGAATATCAATTCTGTATCTAACAGCTTCCCCAGTTTGGTCAGCTCTTATTGCTGCTTGTTCTCATGGTCTTCAAAACCATCTTTCAAAAAGAGATGAATATAATAGAAAACATGTAAGAAAAGAACCTCAAAACCACAAATTAAAAATGCGAGACAACCAGCCTATTTTAGAGCAAGCGTGCCGGAATGCGGATTTGACAAGAAAATGCATGCAAATCCTGCACAATGCGGGACACTTGACAGGTCTGCAATATGGTAAACAAGCTCGATATGTGAGTCTTTACGCTTGTGAGAAGTAGAATGAGTTTGAAATAATTGGTTGGCTAAATTGGCAAACCCTCCTTGTGTTGTGACCAAAAGCGTCAACTAAATATTTCCAGAAATCAGTTAATTTTGCTGCAAACTTTTCCATAAGGATGCCGATTTTGTTTGATCTAATTACTAACTTATTCACGTATGTTTCTATCATTTTTTATTTATTTGTATTAATTCAGTAAATCACTTTCTGTATCATTGCAATGTCTTTATTTTTGATGTGTAAACATGGCCTTCTCGAGACAAGAATCTGCACATTTCTGTTCCAACAATAAAATTCTCTCAATCAAAATAACATTGCTCTGTCATTCACAGCTATGTGCAATCTGAAACAAAAGGTTACCGTTTCTTTCCTTCCCCAGCGTCTTTCACTAGAGTTTTAGCATGACATCCCCCTCCCTATTTTTCCAAATAAACAGTAATCAGTTTTTCAGCAGCATAGTATTTACCATTATAAATTTTGAATTAGGTCTTTATGATGAGCATTTGAATTTGTAGAACATGTATTTGTATCTTGAAAAATGCTGTAAGCGAGTATGAAAACTTTTTAGAATTGATGGTTTTACCTGACAAATTTTTAATTTTCAGCATTTTTATTATTGTTCAATTCATAATATATTTCAGCAAGTTTCTAAAACTCCTGATGTTCATTGAAAAACTTCAAGAAAACATATCCAATCCTTTGAAGTTTTCTTTTCCTCTGATAAAAGTAGTTTCCCAAATGCATTCTTGCTATTAGCTCCGAGAAAATCTAATCTCTTGGCCTGCTTTATTGATTTTTTAAGAGGACGAGATAACTTATAGATGTTTGGAATGCAAGGCACCTTCTTTTCAAGGATTTAGCCATGTTATTAAAAAACCCAGGAATAGTAGCACAAAGGGATGTCTGTTATTTCTTTGGGAAATGCTAAGGTGAAACGACAGGAATCAGTTATTTTCAGCAAATAACATAATCAATTAAAAAAGATGGTGATAGGTAATTTTTTCCTATAGTTTTCTAAGTTATAAGATTGATAGCACTAATTGCTGCCCTTGGGTGATGGTATGGGAAAATCTAATCAAAGTCAATTTGCAGTATAAATGTGTATTAAATTTGTGTTCTACAAACCATATTGCTGGATGCTTCTTCTAAAGAATATTTGATGACAGTATCTAAACTTTTTTTCAACAGGGTCAAGTTATGGAGGGTAACATCAAGTAGTGTAGTCCCAGCTGTGCGTCACCAGTCACTTCCTCTATTGCAACATGAAGAAGGAGCTGAGCCTGCAAGTGAAGCCATTGAAATGGCTGATAGAGGTCCAACAAAAGGTTTGATATAATAAATTTAGCTTTATGGCTTCACCAACACTATTATGTCTAATTCACCAAAAGATACGGAAGTATACAATTTTGTAGTATGATTGTGATCAACATGTGATTATCTCCAGGTGTCATCCAAGTACCTAGATCATCATGCTAGTTTCATATCATTTCATTGGTTGTTTTTTGTAGAAGAAAACAGAGTGGAAGAAGTGCAAATTAGATGGCAGGAGAAGCTTTTTTCAGAGGTATTTTAAATTTAGTGGTATTTGTCTACTCTGTAATATCAAAATCAATGATGATATTGATGTGGTGTAAATAAGTTAATTATTACATGTCAAAATATGCTGTATATAAGTTAAAAATTACATGTCTTGCAGGCACGGATCTTGACTGTCACACAGAATGCACAGTCAGAATTTGAAACATGTTTCAAGTGAAATTATGCCACTGAGTCTATTTTAAACAAATTGTGAATTTTCTTGATTATTGCAAACAACCAGCTTGACAGCAGGTTGAAGGAAAGCTTTGTTGCTAATTTTTTCTTTATTAGCAACCCTAAGTATGCCTCTACATCGTTTTTGCATTGTTTTTGAGACCCAACAACTTCAGCTTTTGTTTGAGTGTGTCATTTGCAAAACAGAGGTAGCTTATTGTACAGTGGTAAACATATGGCTTTTCCTATACAGTGTGACAATGGTGTGTCATGTCATTGACTATGCATAGGCTGCCGCCTCTTCCTTGTTCCTTGTAGAAACAGGCAGGAAGAAAACAATGAGAGTGTTTATGTTATCTGAGCGATACATATAGTTTACTGATACACCTACTAAGCATTCGTGAGAAAAGGGTTCTTTAATGACATCTAAATTTGTAGATCCTTGGGCAAGAAGTAAAGGTTATGGCCATGGCATCCAATAGTTTTAGGAACCCGAGTAACAAATTTTGATATTGAGAGGGTATTGCAGATATTTTGATGATATTACAAAACTATTAATCAACTGCATTACGGATCTTTATATCAAAATAAAAGCACTAAAAAGCTTTGTCTGTCTGATAATACAAATATCTTTTTTGATGACAAAAAACATTTCGTACATGAAAATTTTGAGTATAGAAATTGGGAACTTTTTCAAAAAATTAAAGGGCCTGGTCCCTAAAAAGCTTCTGACGACACCCTCGTGTGCTTTTCAATATTGAAGAAAATCTCTAAACACAAGCCAGTTGTTTTGAAATGTTTTATAGAAGACAGCCTATGATAGTTGTTTGTTTTGATCAATGTCATTTTCTTACTTGATTTTTATACTTTCATGATTTTTATTCTTTTTAGAGGGAAATCAAGCATTATGAAAATCCTCTTAACCAAATGTCTGCTCTGGATCAAAAGTACAGTGAAGATATTTCTAAATTAGTGTGAGTATCATAATTGACATTATCAAAATACATTTTTATTTGCACTGTTTATTTCTTTTTCTTTCTGGTATTGAATAATTTTCTCTTATTTCAAGCCTTTTGATTCATTGTTTTCAGAACCTTATTTTAACTGAGAAAAAGATTTTTCCAAAAAGACTGTAATATGAATTATAGCTATGAATACTCAAGCTAATTAAAACCAACTAATTTAAATTACCAACGCTAAATATAATATATGATAAATCAAATATAACCAATGTTGCTTATGTATTCCTTGCAAAGATTACAAGTACAATTAATTGTTCAAGTAATTATAGAGACATGATATCTTATAAAAATTATCTGAACAAACAAGTATTTTTATTTGAAAACTAATGTGTATATTCTTTGCAATAGTGCTGGAAAGGAAAGAAAGAACAAGAGAGTTTTTACTTATGTTGATGCTGATTGCCATAGAGTTGATGCTGGTGGTATTTTCAGCAAGGTATAAATATGAAAAATGCCTTTAATCAACAAGATATTCAAAAATAGCTCAAAATTTGCATTTGAAAATGATATTTTAATCATTTGAAGAAGTAAACAAATGTATGATAAATAATTCCTTTAACCCAAGATACACGTCAAGAGAATTGCATCTCTTACTATTCCTTTCAAAAGTAGATTGTGGATGACAGTTGACTTGCTTGTTTCTCTGTGGATGAGTATCTTTTGTCAACACCGGAGCATTTTCTTTCTCTGTTTTATTTCTGATATATGCTGTGGCATTATAGGAGAGGCAGGTCGCATCATGCCAAGTTGTAGAATGCAAAACTGAAAACAATTTTTCAAATACGCTTCTTAGGTTTCTGCTTTTTGTTTATAGAACAGGAAAGTATTTTTGTTTTAATCTTTACTCTACCATATTGCAGACATCAGATTATATGACAACAAGCCCGGATGAACAACCAACATTTCTCATGGAGAAAATGTCTCAGCTTAATCTTATGAGTGTTGGACGAAGGTTTGTTTAATTTCATTGGTGAGATTGTATAAAGTGTGTAAGACTTTCATTCCATTATATATATAAATATTTCCTAGCTTAGAGTTTTCAATCTATGATCTGGCTTTTATGCCACTAAGAGTGTTAGCGAAAAGCTGTTGTATGTTTCAAAATGTTTGTGCATTTTTCAATGCTATTTTGAATTTCTGTAACACCAAAAGATTGTTTGAATTCTAGATTTCAAATGTTTGAATTGTTGACTTTAACATTATGTTTCTTTCTATTCTGCAAATCGTATCATCTGATGTTTCTGTATTTAGTTATTCTGTCATCCTCTCCTTTATTTTCCTAGATTCCATTTCCTTTTCTGCTTTCTATTCTTAATGAGCTAATCTATCCTTCATATATACCCCTAAGACAAAATCATCCTCCTAACCAAAAAGTGTTTGTCATAAAAGCCCCCCTATATACAGCAGCTAAGTGTTTAACCTTTTCTGGTATGATCACATATCTCATAATATTGATTTCGACCTGTTGTAACACTGTTGTTATTATTACAAGGAACCTCCCGGGAGCTGATCAGCATCCTCATATCGTCGAAGAAGTCCCTTCGAAGCATGTTAAGGACAGTCACGTTATAACCACTCCAAGCAAGCTCATGTACATAATGGCGGACCTTAGTGCTGATGACCAGTAAACATATTACATTATTATTTATTTGATCAGTGGCGGCGCCAGCTACTAAGATGTTGTGGTTAAGGTTACGGTAAACGTTTTTGATACCATATTTGGTTTTCTCTCTCTAAAAGCAAAACTATTGACGGAATCAGATTAAACTATACATCATTCGATGCACAAGAATATGGTGATTTCAACCATATACAAATGTTGGCAAATATGGTAAAATGATACTTTCCAGGCAAATTTATTCTTTAAATGAGTGTACCACCTTCAAAAGCTATTTTGGACCCTTGCGTTTGAGGTAACAAAATCTGACTTATATCAGCAGAAAGCGCAGATCCTTAGATACCATATCGTGTCTCAGCTTTTTCAAGTTCCTCCTTCCCTTGAAACTATACCCTGTCAAAAATTGGCAATCAATTTTTCTTCCCTCTCATAGCTGTATTTGGCGAAAAAAAACGGACCAGAGCAAATACAAAAATGTTGAGACACTGTTTACCCGACATTTGTCCTGGTCATGTGAAAATTTTTGAGTACCTTGGGTGCAAAATAGCTTTGAGTACATTGGTTCCTTGGGTACAAAATAACTTTTTCGTACCTGTATGTAGATGAATTTCCGAGGAAAACGGGATTTTACTGATCGCACTTGCAAGATACACTCGTAAACCACAGTGTTATCCGGGTCAAGTCACGTGGAGCTTTAAAATCAATATACCTGTTTAAATAAACACGGCCGTACATTGGATACATGGATGTGCCATGCGATATTGTAAATGAGACATGCGACCACAACCGCAAAGCAACGATAATCGGCTTAACAGGTCAAGAGATTTCAGGGCTCAACTAAAGTTCTGATAAAGAAATTATGGAAACCTTCGTTTACTTGGGATCTTTCCATTTTCAAAATTTCTGTTAGTCTCAAAATTGTTATAAATGTGTGCCTTGAAAGTTTGGCTACTTGATTGTGAAAAAATCGAAAAATAGATGTCTTCATCCGGAAAACGTTTACCGTAACCTTAAGAATAAAAACTTTAGCACACATCCTTCTTGCTGTCAGGAAATGCCTTTCTACCATAGAAATGTAAAGGCAGTTTAAAGATCACAAAATGACATAACGAATATACTTAACCAAAATATTACCTGCATTTTATTATCAGATTCAGACGAAATACAAAATTGATCCTGCCAAGAATTAGGAGGAGGGATGTCCTCCTTGGCGCCGCATTTTCATGCGATTACTACTAATAATTAAACGGCTACACTAATTATTCATAAAGCACGCTGCAGAATTAGTTGCCAACCCTGCTGTTTTTTGTATGGAATACATACATTGACTTGAAGAATAACGAATAAAATTTTCTAGAGTCTACCCCAAATATTGTTCGGAGACTTTTCTTTAACTGCATTTACAATAGCCACATCTTAAAACCGAATCAGTTTGTTAGCAGTTTCTTAATTTATAGCAGACCATCGGTCCCTCTTTGAAAGCATTTAATTTTTGCAAAAATATACCAGAGCATTTTATAAATCGTTCTTGTAAAACAAAGTAAACGGAATATTAAAGCTTATTTCCACCTTCCATGACCGTTGAACTTAAGTTCAAAACAAGTTGAATGATTTTAATGTAAGGTCATACTGTACTGATGATGTTATTTCTTCTACTCAAGGTCAGGCTACTCAAAAGCCTGCCGTAATCATAAGGCTAAATCGTTGTTATCTTACATAAAAGATACGTTGTCAAACCAATCGACTTTAGTGAAAAAATTTTCATTACAGATCTTCTCAATTTTATAGACTGAACGCCAGTATAGAGCTTTTTTCTTGAGAATTTTGTACACGCGAGCTAGGTACTTGATTATAATTTAAATAACTTCTTTGTTTTGTTGATATGCTGAATTTAGTCTTGACCGTATGGTCAACTTGATGTATATTTACATTGTTTTTAACTAAATATTTTCTTGCTACCTTTTTTTAGAGTTGGTACAAGGGATGATGAATATGTTCTTTGTGTCCTTAAGGTGAGTATTTCCTTATGAAGCCAGAGAAAATGCATGTCTTCAGCAAGAATGTTTCCTAAGGAACATTAACCATGATTTCCAAACTTCAACATCTCTGCAATAAATCTTCGTCAAATGATCTTACCTGTCTTCACTCTAAAAGAGCAGTTCCCAGCGCGTTGAAGAATCTTTAATGATCTATAGTAATAATTAATAGCCCACAACCCATTCCCCCAGCTCTTTTTGCATATTGCATTTCTATTATATTTTCATCCTCTTTGATATTGATTTTCAATGCTTTTTTAAAGCCTTCATTCAGAGTTGTCAGATGGAAATGTTCTAACATGTTTCTATTTATGAAGCTATTTTCAATGTGTTTTAACCATGTAGAATTTGTTTTTTTTATAACTGCTATGTATGACTGTTTTATATACGACGATTGCAAAAGTGTGAGGTTTAGAATTAGTTCATTTTGAAAGCATGTATGTCACATTTTGCACAAATGATTAACACCTTGCTAATACCTGAATATAGTATCTTCATTCTTTAAAACACTGAATAAATTCCTCCTGTGTATCATAGATTGATGCCAATGGACAAATTACAATTAAACCTGACTTAAGCAAAAGCATTCCTTACAGAATAGAAACATTTGATCAAGCCAAGGGTAAGTTTTTTCTTTATTTCAAATCCATCATGTTTTATGTCAAAAATATCTGCTTAACTCTCCTCTGTGTCTTCTTGAGTAAGAATTATTCTGTAAAAAGCTGCTTGCCTATTCCTAACTTGTACCAGAAGTTATTTTGAAGCTGTTCCTTTGTGTCCAATGGAAGTTTTTTGTTCTTATTTGAAATTAAGAGCGAAATGACGATTTCATCAAACCATTTAATTTTGAATTTACGTGAAAGGACAATATTGAAAGCTTAACCAAACAAGAAATAACATAAAGGGGTGTTATGAAATTATTAGAAAAACTGCATTATCAGGAAAAATGAATATGGGAAAGAACTGATAAATTGATCAGTGCTTTAGACGTATCAAAGATTTATTTGAAGACTCAAATGAGATAAGCCTGATATTGTCGAAGACAATGATATATGGATGAGTAAACATGCATATGAACACGACCGCAAATTACATTGCTTGCCAGTGAATATCTAGTTTTCTTTACAACCAGTATTGTTTTGAGTTAGATGGCCTATCTTTGTTTCATACTCGTCCTTTTCAAGCAACAAAGTGACGATTCGTTTTTAAACTTCTAAACTGAATCATGTCTATAGGATACAGGCATTGTCAATCCTGTTATAAATTGTTAGATTTTTTATCTCATTATGAATGTTACATCTGAATAGGAATATGAAGATTATTTCTCGATTTAATGTCAGATTAATTTTTGATCTGATGAATTATCAATCATAATCGATGAGGTAAATTATCATATGTCGATACTTAAAACGAATTATTATTTTCCCATTTTCAGTTTTGATGTGTTTTTCTCCACCCACAATGTTTTTAATACAAATAAGTTTTGTCTTTGAAATGATTTGACTATCAGAAAGGTAGTAGTATTAATTTTTGTCAGTAGAGACAGAAGTTATCGTATCCGTGTTTATTGTATTTTTCTGACACTGTTCAGTCAATCATTTTTCAAGGAACTGGAGAGAATTTCTTCATGTGAATACATTTTCCTTATCTATTATATACTATACCAGAGATACCTTTCAAGATTCTTTGAATCCTCCACCTCTCAGCTCGACTCTGTCTCCACGGGGTACTTGTATGAACTGATTTGATTTTAAAATTAAGTACATTGTCGTCGCTAGCTATTAGAGGGTGCCAAGGTCCCATTTGCGGAAAAATTGGGTGAGAAGCACCCCTACATTGCAAAATCTCCTTCTTTTTGCAACGGATTTTGTTCCTAATCAGTGTGTCAAACCCTTAACTTCACCCTGTAACAACGGCACTGCTTGAGTACCTTCGGATACACTCACACTAGCCTAAAGAGCGACGAAAACATTGTAGGTCGAAATTTCGCAAAGGCGTTGGCTCATTTTTTTACCCCCTTGAAAGTACGATAGAATTCAACTATTGTAATTTTATATTTTGTAATAACATATTCAGATATGTGTTTTTCCTTAAGAATTAAATGGTTTCTATTTTAACTTCTGTTCATATTTCCTCGCCTGCAAATTTATTTTTATTTTCCTTTTTTCTTTCTTGTTTTCATTAATAATTAATATTTTCTTACTTTTACTTTTTCTATTATTTTTTTACGGGATTTGTTCATTTCCTCCTTTTTCTTCTTTATATATATATATCCTAATGATCTTATTTCAATTACAGAGATCTATGAATACTTTATAACTGATGTATCACAACAGATGACGAAGTAAGTTGCTTTTCGTACTAGTTGTTAGCATACTACTGTATATCTGAAAATCAAACCCATAACTAACCTGAGGATCCTCAGTCTTAAAGAAGATTGCATTCCTTTTGATCGGTATTTTAAGCTTCAGCGAAGAAAATTCCTTGGCATTGAAGGGAGTTTTATTCGTCTGTTTAGACTTAGTTCTAGCATCTATCAAAGTTGCACCGGTAGTTCTAACAAAAAATATGCATAGAATTAGATGTGTGAGCTTTGAGAAAAAGTAAAGGATTAGGGATGTACCGGATATCCGGTAGGCCGGATAATCCGGCGCCGGATCGCTGATTTTTTGAAAATCCGGTTCCGGCCGGATTTGTTTCCGAAATCCGGCCAGTTGCCGGATTTTCCAGAACTTTAATCATAACTAAGAAAATTTGGAAAACCAAGTCAGACTCCCTTCATACAGTGATTAAAAATGGATTTTCCATAACTAAAAAATATCGACGATAAAACAAGCGCCTTGAAAACAGATTTGAAATGAAAGTGCTCGTCATCACGAAACAGGAAGACTGGATGATATAATTCACAAATTTGGTCCAGGGTTGCCAGATCGGCTTTTTAGGCCAAATTTTTCATTTTTGGTTTTTAGATTTAGATTGCCTGGAAAAATTGTTTTTTGCTTACTACTTAAATTTGACCTTGTTGGCCTTTTCAGCAGACGTCCAAAATTAATAAGTAATTACTACATTCATAGAATAATTAGTAGTTAACTACAAAGTGTTTACCAAATTTCAAATTTTATCACCTAACCTAAATATTATCTTGATATTAGCAAAGGGTTTTGGAAAAAAGTAAGATTCTTATCAAAGCTAAGAAATTATCTAACAAGCACAAGCGTAGAAATATAACCAGTGCCTGCTCGATGGATTCTTGAGAGAGTTTTTGATTTTGCCTTTTTATGAGCATTTTGGCTTAAATTGCTCACCAGTCTAGCCTTCGTTTGTAAATTCAATCTGGCAACCCTGAATAGGTCTCTTTGATCTCCTCGCTATACATTTTTTCGCAAAGTGGCTCAAAACTTTTTATTACTGAAAATTCTATAAATGGTCAGATTATCCGGTAGAATTCGGCTGGATATTCCACGAAGAAATCCGGTAAATCCGGTTCCGGCCGGATTCTGAAAATCCTGATCCGGTACACCCCTATAAATCCTGATCCGGTCCACTAATCTAATTTGAAAAGCCCGTTTTGATCAAGAAAAAGGTTATTATTTATGGGCAGTTCACACAAGGAGACCTGAGCTACAAAGCAACATGTAAAAGAGAAACATGGCATTCCATGTATCAATTATATGCTATACTCCCGCCAACCCTGGTTCTCTTCTGGGTCCTCAAATTTCTTGTTTATTCAAGTATTGGAGCAAAAGTCTTCTTCTTTAATTTTAGTGCTGAAAAAACCCAAGAATCAAATCTCCTTAACGAGGTAAAATCTCGACGTATTTTTTACTAGACATCATGCCATAAATTTGAGAGTTTGAGAGCGTAATTGAACCACTTGTACCAAGAGACTTATCCTGTGCATTTTTAAATTTTGCTTGATTTTCCAGAAATCCAGAAAAAACTATAATTGTTAGACGAACAGAATAACGTTTAAATGTCTCAAGAGTATTTTACCTGTTTTTCATTGCTGCTGAATCTCTGTTTATAGCTTTACGACCGACACGCGGAAGTGATGACATCACAGAGTGGATTGGAACTGTACCCTCAGGTGAATCCTAAATTTTATAATTCATTGATAATCCTACAATGCCTACCAAAAGTACTTTGAACACCCAGCAATACTTCCGCCCCTTCCTCCTAGAACAATGTTGATAATTAAGGCAAATATCACAAGAGAAGCGCAAAATAAGGTACTTTCTAATTCCCTTAACCTTACCCTTACCCTTGCCCTTACCCTTAGCCAACATTTTTCCGTGGAGGAGACGGGGATAGCTGAATTTGACCTTGCAAACTGATTTCAGTGCTGGTAGGCATTGTAGGTCTATGACACCCCCCAGTTCCAACGTTTCACGTGGGTGTCGCGATTATACAAGTCTTGAAATTACGTGCTGCTTGAATATTGCAGTGATCGATTCAAAATAAAGCGAAGTTGTGTATAATTGATTCTAGGGTATCAATGAATAGGCTTCTTGCAACCATGCATCTTTCCACGTTAATTTTTTGCATTCAAATGCTCAATAGCTGTTAAACTAAGATTTAAGTGCTGTGCAATAAATATAAAGTTCAATGTATATTCATAACATTATTAAAAATGGTTAATGCCATTATTTAGAAATGATTTGAATTATGTATGCTGAATTTTTAACTGCTCCTTCAATAACAAGGCAGATAACTCTTTATTGTGCAATTTTCTCTGCTGATGCTTATCAAAAACGACCGTTTGCTTTTCCCTTCTTACTGAATTTGCTTAATTTTATTTTCCAGCCTGCCTTGGATGAACTTATTTATTATATTTTTGGAGAGATAGGTATGTTTACTGATAACCTTCTTTAAACGAGTCCGTAGATGATTATCTGTTTTATTCCCTCGAATTCATACAATTGTACTTAGAAGAACTATGTGGTAAATAATTCGAAGGCAATTCGTTGATATTGATCCAAAGTTTGACCATACAATAACCACTCTCAGGCTACTGCTTCATGGATATGGCATTGCCAGAATGGAGTATGAAAAAGATTGCCTGCTTAAGGGGAGGGGGTTTGGGTGCACGCCTATGTAGTCGTTTGTCGTCGAAGAGCGTAAAACTAGCCTGCTTGAATTTAAAGAAGTTGTCTATTTCATATATTTTGCAAAGAATGTTCGGAAGGAAGTAAGAAATAATGAAAATCAATTAAGATTACACTATGCCAATGAAATAGGAACTTTTGATTGAATAATTCTATAATTAGTTATTGTTTTCCACTAAGCTAAATTTTCATAAAGTTAGTTAACTAATGGAAAATATACTCATTGTTTGAATTATAATACGTTTATAATGACAGCACAATCATGACATTTTAGAATTTTTTTTAAATGATTTTCTTCTGTGCAAATATTCTATCCTTTCCCTCTGGTTTTACATTTGTTCATTATGGTTTTGAATAAATTTCATGTTTTATTGCTATAAAATTATCACACTTTTTAAGATTCCAGATTTCCTCAAGTTTTAAGTGCACCTTCTACAACTACTCAATTCTCTTTATCTGTTTCTCAAGACTAGGTTTATTTTTAATAAAGTATTTACTTAATATTTTTTCTCGATGAACTTCATATTTCTCAAACTGTTTTAGTATGCGCAAAGAACTTTGAATGTGATGATTTATTTGTGGAACTTTTCGTCGATTTACCACCAAGTAAGAAAAATATTTTATTCTTATTTTACACCATTTCCAGCTCTTTTGGTTTGAGTCTCATCCCAAATTAACAGGTTTTAGAAACTCTTCTTGTTATCTTTAAAGAAAGCACGAGTTTGATTTTAATCTTTGTGACTTCAATTGTGACAGTGGTTTACGTCACTTTTCTGAATTTTGGTCACTTTTTAAGGTCAAAATTATATGTTGTTGCGTGTTTTTTATACATAACTCCAAGGAAATACCAATGATTATGTAATTGTTTGTAGCTTCCAGAAATTAATTGTTTCTCTGCTAGTTGTTTGCTAATGATTAGGCATCGTACGCTATTTTCATTTTTTCAGCTCATGAATGAAATATATATAATGTGATCTAATTTTTGTATTTTAATGTGTTTCTTTTGAAAGTGGCTATTATCACGATTAAAATTTTTCCCTTTATTGTTGAATGGCACCCTATGAAAACAATGAACCACGATTCAATGTATGAGCGCATAAGCTTATCGAAATTACACTTTTTTATAGAATCTCTCATTGTATGCGTGATCCTTACCCTCAGATTTTGAAGTGATCATTGCTACCCCATCAGCCATTGCAAATTTACTTTGATTTTTAAAGGGCTTAGCGCCCACTACTCGGGCACTTTTCTATCGTCTTATCCTTGCCCCCAAAGCAATTCTAGTAAATGAGACTGGTCGAGGTTTAGGACGGGCTCGTCATCGTTTGCTATTTCTCGATGCGATCCTAAACTGCTACTGTTCTTAATGGATTCTTGTGTCTCCTTCGCACCAATAGAAACCCGTGTACGATCATACTCTCACAAATGTAGGTCAAAACTAAAGATGAAGGTTGACAAATATTGTAAAAATGAAACGACAACTTTGCAAAGAATTCAGTTCTGTTGACATCAGTCGGTTTATACTGCAATTGTATCGTAGTATTTCTCTAAAGCCTTTAAACTATTAAAGTAAAATGAAAGGAAAGAAAGCTCGCATCACACTTTGAAAAAGGTGATTTGTAATCAATTCTTTAATACATCCCTGCCTATTATTACGATAGTTTTTCAAGCCTAATTGTATGGCTTTACTGAATTCTAGACTGGCGTTCCCTAAGGAAACAGACAAGCTGGACCACTCAAAGATGTTCTATAAATTCTGTAAGTATCTGGCCTTAGTATTGTGCCGAATCGATTGTCGTAGTATCGTGCCGAATCGATTGTAGGTATCCCTCTGCTCTTTGTGTTTCAGAGATTTGTTTCATACATTTTATACACCTATAATTTAAATGACACGTTGGCAACATCTTATGCATTTGCCCAAATTTCTACTGCTTTGTCTTTTGTGGTTTTTTGGAGTTCTGATAGTTAGGGCCTTAAGCTGTCCTTGGGCAAACAATTTGCTTAATTTTTATTATGTTTCTAACCACTGAGAATCCTGAAAATAGCCCCTTTAGGGGCTTATCAATTTAGGATAGTCTCTAACTAAGGGCAAAATTGAGGGGAAGCCTAAACAATAGAAGGGAGGGCTTATTATCTCCATCTTGCCATATCAATAGCTAGTTTTGTAGTCTGTTCATAATTTTTGAGTTCATTTCGTTTGCAATTTTTAAAAATTTTTCAAAATATTTTTTAAAATTTCTAATCAAAGTACTAATCAAAACAAAGGAAGTTATTTTCGTCGAAAATCTTGATAAATTCAATGTATTTGTGCCCTTTTGCTAATGCCTCGCTAATTTGATTCTTTCATTCTCCGCTGCATGCTGTATTAATAGGTTTTGTTTAGTATGGTGTATTACTCTGTTGTATCTCAATTCAGTGCATATTAAAATGCAAAATGGCATGTCAGGTTGTTCAAATTCGAGGGACGGGCCTATAAGCATTTTCAACTTCAAATGTTGGGGCTTATTCGAGGGTCGGGCTTATTTGACGGTTGAAATTCAAAAATTTACGGTAATAATGTCAAATTTGTCTAAACACATCAAACACAAATGCGTGATATCATTTCTAGCCAGCTTGCAGCGTTGTTCATACTATCGACTAAGTCTAATTACGTCTTTCGGTTAGATCACAATTGCTTTTGCAAGAAATTGCATTTTGCTGTAGGAATTATCACAATCGCTCAATACATTTGCTGCAGCAACTCTAGTATGCATTGCAACATTTTTTAACTGTCTGCTGGTGTCAACCTTGTGTTTACATTGAAACGAAGTAACGACTAGTTGTTCCTTGTAGGACGATGTGATTCATTTTTCATTCCCCTTTGAACTGCAGCTTGTTTTCAAATACCCAGAGGATGATTCGGGTAATTACTTACGCGTTCTAGTTTTTTAATCAATCTCTGTTTTGAGATAGATATGATTGTGGTATTATCTTTAGCAAAGTTACATTAATGATAGTGTTATTAGTGGAAGTCCGTGCTGTTAGCTGTGCTCTTTACCCACCATTCTTGTCTTGCGAGCAACTGCGCTGTTGTAATTTGCTACAGAACGTTGATTTTGCATTAACTTAGTATGCTGGGGATATTGGAAGTAGTGGGCGTGAAGTAGTCGAGTTGGCATATTTTGGGTTTGGGACGAGGCAGTAAACATTTTATGAAAACAGGGTAAGTAGAAGTAATCAGAGGTTAAACTTTGGTTAATGACTAAATATAACGACTGGTATTTCTAGTGTTGAAGCCCAGAAAAGAAAACGAACTCTTTTTTACGTAAAACTAAATCCTAAGTATTTACATAGTTGAAATTCGATTCGTCTGCATAGTTTGTAAAAGAAACTGTTTATGATATCAACCTTATATTCACGATAATTTGTGAGAGCTGTCTTTTGTGACTACAATACCACTAGTTCCTTCTGAAAATTCCTTCTGACATTCAGAAGTTTGTCCTTAACAATCAATGCTCCTTTCCTATTTCCATATCTTTTTACACTTCTATAAAATTATGTATTTTTATTCAAAGAGCCGTTTGTGACCTGGCCTACGCTGTTTTTCGAAGTTGTGTCATGGGACTCGTGGCAAAGGTATCGAAAGGAAGGATACGGCTACATTACATTGCCAAGCAGTGCAGGTTAGATATGTGTCATCTGTTTGCTGTTGCTTTCCCTCTAAACCAAAATAAATTACAATGCCGAGTCCATGCATAGCGGCACGGATAGTTTTTAATCCGCAAGTTTTTGAATTAGCTCCAAATTTGTGAACAGGTCACAAATTCTTTATCTTATGGAAGTATGAATCCGTGGGTCTTCGTACCGATGACGTCACTTTGCCCAAGGCCCCTTTTTGTCTCATTCTCTTAAAACTTTGATAAAAATATTCACAAAGGACGTTTTCTATCCTTGTGTGCTTGTGCATCAAGTGAGATCATTTAATTGTAGGTTGTGAGAAAACTTGACATTGTTTTGAAAATTGATTTTATCGAAACCTCTGCATAGAGTTCCAGCTTTTTCATACTTTGGATTTTTCACCTAAAAATGAATCAAATATTAATAACGCATCGCCCCTCCTTCCATTTAATGCTGGGTCACGTAATTTGAGAGTAGATATGCAAACTTGAGTTATGAGTATGTGAGGGGATGGGTGGGAAAACATCAGAACCATCTGCTTATAGATTCAGCCTAGAGATAAAGAAACTCAATAATTTTCTGAATCGAAGGATGGAATAACTAAATCAAAATTTGAGATTTAAAATCATTGTTGATTGACTTCTTGCAGCTGTCTTTTCTTGTTTAATTGATGCAAGTCAGTGAGAGCTTCTTGCATACCTTTTGTTAAAAGTATATACTCTGGAGTCCTATAAAATCAACTCAGTAGCCTATTTATGTACATCAGCTGTTCCTCTCCGATATGTACATTAAAACACAGTTAGGAATCATAAAGTGGAAGGGGCTAATTGTAGTGAGCTGTTGTTGCCGTTCATATTATGAGAAAGCTGAATTGTTCCTATTAAAGGTAATTGACACAGTTATAATTGGTTTACAGCTACTCAACCACAAGCGGTTGAGCAATCAAATTGCGCACAGAGAAAAACACGTGATAAGTTCCCGCCTTTCTGCAAATCGGTGAAATCCTAGAGCAGCGCGCAGTGGTTTCACGTGAGCAGTTTTCAGTTCCTTTCTTGCGCGCTTGCTATGATCAATTTGGCCCAAGTTATTTTGGTTTGGATTCGCTTTACTTATGAATGTCAAATGTTTTTAAAAGCATGAGTAAACAAAAGAGGTTTAGTTTAGCATTATTCAATCTACAACCAGTGAAGATCTCTCATTATCTTTAGGAATAAGGAGTTTTAAATAGATCTGGGAAACCCTTCTTTATCCCTATCATTTTATTAGTTTTCTGCCTACTTCTTTCTATTTAGGTTCCTGCCTACCTCTTGCTATTAAGGTTCCAACGTGCATTCTTTTGTTTAAAGGTACTGCCTGACACTTTAGAATCCTCAATTTGAAGAATTTCTATTGGTACTGAGCTAATGCTAGCTTTATTTCTTGTATTGAAAAGGACGTCTAAGATTCAAAACATCCATCAAAAGCAGAGAGTCCAGGGTTTCATAGTTCTAAGGTAGCAATGTCATTCACCATTCAATGATACACAGGTTGATTATCTTCAGGGCAAACAAAACCAGCTAAAAGCAAAATAAAAAAGTTGCGAAAGTGAGAAGAAGCTTAACAGTTTTTTTCTATATTTTATTGCGAAAGAAACTCTGGTTTATCGATAGTAGATATACAATTACAAGTAGGTTACTGATTTCAGCATTGGCAGATTCAGAGCTGTCAAAAATTATCCACACTGGCCACCAATTTTAAATAATAAAATAATAAAGTTTTAAAATAATGCAAATCACATAATCATTAAAAACATATCAAGGGCGTTTGCCACCTTTATCTAGCGGTCACAGATATCAATTTTGAGCCTTTTGTGACCTGTTTAGTTCAGATCCAGGTTCATGAAAGTTAAAAAACACAGCTAACCCGTCGCAAATATAACTGGAACGGAATTCTATAGTTATTGCGTAATAATTGTTCTTAATTGTTCTAATATAATGATGATAATGATATAGCATATCTGGCTTGCAGTGTCTGCATATGAATGCACTGTTTGCCTCAAGCAATGCTGCAAATTACTTTAGAAAGTTGTTTCAACCTGCCCCTGTCTCCAGCTATTTTCTCAATATGTCTAAATCGTCCCTAGTTTTGAACTGTTTAACTTCTATATCATTTTTAATGTTTCCTTCAACGATATCATTGTATAATTTCACTGGCAATGTTATTCTTTGTTTTTCTCTGTATTTCATTGCTCTTTTTCTTTTCTCTAGTTATAGAAGTTTCCTCTGTCTTGTCATCATTAACTTTCAAATTTCTCTCCCCTAGTGATTCCTTAACTATTCTTTTCAGATTTTCTGCTTCATTTTTGCTTTTAAATGGGAAATATGAGTCATCTGCATGTTCCAGTTCAGTTGGTAGACTTGACTTTTTACTGTTTGTGTGAAATACCTGTGATTTTGCTTCATTCATTCTTTCTCTTAATGTTCTTAAGGCATTTTCAAATTCTATGTCAAAGAAAGTCCCAGAAATAGCATCACTTTGTGGCGAGCCTATATTTGTTTCTACAGTTTCTAGATCATGATTTCCAAATTTAATTTATATGGTAGTGTTTGATAATAACAATCTGCACATTCCCTGCTCATCCTCCTGGAGTAATGTTTTTAGTTCTTGCATTAACTTTCCTCTTTCAATTGTATCAAGTGCACTACTCATGTCTATTCCTATAATAATTATCTGGATGTCCTGGCATAGTTATACTTTTGAGCATAAAAATCAATGTGCCCTTATTATGTCTACTGTTGATCTGTTTGGTCTATATGCTGCTTGTATGCTTACCAAGTTCATCCACTTTTCCTTCGATTCTGTTTAATGTTATTAGTGATGATACTTTTCTGATAACATTCAGAAGATTGATGGGCCTTAGGTTTTTCCTGGGGCCTTCTGTTTTACCAGGCTTTGGTATTTGTTGTAGTATTGATCTTCCTACATTTATCGCATCATTGTGTTCTTCAAATATACTATTCAGTACTCTTTCAATATCTTTCGTTAATTTATCTGGACCATATTTCAAAAGTTCTGCTGGGATACCATCTTCTCCAGTAGCTTTGTTATTATTCATACCAACTGTAGCCTTTTTTGCTTCATCAACTATGATTTTGTTTTCTAGTGGCCTTGGCTCACCTATGAATTGCTCAATTCTCTTGACTGACTCATCATATAGCTGTTCTTGAAAGTGTGTTTAAACAGCCTGGTATTTTTCTTTCTCATTGATTATATTATTCCCCTCACAGTCATGTATAACTATATTCTTATTTTTGCTTTTTGGCTTTTTCAATCTTTCAATGCTTTTGTACATCTTCATATCATTTGGAGCATCTTCTATTTCTTTAACTATTTCTTCTATATTACGCTCTCTTATTGTTTGTATTTCCTTATTAATATCCTTCATTTTTCTATTTCTTTCCTTTCTTAGACCTATTATCTTTTCTGTGTCCTTGGTGTTGCTAATGTTTATTCTTATTTCATTCTGTTCCTTTGATAGTTGTTCTACTTTGTTACTATACTCCTCATGATTCTTGAACCCTGGCTTGCCTCTCCCCACCACCTTCTTTGCTGTACTTTCAATAATATCTTTAATGTCAGCCCATGACTTTTCTACGTCACCTTTTCTCAATTTTTCTTTGACTTTTTCCTTCTATCCTTCTGGTTTGTTGTTGTCATGTGTCAGTGGCTGTGTTATATGTCTCACGAGCTCTTTGCTTCCTTTTTGACTTCTTGTACACTTTAAACCATACAGTTTTCAATCTAGTGATTAAAAGATGGTGATCTCTACTTGTTAGAGTGCCTTGATAAGATCTTGAGTCTTTGAGTCAGTTTTTGTGTTTCTTTTCAATTGTAATATAATCTAATACTTGTCTTATGCTTTTGGTTGTATTTGTTTCTTGTTAAGTCCTAATGTGTTCCCATGTTGTTCGATGCCTTTGATTATGTTGGAAACATGTGTTTGGTATTATTAGGTTGTTTGCTTCACAGAAATTTATAAAATTTATTCCATTATAGTTTCTATTTCCAGATGATAAACTGCCTATGCATTTGTCATCTTCTGTTTTGTTTCCAATTTCTGAGTTGAAGTCACCTGCTATTAGCAGTATAGAGGTTCCTTTTTTGGTGCTCTCAATTATCTACTCTAATTTATCATAAAACTTCTTTAGTTCTAATGTGGTTTCATAACAAACTCTTGCAGGCAAACGCAGGCTCGCCGCGTAGTAAGTCTTAACTGTTTGTTTTCTTGCGTAATGAAAATATGTTTGTTAGTGAATGTCAAAGAGACCGTTTTATGTCATACCTTGTTAAAGTGGCTTGGGACATTTCTTATGCAACTGTTTCAAGCCTTTTAATCTACAAAATCTGGTTTGCAATGCCACGGTTTTTGATAATCTTCAGTCTTTCTCCATTTACTCTCTACGTTAAGTTAGACGCTCTGATCCTTCGTAATCTGAATTGATTGGCTCCAGCAGCCCAGATTGTCTTTTTATAGCGCTTATTGTATGCATAGATATCAGATCTAGCAACGTGCTCCTTTGAAAACAAATGATAATTGATGACCTCATGGACTGCTGCTTTCCAATCAATAGTCATGGTTTTGCAACATAGTCTCCTGATCACATTTAAGAAGAAGTAGATAATGTAATAAATAACCACAAACAGGGGCCTTGCTTGTATTTGCAGTAATCTTCTACTCAATCAAGGACATCCGACCTCCTATTTCGCAAGTAGGCGCTGGTTTATTGCGATTGAGTAGTATGCCTGTCTTCCTAAACTTTCTGGTACACTGAGCTCAACGTTTGCATATTCTCCAGAGCTATCCCCTCTCTTTCGTGAAGCAATTGTCACTAGCGATCAAGTCTTTATGTATCAAGTCTTTATTAAACAGCTTATCTATCCGAATTCAGTAAATATATATTTCTGTATATTCATCAGAACGTAAAAATTTCTACTCACACTATATTCTAAATGGCACTTCAAGTTGTTTTACAAAGTATTGTCATTAGAATTCACGGTTTTATTGGGTTTATCCAAATTCAAAGCAAGTCTCTCCTACATTATTCCCTTGTAACAAAGCGGTATTAATATTATGAATTATAATGTAATTTTAGGAAATCATTTGGTAGAGGCCCCTACATGGAGGCCTTGTGGAAATGATACTGCGCAGCAGATGAGAAGATTCTTCACTGGCGGTGCTCCTGAACTAGAAGACATTGAATATGTTAAAATTCCGCCTGAATCCGAGGTAAAAGCCATCTGCTCCTCCCCATGTTCTGTTATGCCGAAAATCTGATCGCATTTGCTGATAACTTTGAATTTTTGATTATTCAAACCAAAAATTGTTTTTTCTTCATAATTTTACCTGTTTAAAACAATATTTGATACTGAAACCGATTTCGTTTCCCCTTGAAATTGCTGGATACAGCACTTTTACATGTAATTACAATTTTATCTTAATTTTTCTCTTCTTGCCTCTTCAGTTTCAGATGCAATGTCAGAACTTCAAAACTAGCAGATATAGCTCAATATGAATTTTAAATTTTATAAATGCTTTCGTCTCGGTCCCATTGTAAGAATCAAACCAACTTGCAAGAAAGTGCGATCTAATAATTAATGTCAATTACTTTCCTTTCAAAATACACAAATTTATCTGAAAATTAGTTAAAAGTGAAGTCCATCCTACCTAATGTTTTCATCATGCATGACCCCTCTAAAAATGTGGCCTAACTTATTATAATTCATACAGCTATGCTTGCTTTTGAATATTTTTCAATGCTTGTTTGAAAACTTTCTTCGAGAAGGCAGTCTGCTTGGATCGATAAGTATAAAAAGTTTTCCTGACGAATGCCGGATATTTCCATTGCTTACTTTAAGACCTGATTTACCTTTTAGGGGAATTTTTTAAGCAAATTCGGCTTCAAAACCTGCTCCAGTGGTGTGGTTACCGTACGAATGCACACAATATTACAACACAGGTAATCACAATTTTCTATATCAGCCAAAAGCGTATTAGGTACACAAATTACGCCTACCTTTTGTATGGAAATTTTATTCATTCGACAACGCTAAAAATTTGGGCCTTGCATTCCGTAATACTAACCATTTGAATAGATGTTAGCAGAGGTGGATGTTATAATAGCCAAGATATTACACATTTTATATCCCTATATGCACATTTTGAATTAATGACTCGAGGTAAATAAGCTCTGTTTTACTTTTATTTTACAGCAATCCAGCAATACTTGCTATATGAGTATATATGCAAGACCTCCATAAACCAATTGTTTTGTTTATCGAAAGTATACATGATTGTCCGTGGAAGATGTATATATTTTATCGTAGCTTTAAATGTAGTTGACTTTGCTTTGCAGGGCATCGAGGACCACGAGAAGGGGAAGAGGTGCTCTCAAAAAATTTAAGGCCACAGCCGGGTATGAATACATTCATGTTCTAAACGAAACTTTGAAGTCTTTGAATCATTAGGTACAGAATGTTACAAAATTTCCCAAATTGAAAAAAGAAAAAAATTAATGAAAGTTTTAACTTTCAAATGCTGCTTAGTGGCTTTTTCAGCTATTTGCGAGAAAATTCCCTGTGTCACCCTCGATACTCAATATTTCATTTCGTGCTGCGTTATTTTTGACTAAGTGATATCATATCATATCATATCATATCATATCATATCGTATCGTATCGTATCGTATCGTATCGTATCGTATCGTATCGTATCGTATCGTATCGTATCGTATAATATCATACCAATCATGTCATATCATGTCAGTAGCTTGTTTTCACTGCTTATCTTTTTCGGATCACTGCTCGCCATGACAGTTTGGGTTCCCTTGTTGTTGCTTAGATCTTTCTCAAGATAACGAAAGATGTTTTGTTATTTTGTGCACACAAAGTTAGGTGGATATATCTGTGGTTATTTTGGCATATCTACAACCAGTCCTTTGAAGTTGACGTTGCTGATATGCAGGGTTTTGTGGCTGAAAATTTGCTAAAAAGTCTGACAAAGTTACTCAGAAAACCGAGCAACTTTCAATTTTTTCATTTCTTTTCCTAAATATCACTACTTCTGCCCCCAAAACGAATTGGACAAACATCAATCTATTTTTAGACAAACATAATACAATTCACAAAAAACACGCTTTCTGATCTCCTAGGTCGTTTTATGGAGATCCAACATTGTTCCTAGGAGTAGAGAGAAATTGCTAAATTTGTTTTTGAAAACTGGCTTAAGTGTTCAAGAACTTAGGCACAAATTGCAGTTTTGTTGGGGTTAAAAAAAGTCAATAAAGCCCTAAGCTTATTCAATAGAATAATATTTGGTTGAAACTGACATGGTCTAGTGAATCAATAGCAGTAATGCCATGATAAGCCCAAAATGTTTTCTCTGTCGACTTGAGACCTAATCGATATGATAACTTAATCGTCTAGTCTTGTGATAACAAGCGTTATCTAACAAGTACCCTCTCATGGTTTTCACGACTCGACGGGCTATAGTGAGTGAGAAAAACAATATCACTCGATAACCAAGATCTTTGAGGTAGTTTGGCTAGTTTCACTTGAGTTTTATATGCATTTATATGTTTATTGATAACACATTTATTTGTTTTCTAAATCTTTCAGTTTCTTGCCTCTAAATGGGCCCCAATTTAGCAACCCCAGTTTAAAGGGCCTAGAGTTGTTGGTTTTGCAAGCTCCGGAAGTAATTTCGTTTTAGTTTAAGAAGGGGGTTCATTTCTTGGCCCTTATTCGATAATTTTCTCCGTTGGGTTTGGATAAGGAATACGATACTGTAAACTGATGTGGTGGCGAAAAAGGAGTGGATGCGGAGGAGGGGGAGGCAAGGCTCTCTTTTCCAAGCTTTACTCCGATTAATATTTCTGTGACTAGATTTAAACTGTATTGCTGAGACTAAACTTGAAGACAACCAGGGTAGGCCAAGCTTACTCGTTTGATCTTCAACCGCCACAGAGATATTTATCCTTCTTTTTGATTAATCAGTCATATGATAAGTTCCCAAAGTGGGAATGATGCCTGCTGGAAACTGGCAAAAGACAGGCCCTACACTGTTGGTCGGTTTCCTTGTTAAACGAAATCAAACCTTTAAGCGACATTAGGTGATGTGTCAATTTTATCTTTAGAGAGGGATGCGCTTGAGGGCCGATGTTGATTAAAAGTTAAGAATTTTGCATATCGGAAAGTCACTGAGTGAGAATTCCTTTGTATAAAACTCGAGATCTGCACAGATTTGATACGTTGATAAGTTACTTTGGAAAGAATGTGCTTTCTTTTGAATAATGCAGCCAAAAAATATTTTGAATGGTTAAATTGGCAAAGTCTGATAAATTTGAAAGACAGCAGAGACAGCGGAGCATATTACAGTTTTAAGGAGGGGGGGGGGGAGCTACAACATTTAATAAGGATAAACATGCAAAAGCCAAAAACAAGAATATTTGTGTGTTGTTTTATATACAGTTTTCAAAATGTGTGAATCATATTGTTGGCAGGGGATTAAGCCCCCAGCCCTCCCACAACCGCGGTCCGTGAAATGAATCCAATATTATCAATCAGGAACAACCATGCAATAGCAACCATAACAAGACAATTTGACGGTAGACTCCAGTGGCACATTCAAGGATTTATAAAATTAGCAATCTGAAGAAAACTATATGTGTTCGGGGAAAAGCTAAAGGGCTTCCCCAGTTGGTATCCCGCATCATCATCTGAATTTATTTCGGATGCACATGACATGGTCTGCCGTTGGGTAACAACCTCAATGAAGTGTGAGAAAGAAGGGAAATTCAGCTGCTTTACAAATGCAAAGATTAAGCGATAATTAACCTGTATAAACAATTACCGGGGAAGTTAATAGATGAAGATTAAGAAAATACTTCAATATTTTTCATTGTAATTTGAAAAACTTTTAAGATAAGCATTTTTGTTTGTTTTGAAGAATAATGCTACGCCAGACTTTCTTGTGAAATTATAGCTTATGCTTATCTAAGGCAAACTGTTTATTTTGAATTCAGTAAAGGCGTTGCGAATCATGGCAAACCATTTACGACAGTATAAACAGCAGAGCACTCAATATTTCTAACATGTTTTTCTTGCTTGATTGCAAATCGATTGCAAACACTTTTTTTTAGCTAGATATATTGTTTTCTATGATGAACCTACTGATAGATCTAGTTAATCTTAGAAATGTTTTGAAGCGAACGTACTTCGCACTTATTTTGTTTTTAGTGTGTGGTAATTTTAGCATTTGTTTTGCGACGCTTGCAATTAAGATTATGTATAACGTATTTTCATTATAGAGTATTGATGGCAGTGGATTCTCTCTCAAGTGTTCTCGGTAGGAAAACATCTCTACTTTTTTTCTTTTAATGTTTATCGTCTTTAAATTTGTTAGATTTTTATCCAGCACCATCTGAAACTTTGTTCCACAATTTGATTTTTATATCTGGAAGCGATTCTGCTATGTTAGTGATATTCCTGGGTCAAACCTCTTTTTCTTAATAGACTAGGTAGGTAAAAGCTGATTATTTCAGGAACAAAATCCAATGAAATTCACTTTCCCAATTATCTTTCGAAAGTAAACGGGAAACTATGCCGAGTCTTTATTGAATTTTTCCAAAAACGCAAATAAATTATAGTAATTCCTCAAGAGGTTAAAGAAACTATGTGTGAGTTGCTAGGCCAAACCCATTAGATTTTCAAAGCAATATTTAATGCAGTAAATTAAGAATGACAATTAAATGTGATTCTATATCCTGAATTCTGCTTCTGCCATACCTTTGGCATTCAAAACAAAGTAGTGACTATGTGAGTGTCAGTACAAAGTCCCGAGATCGCTTTTTTAGTGACGAAAAACGGTTTTTTTTATTTTTAGGTAATTTTTTATACTTGATTCTTAAATTTAAAACATTTTTATGTAGAAACGTTTCATCGTGCCAAGCGAAGAATGTTAGCCGCAAAATCGACCTTGCCTGTGATAACATGAACACTTTCAAAAGTGACGTCATCAAATTAATAATTTTCTTGAGACGCAATACGTCAGATGTCAAAACTCTTGATGCCAGATTACAGATGCCAGAGTATCCTTATTTCGAACTGAATCAGCATTCTAGAATGGATTTCATAAAGTCGAAATATATCTTGCTGATATGCACATACGAAAGTAATGATGTCATTTTGAAAGTTGGTGTTTTTGGCCAGAAACCCTGTTAAATATGGTTGATGGTACAAAGAACTGTTAGAAAAACTCATTGTATATTTATTAAAGTTGTTGGAAAGATTTGATCCAGAGAGAAAGCTAAGTTCATGTAACTATTTCCACTTCAGTTTTATATGCATTTATATGTTTATTGATAACACTTCTCTTTTGTTTTTCTAAATCTTTCAGTTTCTACTTGTATTGCCTCTAAATGGGCCCCAATTTAGCAACCCAATTTTAAAGGGCCTAGAGTTGTTGGTTTTGCAAGCTCCGAATATAATTAGTTCTTTGGCACTTAGTCGATAATTTTCCTCGTCGCGCCTGGATTGGGAAAACTTTGTTCTGATTGGTCAAACCTATGCAAATCACCTGCGATATTTTTAAACATTGTTATCACTTGCTATTCTGAATTATTCTAAATACTTTCAAAATCTTTTACCCACTTAAATTACTCGCAAATCAAGCTTATTAAAATGCTACTCTACTATTGATGAGAAGCTAGCTGTTCTTCTGCGACTACAAAAGAGAAAAACGTCAGGGCTTGATCGTTAAAATACAAAAAAAGAAATTATTCGCCGTACTTTTCCTGATTGAAGATTTTTCAAACCCATTATTTCGATTGGCGAGATGCTTTCTCGATGGCCTTCCCGGTTACATGGGGCGAATCCAGAGCAAACTTGAAGGAGGGGCAGTTGGTAGTGGGGGCGCTGAAAATTTTTCAAAAATTGGTGACGAGAGTACGCTGTATACAATAATTTTAGATCCATTTTCGGAATAAGCAATATAACTTTGAGGTTATCCTTAAAGCGAATTAACCTATCGGTCTCACAAACTTTTTCAATGACAAGGGAGCGCCAGATTTGCTTCAACTCGTCGAGGGAGGGGCAACTGCGCCTAGTTGCCCCCTCTTAAATCCGCCACTGCCTGTTACCATGCTTTTGAAATTCTTACAAATAATTGTTTCTCTTAATCAATAAATGTCATTAAATATCAAAATAACTTTATCTAGGACCAAATTCTATGTTTGGAACACGTAGTGCTTATTTTCAACCAAGTTTCAGCGCAAGAAAAGCTTTTAATATATACTTGAACATGTTTTAGCTTGGTCCTTCTTAATAATATTTGTCGTTTTAGGGACATTTTGTGCATTATAGTTTTCTCCGAGTATCCTAAAATCTACACACAATTCCTCTTAATATTTATTCTCCTAAAACATGTCTTGAGAAAGGCATCGATATCAAATTGAGCCTCTGAGGTCAGTCTTCAGCATAAGCGTATTGAAATGTGAAAGAATCAAGAATAGCAATTTCCTTTGTTTCTTTTTGGCGATTCTAGCTTTAGATTTAGTTATTCCGTGATTTAAAAGGCTAGTTTATAATACATTGAACTCTGGTTATTGTCACACATCGTATTTTGTTTGAAATATTTTCACCTTGTACGAAGATTAGTTGTTGATATAGTTGATTTGAAAACATTCTGAAAAATGTATTCAGATATTTGGTGACCATAATCAGTAATGTGAGAATCATACACTCCAAACATCAAGAATCCACTTTCTAAACCTCAAACATTACCATCGAAACCAACAAAAATAACTTGTGCAAGTCATATTGTATTGCAAATCGTATTTTGGGTCGTATTGCTCCTACGTCACTATTCTACTGCATCTTACGAGTTTAACGTTATCAAACCATAAATTTCATTGAAGTCAAATTCAGGTATAGCAATGAAAATCAACAATCTAGCAATCATAGAGCTTGCAATGTCTCATTTTTGGAGATGATCACAGGAGTGAAGTAAATCATTAGAAATATGACTTCCTCGTATCCTCTCGTTCCTATAGCATCGTTGACACCACTGTTATCCTATTGAAAATGGCATCGCTAATTCAATATGCACCTGGGAGGGAACAGCTGCCATTGGCTTACCGCATTTGACTCCTGAACGAGGAAGTGCTACAAAAAGGTCACTTAATTGCTTCCCAGCCGTCAGGTGGTAACAGTTTCGCCCACTTCATTTTAAAAGGAATGCTGGATATCTGACCCGGTAGTTGCACAGTTCTAAGGTTAATTATTGATCACTATCCCTGTGTCTGCTGGCAACTTTACTGCCAAGTTTTCCTTAACATACTGTTTTTTCAACTACTTTAATTGTCATGCTAAACTCTAATTTGATTTTTAGAACATATAATGACTTGTTTTCTGTTTTCCTTCCTTTGAATCTAAAACAATTTGCCCAGTATACTATCACAGACTCCAATCGACACTGATTTTTGTCAGTTTGTTTTCCGGGTGACAGTACTAGCTGTAAATTGGCGACGACATCTGGACTGTTGCTTCAACGATGAATTCCCAATTAATTCACAACAGTATCTGAAGATAAAAAAGCTGCTTACTTTATTCATGCTGCAAACATATCTCTATATATTTGTTATTTAAAAAACAAACCCTTAACTTAGTTTTAATTACTTACTTTATATGCAGTTACTTTGGACATTGTTTGTTTTTATATCTATGTGGTTGTATGATAGGCAAGCCTAATCGTTTCATTAATCAAAGAAAGTCTTTTCGCAGCTGCTTCAGTAGACTTTTTATGTGTTTGGATTATTTGTATGTGCATGTAACAGAGTCTCCGGAAAAAACTTTCATATTTGTAAGACTAAAATTAAAGTTTGGAAAAGTTTCGTAGATATTAAACCTTTCTTGCAGGAATCAAATTTTATAAAACTGCTTGTCGTTACTTTCTTTAAAGTCAATTGATGCTAAATTAATTATGAATGCTAATCCAACGATAAAGGTGGCAGTTTATTAAATTGCCAAATTGAAAATGCCAAAATTAAATGGAAAAGGCTTTGGCAAGATATAGATCGACATTATCCACCAGAGCCAATATCATATGAGCCTCAATAGTATCCTGGCGATGGAATAGATCCATATCGAAAAACAAAATGATGAACTCGAGGAGTGAATTTTAGGAAAAGTTTACTTATCAGCTTTAGTTTCAATTTAGTTACACGTAAATTTTTTGTCTGGAAGGGTATTTAAAAATTCAAAAGCGTATTCACTTCAGTGACAAATCTCTTTAATTGCCCTGTTATACATTCGACACTAACAATTTATATACCTTTACAGGGTAAAAATGACTTATTTGATGACATGATTTACTTGCTATGTAACATAAGTGGGTAGGTTGATTATACAGTATGCTGAAAATTGCTCCCAGAAGTATACTGTAGCTGTGTATAAAGTTCCTGTCTGGGTAAGAAGACGATTAGCTTGGGTAATGAGGTAAACTCTCAGTTTCAAAAGTTAGTTTCAACAAAAAATCGATTTGGTTTTTTACTCCTGTCAAGATATAGCAATTATTTCCGGTTTCGTTCTTAGAATTTCATCACAGGGGACATTTCGGTTGTAGCGTGACAGAGCAACCTTCGGCTCCAGACTCCCCAAAATCACTTTGGTGCGAGAGCGGGCGATTTGTTTACCACATGGGTTCTCTGTATTATCACAATATCGGCATATGTATTGATACAATTATTCAAGGGAGCGGTTTCATGTTGAAAATTGTCCTGAAGGTAAGTATTGTTAGTAAAAATTGTATGCTTACTATTTGCATGACCTGTTACATGGTCATTTACACACAACCAGAAGGCCTTTCTCGCTGAACCAGTAATTATAAGTTTAATACCTCTCGATAGCCAACCTATTTTTAATGTGCTCTTAATCCATTCTCTTGCCAAAGCTCTGAGTATACGGTTCCGTTAGCAATCTTCTGTTTTCTTGCTGAAACGAAGGGAAAACAAGTTTTCGTGCTGGCTTATTCAGAATTTTTAGGCACTGGCCTAGGCCCCCGCCTTCTACTATTGTTAACACTGTCTCCTGCTAAAAGCGGTTGTATGACTAGGAATGTTGTATCTTTGAAAACCGGAAAAACACAGTTATATCATTACTTTAAGGTTCTTTATTTAATTTTCTTATAAGCTGAAATCATATCAAGATATATGTGTTGTAAGGGTAGCGAATTTGTTTCTTGCGATTGTACTCGTAAAAATTATTGATAAGCTGGTGATAACTTTGAAAAATTGTATTTTCATTTGATGTAAGTGGATATTTAATATTTTGTTCTAATTCATCAATAAACAGCATCCATATCAAATAGCTTCAAAGTTCAAGACCTTGTTTTGTTATCGGTCAGCCTTGCGAGGTACTTGAATCCTTCTTGCACGGACGTGTCACGCGAAGTGTGATTGCGGCTGCATTGTTCCTTAGAGAATTCGTGATTCAGTAACTGCAAATCACATTAAGCTTTGTTGTTTAGAATTTAGGCAGATTCTCTAGAACAACACCATTTGTAAACAGTTTCTCCACTTGAGACTTTTATAGTCATTTATTGCTAATCCCATGAGAGAATATTTACACAATGGACTATGTTGTATCAAGAAGGGATCAAAATTGTCAATCATACCTTCGTACTGAAGCACATTTATCATAGACACAGGAGACATGGGGCTGGGAGGGCTGTAGCCCCCCTCCTTTAATCAGGCAACATTCATCACATTTCAGGTTCCATTTTGGCTGTTCTGTTTCACTGAAGCCCACCCCTAAACGTTTTGCATCCCATGATATTAGTCGATTTATGGAAATGCTTGTCTCACATGAATTTCTGAAAGCAGTGGAGATCCTCTGGTTCTTTAGTTATTCAATAATTTCCATATTTTACGGCACAGTTAGTATATATTTACACGGCACACATAAACATTTCCACGGCACAGTCCTATATTTCTCACGGCACACTTTCATTTTCTGACGGCACACTTTCATATTTCTGACGGCACACTTTCTTATATCTCACGGTAAATTTTCTTATATCTTTAATTGTGATTATTCCCACGTATAAATATTCTGGATAAGAATTCTTGCCACTATTCCATCACAATCATGTTCAGCAAAACGGCCATTCAGCTCACTGAGGCACATAAGCACATATCTTCGTAGCACCATGGGACAGCAAACCCTAATTAATATCGGGCTTTATTCAACTTTACCCCCATTATTCAACTTTTGTCCATAAAAAAGATATCGATAAAATAATCGATATATTTAGTTGCCGTCGTTGAAGAGATTTGTATTTATTTTTATTACTCCGTAAAAATCTAGAC